AGTGCAATTTTTACTTTTTACACAGTTGGCGCCATATATTTCACACTGTCTTTCTGTACAATTGCCTTGTTCTGTACATTTTATATTCCTAAATGTATCCAATTCTCCTCGCTCAATTTCGAATGACATGTTTTCGCTGCCATTGTGACAGCAAAGAAGGACGAGGAAGGACGTCGCTAAAATAAGTCGCATTATCATTATCCTTTTAAGCCTTGGTCTTGATTCTTGCCAAATATGCGAATGGACTGGAAAATTGTACTTTCGTATCTTCAATTGTATACTGAAGACTTTTAATCGTCTACAGTTGTAAATTGTTCAGCTTAAAAGGTTTGACTGAAAGCATTAAATACTTAAGCCTGCTTTCCACTAGCCACGTATCGTAACGTATTGTAGCAAAACGTAACATGGCGCATGCGTGCTTGTGCCTATTGACTATTAAATTCATAAGCACGCATGCGCCATATTAGGTTTAGCTACGATATGTTACGATACGTGGCTAGTGGAAAACAGGCTTTATTATAACCATATGTGTAGCAATCTGTTAGTGCTCGCGTGGGCGTGTCACAAAGGAAAGGCCTTTTCACGAACTGGGGCAAGAGAATCTAAGGCCCCGTTTACACTATATCGGATTGCTATCGTAGCAAGTTGAATATTCTTTATATTAAAAAGCAGTGAAATTGTTCAACTTCAGAAACACAATCAAATAGACTAAATCTATTGGCTTAATAAGCTTTTACTCCGAACAGTTACACCTTTAAAGCAAATGAAGATGTCGTGATCAGGGAATCCGGTATAGTATAAACGCAGCCTAAATTTAATCATTCAAAATGTCTCGTCTCTGGCGATTGATTTGTTTTACCTTTTGAAAAGCAGAAATATTTATTACAAATATCCAATAGCTCTCCATCAGCACTGATCAGCACACATTGTATTTCAAAACGGTTGAATGGTGACGACATAAGCAAATATCGCTTTCTTATGTAGGTTTCCCTGTCTCTGAGCCACTGTCAGTGTGTGTACGCAATACTTTTAATATAAAGCCGTCGGTAAACAATACTGTAAACAAGTTTCAATTACATAGCAAAACAATTTTCACTAGTGACTTCGAAAAACCCGAAGTTTCGTAATTTTAATGTTTGGACATACATGATGTATTGGACATACATGAAGTATTGGACAACAGGTCAGTGAACATAAATGAATATTTTCGTATTTAGTCATACGGACCATTTCCAGGGAATTTTTTGTGGTTTCCGACCGTTGGTAGATTCAAAATTTGCAAAACCTAGAGAGCAAACCTAGGTTATGAATAATTACTTAATAATTTTTTTGTCCACCTTCAAGTCTACTTTTGTGTATACCTTTGTGTCTACACTTTATTGTTTATCCTTGTGTCTACCTTTTTTCCTACCTTAATGTGCATGTACCGTTGAGAGTAAGTTTATGTCTATCTTTGTGTACTCTATTTGTTCGACTTTGTGTCTACCTTCAGTTAAGTACTTCAGTACTTTAATAGTAAGTTATAGTATTCCTTGATACATAATTTCTATTTATGTGTAACCTTGGCCATTTTTGTGACCTCAGGTATACTTTTCCACATCATCAAAGAATGCCCTTGTCTTTTCTTTATTGCATCTCTATTCCAATTTAACACTTAAACAAGTCCATTATTAAAGTTTAAATTTGATTATATTTCTACTGACTTATTTTTGTATTAAAGAGTTAACATGTCATTATCTCATCGACGGGTTATCCATGTGTTAAATTGTACAGATCGATGTATTGAAGATCATCATTAATGTTATTTCTTTCTTTTAAGGCTGACCTTATAGCAGTGTGCTGGCGCATCGGACGTGCACGTTCACTCCTCTGTATTAAAAGTGATAAAGTTCTAAAGAAACTTCCAAAGGTAAGTCGTGTTTGATTTTAAAATTTTTCAATACTATAATCGTCAAATTTTCATCGTAATAGAAAACTGTCCATGTTTCAATAGTCTTTTTTTACCACCAAACGAAGGAAAGAGTTGTGTATTAGGAGAAACTATACTCCAACATATTTGATAGTCGCTTTGTCGCGTTATGACACTGAACTCTTTATTAACAAATAACAGTTTCATGAAATATGGGAAAACGCTTTCTGCGTAAAATCATTTTGGAAAATCAAGATCCGACTTGTGTAAAATCATATAGACAGTAAATTTTTTTTCCAACTTTTTTCAAAATCATTACGACACTTGATTGTAAAGAATCACTTATTTTGAAAGCTTATTTTATTTGAAATTTTGGTTTGGTTGCTCATTGCCATGAGATAATGGAATCATAAATGTATTACAATGGTCTTGCATCGATTCTTTTTGCAACTGCTGATAAGAATGAATGTTTGACTCTCTGTTTTTGCGGTTTTTCATGAACGGGGTATAGTTTTTTTCATTTACTTCTAAATATGTTAAAGGATTTTCAAATTTCATTGTGTTAAAGTTGTGTTCATTATTTGGAGCACCAGGTTCTTGCTCATTAGCTTGACTCTGTATGTTGAAATCATTTTTAACATTGGCATAAATATACGAGCCTTCTTCGTGGCGAGCCTTCTTCGTGGCAAGCCTTCTTTGTCAAGATAGATAAATTTTGTTTACCAAATCTAAAGGGTGTTGATCTTATTTTTTAATTGCCCTAAAAAGAAGACACCCAAATACCTACACATACACACACACAAGCAATTATACTTATAATACTTAAGTTAAGACATGAAAGAAAAAGTTGAATAAGTTGTAATAAACATTTTAGTTGAAAGACGACACAAATTCAGCAGAGAATGAGCTTCATGACATGCTGTTTTAGTGCTGGCAGTTCATACTGTTGCTGCCTTAGTGAAAGTTTACTTCCATTTAATCTGTGAGGTCTTCATTGAACATGTTGACAGCATATGTCAACAACTGAGTTGTTATAAGCTAATCGTAACAATGGCTGATTTGTGAAGGCATTGATGCACTAGCAGTATTAGGTATTTTTCCAGCACCCGAGTGAGGGTTCTATTCATTGCATTATGTTGTATTTGCTCTACATTACATGATAAGCTAGAAAATAGTTCGATTAAGTCAAGTAGCTACAGCTTTTTACATCTGTGAGTTAAATTTTAGACAGATGAAGAAATAAGACAAATAAAGAAAAGTTTGCTCATACGATAGTAGAGTGTTCCGAGCTTTTATCATCATCATTTTCTATCGTCGAATAGTATGGTGAAGGATTGGGTTCCTCCAATGTATGGTAGGCAGGCTCTTTTGAAGGACTGTTAAGGGTAGATGAGGGTGTCTGACTGTTTAGCTTGACCGTCGGAGTACTATTGGCATAGTCATAATTAGGCTCTTGTTCTTTTGAAGAAAATGGTGCTCCAGGTTTTGTTAAGTTGAGCCGCGGTATTTCATCCGTAGCATAATCATATTTCAATTCTTGTTCTGTTGGAACATCTGGTGCTGTAGGTTTTAAGTTGAGCCGCGGTATTTCATCTGTAGCATAGTCATATTTCAGTTCTCGTATCTTTGAAACATCTGGTGCTTGAGGCATTTCAGTGTTATCAACGCACTCGTACTTCGGTTCTGGCTTTTTTGACTTCAAATTTGCCAATTTAAGATGATCAATGTATTCATATTTTGCTGACGAATCTAAAGAATTTAAATAACAATTAGAAACATCAAAGTGCGCTGTTTCAAGACCTCAGGTGCTAGTGTTACATCTTAAAATATCGTAAATATTTTTTAGGATGGCCAAAATAATTTGATAGTTCTGAAAAGAAATGTTTCACAACTAAAACACCAACCAAATTGTTTTAAAACAACTGTTTTAAAACTAAAAGACACGATGGATTTCCGCTGACCACTCATCAGGTTTCAACGTCTGATAAATGAGAACTTAAAATCATTGGATATTTATAATGGCAAGAAAAAGTGAACTGTTTCAAGCGTCATCTCTCATCTCATTTAGCCGAAGTTGACACCCTTAAGAGTAGTCCGCCGAAATGCATCAACTGTTTTTAAAACAGTTCTTCTTTGTAGAACTATATTTCGTTGATGTATTGTAAAACAGTTCTTTTTAGAACTCTTTTGGACCATCTTGGGATTTTGACCATCCACCATGGCAATTGCTATTTTTGAAACAATTTTTACACTTGTCACCACGACAAAGTCTTCATTGTACTATCTTACAGCATCCAACAATGTTCCTTGTCTGAGCTGTTCAACAAAAAATGATGTAGATTAATCGGTTCATTTACACTTTATGTTGTTCAATGTTTTCGATGGAATTCAAAATTTGGCCATAACAAGCAATGTATACCCAATTCCAACCTCAGCATACCCAACTATGAATTCCTATAAATACCATGACAACTCTATCCCAAGAAATGTGTACCTAACCATTGTTTCCTTGTTTACAACTTCTAATTACAACGTCCCTATAGAAATTACAACCTCCCTATGGAAAAACTCTTGTGAACCCAAGCAAAACCGGTTTACACACGGCGCAGCTAACCCATTCACAACACCCGTACATAAACATAGCTTTTGAAGGAAGAGATTTTTTTTCAGAAGCAAAATGATAAAGGCAAGAAAAATACCTTGATCGTTCTCGGTGTTTATTCCTGTATCATTGATCACTTGTAATGGATCTACATACTCTGGTTCTGTTTGTGATTGGTACGTTGGGTCAAGGGGATGGCCTAAAATAAAACGTCAAAGGCGAACTTCTTAGTAAGAAAGTTGAAAACGAAGTTTTACCTTGTCGAACATCCAAAATCTTTAATTTTCTTCAATGCAATTCTATATTTATTGATTGTTTATGACACTACACACAGGACATGCAACCAAAATAACGAACATATATATTTTATGATCATGGCTTGAACGAAAACTTGCAGAAAAATGCGTTTTACCATTAACATTTTACCATTAAACTGTTTTATAAATGTGCCTTTTACCACTTTTCTATGCATACAAAAAAGTAGTTTACCTTCTTCATGAGGCGATTTCTTATTTCTGTAAGAAAAAGTGTAACAGTTAGTTAGACAACACCGTGAGCACAGAGCAAATTTTTTCAAATTTGGGAGAAAAATTTCAGAGAAACGGTTTGTCATCGTAACCATCGCATGGTATTAGAATCAAACGAATAGTATATTTTTTTGTATGTTTTTATGTACGTTAAACATACAGAATTTTATTTGTATACCCATGCCATAATACCCAAATGTACACACAGCGTACGTATTTTCTCACAATTGAAAGACTGATCCTTGAAGAAGTGTGAGCATAAAATTTATTTTAATACCTTTTATGTTTTCGATACCACACAAAATAAAACAAGACGAACATAAGGACAATGGTTGCGATTGATACAGAAACTGCTATAACAATTGCCTGAGATGAGCCTCCTTCACGTTCTTCGTGGGGTTGACGTGTGTGGTTGCTACTTGATGTTGGTGATGTGGTCATCTGGACGGGTGATGTAGTCATCTGGACGGGTGATGTAGTCATCTGGACGGGTGATGTGGTCATCTGGACGGGTGATGTGGTCATCTGGACGGGGTCTGTGTCGACGTTGTTTTTCGAGGTTGGTGATGTGGTCATCTGGACGGGGTCTGTGACGACGTTGTTGTTCGAGGTTGTTGATGTTGTCTAAGAAATGTTTTTAAGAAATCAATCCCACTACCAAATACATCACGAAGATGGCAAAATATAAAATGACCACACATTAAAGGTAACTTAAAGACAACCCGGTCAACCACAGTGAAGTTGTGCTCAATAGCTTAGCCGGCCAGCAAGTTATACTCCCGCTATGTAATTTCTATAAAAATGTATTGTGTTTACAGTTGCTGACTGGCTACGAGTTATAACTGAAAAAGGCAAGATGTAAAGGAATATTTCCACTCTATATTATCAAGCTAGGTGTTTTTTTACAAGCAAGCGTGATCTTATATTGTTTTTAGCTACAAAGGAATAAACGTAAGCATTCGAAAGAAAAAAAAGGTTAGAAGGTGTTACTGTTTACAATTAGACCAGGGATTAGAAAAAAATATTTTCTTTAGAAGGCGTTACTATTCACAATTACATCAAAGAAATTAGGAAAAAAATACAAGTTCTTTAGAAGCCTTCACAGACCAGAGTTCAGCTGAGGCTTTTTAAAACGTACATAAATCGCCTCAAGGAAAAGCAAAAGATTAGGATTGTTGTAATGAAGACAGTGCAAAGTGCTAGTGTTGTTGGGAATGTGATCATGAGTAGAAAAGTGATGTGGTAAATTTATGTCATTAATTGTGTCATATAAGTTGAAAATAATGTAAATTGTTTGAACCCGAGAGTATCGTTACGTGTTTGTGGATGTAGATCGTCCAGATGTGAAGAGTCTTGAGAAAGACTGTTGTTTTTGTTGTTGACGTTTCGAAAACATTAGCGGTAGTCGTCTTTGATTCTGAAAATGACTACCGCTATGGTTGTCGAAATCTCCGTCAACAACAACAACAACAGTCCTTCACAGGACTCTACTAACCTGGACGATCTACATGACTACATCCACAAACGTGTAAGTTTAAAATGTCGGTTATTGCGCGTCATGGCAGTTTGCAACATGAATAGCGCTTTTGTCGAATTATTTCTTTAAATCTTGTCTCTTGCTATTATAACTCTAATCTTGAGTTTACAAGATGATGTGTTTTTAGATTGTGTTTTCTCGTTCATTTTTTCAAATTGTCGGCTGGAATAAGGTTTTACAGAAAAATTTACAAAGCAAAATTTGCGGGCTGGCTACGCCAGTGGGTATGCCACAGACACCTATATCATGCATTATCTCTTTACTTCATTTTAGCAAAAGTCTTTGCGAAGTCTTTTATCCACAGCAAAATACAGATGCATGAACTAAATTTATAGTTACGCATCAACCAAAAAAGTTTTGCATACCTTCCATGTTTATAAATTTGACATAACAAAATTATGGATTTGCACACATCGTGTCCTGGTGATTATACAAAAGAAAGATTGGATTAATGGTAGACTCACCTCTTTTAGTATTGTTGGAAACTTTAAGAGCAAACAATGAGATTCACTTTCAAGATTTTCTTTGGTTGTTTCGCTTTCACAGGTAACTACTAGTTTCATCAAATAACCCTGGTACTTATTTAATGCGCTATTTTGCACCTGGATTATCAAAAATAAAAGAAAAACAAATATTCGTTGAGGTATGCTCCTAATGTGTGGCCAGCAAATCAAAAATCTTAGCCATCAAAGGATCAAAAGTTATTTGAACAAATATCCTTCCCCTTTTCCAGACTTCCTCTTCCCCCACCCTCTTATTGTGTGATATTGCTCAAAAGTCCTTATATTTTCGTCTATAAGTTATGGTTAGCAAAATTCTCTTCTGTCCACCCGAATCGGTTCAATCAATGTACAGCCAGTCTCACCTTTAAAATTTTTAAATTTTCACTTGTATTATTTTCCACGTAAATCAATTTATCGTCGTTGGGTGTCGTTAATTTCCTCCATTTTGTTTCATTAAGCTGCTTCGATTCGGACCAGTTTACTCGGCATGTGGCGTTTCCTTGAAACAGCGGAGCATAGAATGCTTGCTCTTGCATGCCATTGGACGACTTTCCACAAGAGAATACATGAATGTTGAGTTAAAAACGGTAGCACCCTATGAAAAATAAGTTTGACGATTTTCATTAACGTATCTAGCGGTCGATGGTGTTGCACAACCAACCACCATGAAATAATGTTAACTTCTTTACACTAATTATTTGCAACTTTGTAATTTTTTGACAAAGAATTGGCTTCAAAAACGACCGCCTAATTGTCGATCCCGTGTTTCTATTGAGTTTACAAGCATTCATATAGAATCATAGTCTTATTTATCGTATTCATTACGTTGTTTATGTTTATTGTACAAACTTTTGCTCATACCTTTGTATTTGATTATTTTCTTATGGTTATTTTTGTAATGCCAAGTTATAGCTTCATTTGCATTTCCATCTTGAGAATAGATTATCGAATATCGTTTCTGACCACGGGCTGTTTTTCATGAACACATTAATTTTTTGCTGCAATTTCTAGCAAAACTCTGAGTACGTTCGTTTCGTCTTCGTCTTCGTCTTCGTCTTCGTCTTCGTCTTCGTCTTCGTTTTCGTTCATAACTTTTTGTTCGTAGCCACTATTTTTGCTGCATTGACCTAAAGTAACTGTTCTTTGTTCTTTTTCACAATCAGGAATGAAATGCATGCATTGTAAAGTTTTAACATTCATGAGGGAGACAGTTTCTTCAGTTCTACGTAATGACACCCAAAGTTGTGACGATGCTGAAGAACATGGTTTCCCTGTTAGTGGCTTGCTTTCTCCTTCAGATTCAACGCATATTTCTTGTTTGTTTTCCCCAACTCGCTTCATGAGTGGAATCGTTTGTTTCTTAGAGCTGTTCAAAGAAAACATTGATTGTGCTTAATTATACATAAATTTGTCAATATTTGTTCAAATTGTTAAATGACATATTATGTTTCAACTCTAATTTAACGTTCTTATTTAACCTCATTAGTGACTGTGGAGCGGATTTGAAACTGGGGGCTGGGGCAAGATAGCACGAAAACATGTTATATAAAAGAGATTAATAGGTCGGACAAATAAAATTACAGATTACCTTATCAAACAAGGAGCATCAAACGAATGTACTCAATCGCCGTCTTAGCTAATATTTATATAATTTTAAATCGAGGAAGGAGTAAGTAAGGTCAAAACTTTAAATTTTTCAAGAATATTTGTCATTATCAAAATAAATCAGTCTCATTTTTAGTTCATAGAAAAAAGGAGGCGTGCTACCCGCCAAACAAATAGTTTGTGTCAATTAGAGAACGGCACGAAATACGAATCATATAACTTAACGATGAAAATCTTCAAAAATAAAACGTCGAGGTTTCTTTGTGGGTAAAATTTCATCCGTTGCTTGATATGCTACAATGGGAGTTGATGCCTTGAAGAAGGCGAACTTTCCAGAAATTAAAATAATGTTGTTAATTAATTATCAATTTCAATTACGATTTTCAAAATATTAGGAAGTCATATGACCAAAATGACGAATGATCTTGGTTTCATAATCAAAAGTAGACTGACTTTGGCTTTATTGAACGTACATACACCTATCCTACTTGCATTTGACATTATTCCACTGCATCATGATTGAACTTAAACTTGAAATGATTTTTAATGAATAGTTTTCAAAATTTGTCAAAATCACATTCAATTGTCCTCAATTTATCATTAAACAAAAATTGAAATAGTGACGTCTTTGTTTATATATCACTGTATTTAAAACACTTAAATAATTAGCCACCATATTTGCATGTAGATTATTTTTATTATTTATTACCCTGTTCATCTTACCAGATTCTGGGACTATATCTTCATCTTTGGTACAGTTGTAAGTGTTGTCACCGTTAGTTGAAAGAAACGTTCCTCTACCATCTTTACATTGACATCGAGTGCAATTTTTACTTTTTACACTGTTGGCGCCATATATTTCACACTGTCTTTCTGTACAATTGCCCTGTTCTGTACACTCTATATTCCTAAATGTATCCAATTCTCCTCGCTCAATTTCGAATGACATGGCTTCGCTGCCATTGTGACAGCAAAGAAGGACGAGGAAGCACGCCGCTAAAATAAGTCGCATTATCATTATCCTTTTAAGCCTTGGTCTTGATTCTTGCCAAACATGCGAATGGACTGGAAAATCGTACTTTCGTATCTGCAATTGTATACTGAAGACTTTTAATCGTCTACAGTTGTAAATTGTTCAGCTTAAAAGGTTTGACTGAAAGCATGAAATACTTAAGCCTGTTTTCCACTGGCCACGTATCGTAACGTATTGTAGCAAAACGTAACATGGCGCATGCGTGCTTGTGCCTATTGACTATTAAATTAATAAGCACGCATGCGCCATGTTAGGTTTTGCTACGATATGTTACGATACGTGGCTAGTGGAAAACAGGCTTTATTATAACCATACTATTAGCAATCTGTACGTGCTCCCGTGGGCGGGTCACAAAGGAAAGGCCTTTTCACGAACTGGGGCAAGAGAATCTAAGGCCCCGTTTACACTATACCGGATTTCTATCGTAGCAAGTTGAATATTCTTTATATTAAAAAGCAGTGAAATTATTCAACTTCAGAAACACAATCAAATAGACTAAATCTAGCAAATGAAGATGTCGTGATCAGCGAATCCGGTATAGTATAAACGCAGCCTAAATTTAGTCATTCAAAATGTCTCGTCTCTGGCGATTGATTTGTTTTACCTTTTGAAAAGCAGAAATATTTATTACAAATATCCAATAGCTGTCCATCAGCACTGATCAGCACACATTGTATTTCAAAACGGTTGAATGGTGACGACATAAGCAAATATCGCTTTCTTATGTAGGTTTCCCTGTCTCTGAGCCACTGTCAGTGTGTGTACGCAATATTTTTAATATAAAGCCGTCGGTAAACAATACTGTAAACAAGTTTCAATTACATAGCAAAACAATTTTCACTAGTGACTTCAAAAAACCCGAAGTTTCGTATTTTTAATGATGTTTGGACAAACATGATGTATTGGACATACATGAAGTATTGGACAACAGGTCAGTGAACATAAATCAATGAACATTTTCGTATTTAATCATACGGACCATTTCCAGGGAATTATTTGTGGCGATCGACCGTTGGTAGATTCAAAATTTGAAAAAACCTAGAGAGCAAACCTAGGTTATGAATAATTACTTAATAATTTTTTGTCCACCTTCAAGTCTACTTTTGTGTATACCTTTGTGTCTACGTTATTGTTTATCCTTGTGTATACCTTTTTTTCTATCTTAATGTGCATGTACCGTTGAGAGTAAGTTTATGTCTATCTTTGTATACTCTTTTTGTTCGCCTTTGTGTCTACCTTCAGTTAAGTACTTCAGTACTTTAATAGTAAGTTATAGTATTCCTTGATACATAATTTCTATTTATGTGTAACCTTGGCCATTTTTGTGACCTCAGGTGTACTTTTCCACATCATCAAAGAATGCCCTTGTCTTTTCTTTATTGCATCTCTATTTCAATTTAACGCTTAAACAAGTCCATTACTAAAGTTTAAATTTGATTATATTTCTACTGACTTATTTTTGTATAAAAGAGTTAACATGCCCATTATCTCATCGACGGGTTATCCATGTGTTAAATTGTACAGATCGATGTATTGAAGATCATCATTAATGTTATTTCTTTCTTTTAAGACTGACCTTACAGCAGTGTGCTGGCGCATCGTACGTGCACGTTCACTCCTCTGTATTAAAAGTGATAAAGTTCTAAAGAAACATCCAAAGGTAAGTCGTGTTTGATTTTAAAATTTTTCAATACTATAATAGTCAAATTTTCTTCGTAAAAGAAAACTGTCCATGTTTCAATAGTTTTTTTTACCACCAAACAAAGGAAAGAATTTTGTATTAGAAAAAACTATACTCTAACATATTTGATAGTCGCTTTGTCGCGTTATGACACTGAACTCTTTATTCACAAATAACATTTTCGTGAAATATGGGTAAACGCTTTCTGCGTAAAATCATATTGGAAAATCAAGATCCGACTTGTGTAAAATCATATAGACAGTAATTTAGTCTTCCAACTCTTTAAAAAATCTTTACGACACTTGATTGTAAAGAATCACTTATTTTGAAAGCTTATTTTATTTGACATTTTGGTTTGGTTGCTCATTGCCATGAAATATAGGAATCATGAAAGTATTACCATGGTCTTGCATCGATTCTTTTTGCAACTGCTGATAAGAATGAATGTTTGACTCTCTGTTTTTGTGGTTTTTCATGAACGGGGTATAGTTTTTTTCATTTACTTCTAAATATGCTTAAGGATTTTCAAATTTTGTTGTGTTAAAGTTGTGTTTATTATTTGGAGCACCAGATTCTTGCTCATTAGCTTGACTCTGTATGTTGAAATCATTTTTAACATTGGCATAAATATACGAGCCTTCTTCATGGCGAGCCTTCTTCGTCAAGATAGATAAATTTTGTTTACCAAATCTGAAGGGTGTTGATCTTATTTTTTAATTGCCCTAAAAAGCAGACACCCAAATACCTACACATTCACACACACAAACAATTATACTTATAATACTTAAGTTAAGACATGAAAGAAAAAGTTGAATAAGTTGTAATAAACATTTTAGTTGAAAGATGACAAAAATTCAGCAGAGAATGAACTTCATGACATGCTGTTTTAGTGCTGTCAGCTCATACTGTTGCTACCTTAGTGCAAGTTTACTTCCATTTAATCTGTGAGGTCTGCATTGAACATGTTGACAGCATATGTCAACAACTGAGTTGTTATAAGCTAATCGTAACAATGGCTGATTTGTGAAGGCATTGATGCACTAGCAGTATTAGGTATTTTTCCAGCCACCGAGTGAGGGTTCTATTCATTGCATTATGTTGTATTTGCTCTACATTACATGATAAGCTAGAAAATAGTTCGATTAAGTCAAGTAGCTACAGCTTTTTACATCTGTGAGTTAAATTTTAGACAGATGAAGAAATAAGACAAATAAAGAAAAGTTTGCTCATACGATAGTAGAGTGTTCCGAGCTTTATCATCATCATTTTCTATCGTCGAATAGTATGGTGAAGGATTGGGTTCCTCCAATGTATGGTAGGCAGGCTCTTTTGAAGGACTGTTAAGGGTAGATGAGGGTGTCTGACTGTTTAGCTTGACCGTCGGAGTACTATTGGCATAGTCATAATTAGGCTCTTGTTCTTTTGAAGAAAATGGTGCTCCAGGTTTTGTTAAGTTGAGCCGCGGTATTTCATCCGTAGCATAATCATATTTCAATTCTTGTTCTGTTGGAACATCTGGTGCTGTAGGTTTTAAGTTGAGCCGCGGTATTTCATCTGTAGCATAGTCATATTTCAGTTCTCGTATCTTTGAAACATCTGGTGCTTGAGGCATTTCAGTGTTATCAACGCACTCGTACTTCGGTTCTGGCTTTTTTGACTTCAAATTTGCCAATTTAAGATGATCAATGTATTCATATTTTGCTGACGAATCTAAAGAATTTAAATAACAATTAGAAACATCAAAGTGCGCTGTTTCAAGACCTCAGGTGCTAGTGTTACATCTTAAAATATCGTAAATATTTTTTAGGATGGCCAAAATAATTTGATAGTTCTGAAAAGAAATGTTTCACAACTAAAACACCAACCAAATTGTTTTAAAAACAACTGTTTTAAAAACTAAAAGACACGATGGATTTCCGCTGACCACTCATCAGGTTTCAACGTCTGATAAATGAGAACTTAAAATCATTGGATAGTTATAATGGCAAGAAAAAGTGAACTGTTTCAAGCGTCATCTCTCATCTCATTTAGCCGAAGTTGACACCCCTTAAGAGTAGTCCGCCGTAATGCATCAACTGTTTTTAAAACAGTTCTTCTTTGTAGAACTATATTTCGTTGATGTATTGTAAAACAGTTATTTTTAGAACTCTTTTGGACCATTTTGGGGCTTTTGACCATCCACCATAGCAATTGCTATTTTTGAAACAATTTTTACACTTGTCACCACGACAAAGTCTTCATTGTACTATCTTACAGCATCCAACAATGTTCCTTGTCTCAACTGTTCAACAAAAAATGATGTAGATTAATCGGTTCATTTACACTTTATGTTGTTCAATGTTTTCGATGGAGTTCAAAATTTGGCCATAACAAGCAATGTATACCCAATTCCAACCTCAGCATACCCAACTATGAATTCCTATAAATACCATGACAACTCTATCCCAAGAAATGTGTACCTAACCATTGTTTCCTTGTTTACAACTTCTAATTACAACGTCCCTATAGAAATTACAACCTCCCTATGGAAAAAAAACTCTTGTGAACCCAAGCAAAACCGGTTTACACACGGCGCAGCTAACCCATTCACAACACCCGTACATAAACATAGCTTTTGAAGGAAGAGATTTTTTCAGAAGCAAAATGTTAAAGGCAAGAAAAATACCTTGATCGTTCTCGGTGTTTATTCCTGTATCATTGATCACTTGTAATGGATCTACATACTCTGGTTCTGTTTGTGATTGGTACGTTGGGTTAATGAGATGGCCTAAAATAAAACGTCAAAGGCGAACTTCTTAGTAAGAAAGTTGAAAACGAACATCCAAAATCTTTAATTTTCTTCAATGCAATTCTATATTTATTGATTGTTTATGACACTACACACAGGACATGCAAGCAAAATAACGAACATATATATTTTATGATCATGGCTTGAACGAAAACTTGCAGAAAAATGCGTTTTACCACTAACATTTTACCATTAAACTGTTTTATAAATGTGCCTCTTACCACTTTTCTATGCATACAAAAAAGTAGTTTACCTTCTTCATGAGGCGATTTCTTATTTCTGTAAGAAAAAATGAAACAGTTAGTTTTGACAACACCGTGAGCACAGAGCAAATTTTTTCAAAGTTGGGAGAAAAATTTCAGAGAAACGGTTTGTCATCGTAACCATCGCATGGTATCAGAATCAAACGAATAGTATATTTTTTTGTATGTTTTTATGTACGTTAAACATACAGAATTTTATTTGTATACCCATGTCATAATACCCAAATGTACATACAGCGTACCTATTTTCACATAATTGAAAGAATGATCCTTGAAGAAGCAAGAGCATAAAATTTATTTTAATATCTTTTATGTTTTCGATACTACTCACCTGTACGCACAGCGTACGTATTTTCTCACAATTGAAAGACTGATCCTTGAAGAAGTGTGAGCATAAAATTTATTTTAATACCTTTTATGTTTTCGATACCACACAAAATAAAACAAGACGAACATAAGGACAATGGTTGCGATTGATACAGAAACTGCTATAACAATTGCCTGAGATGAGCCTCCTTCACGTTCTTCGTGGGGTTGACGTGTGTGGTTGCTACTTGATGTTGGTGATGTGGTCATCTGGACGGGTGATGTGGTCATCTGGACGGGCGATGTGGTCATCTGGACGGGTGATGTGGTCATCTGGACGGGTGATGTGGTCATCTGGACGGGTGATGTGGTCATCTGGACGGGTGATGTGGTCATCTGGACGGGTGATGTGGTCATCTGGACGGGTGATGTGGTCATCTGGACGGGTGATGTGGTCATCTGGACGGGTGATGTGGTCATCTGGACGGGTGATGTGGTCATCTGGACGGGTGATGTGGTCATCTGGACGTGGTCTGTGACGACGTTGTTGTTCGAGGTTGTTGATGTTGTCTAAGAAATGTTTTTAAGAAATCAATCCCACTACCAAATACATCACGAAGATGGCAAAATATAAAATGACCACACATTAAAGGTAACTTAAAGACAACCCGGTCAACCACAGTGAAGTTGTGCTCAATAGCTTAGTTGGCCAGCAAGTTATACTCCCGCTATGTAATTTCTATAAAAATGTATTGTGTTTACAGTTGCTGACTGGCTACGAGTTATAACTGAAAAAGGCAAGATGTAAAGGAATATTTCCACTCTATATTATCAAGCTAGGTGTTTATTTACAAGCAAGCGTGATCTTATATTGTTTTTAGCTACAAAGGAACAAACGTAAGCATTCGAAAGAAAAAAAAGGTTAGAAGGTGTTACTGTTTACAATTAGACCAGGGATTAGAAAAAAATATTTTCTTTAGAAGGCGTTACTATTCACAATTACATCAAAGAAATTAGGAAAAAAATACAAGTTCTTTAGAAGCCTTCACAAACCAGAGTTCAGCTGACGCTTTTTGAAACGTACATAAATCGCCTCAAGGAAAAGCAAAAGATTAGGATTGTTGTAATGAAGACAGTGCAAAGTGTTAGTGGTGTTGAGAATGTGATCATGAGTAGAAAAGAGATGTGGTAAATTAATGTCATTAATTGTGTCATATAAGTTGAAAATAATGGAAATGGTTTGAACCCGGAGTATCGTTACGTGTTTGTGGATGTAGATCGTCCAGATGTGAAGAGTCTTGAGAAAGACTGTTGTTGTTATTGATAATGTTTCGAAAACATTTGCGGTAGTCGTCTTTGACTCTGAAGATGACTACCGCTATGGTTGTCGAAATCTCCGTCAACAACAACAACAACAGTCCTTCTCAGGACTCTACTAACCTGGACGATCTACATGACTACATCCACAAACGTGTAAGTTGTAAATGTCGGTTATTGCGCGTCATGGCAGTTTGCAACATGGTCATGAATAGCGCTTTTGTCGAATTATTGCTTTAAATCTTGTCTCTTGCTATTTAACTCTAATCTTGAGTTTACAAGATGATGTGTTTTTAGATTGTGTTTTCTCGTTCATTTTTTCAAATTGTCGGATGGAATAAGGTTTTACAAAAAAATTTACAAAGCAAATTTGCGGGCTGGCTACGCCAGTGGGTATGCCACAGACACCTACATCATGCATTATCTCTTTACTTCCTTTTATCAAAAGTCTTTGCGAAGTCTTTTATCCACAGCAAAATACAGAGGCATGAACTAAATTTATAGTTACGCATCAACCAAAAAATTTTGCATACTATCCATGTTTATAAATTTGACATAATAAAATTATGGATTTGCACACATTGTGTCCTGGTGATTATACTAAAGAAAGATTGGATTAATGGTAGACTCACCTCTTTTAGTATTGTTGGAAACTTTAAGAGCAAACAATGAGATTCACTTTCAAGATTTTCTTTGGTTGTTTCGCTTTCACAGGTAACTACTAGTTTCATCAAATAACCCTGGTACTTTGGTAATGCGCTATTTTGCACCTGGATTATCAAAAATAAAAGAAAAACAAATATTCGTTGAGGTATGCTGCTAATGTGTGGCCAGCAAATCAAAAATCTTAGCCATCAAAGGATCAAAAGTTATTTGAACAAATATCCTTCCCCTTTTCCAGACTTCCTCTTCCCCCACCCTCTTATTGTGTGATATTGCTCAAAAATCCTTATATTTTCGTCTATAAGTTATGGTTAGCAAAATTCTCTTCTGAATGTTTTTTATGCAGTGCGGTGTTTGAAATTAAATGAGATATGATCTTCGCACTTAGCTGGACAATTTAAGCAATCGTCTCAGGACCTGAAAAAATCAGGTGACTCAACGGGATTCGAACCCATGACCTCTGCGGTGCCGGTGCAGTGCTCTGACCACTGAGCTATGAAGTCACACAGTGGTGAGCAGGTCAATATTGTTGGCTCATGTTTTCTCGTGAAATGAATGTCATATGAATGTTTTTTATGCAGTGCGGTGTTTGAAATTAAATGAGATATGATCTTCGCACTTAGCTGGACAATTTAAGCAATCGTCTCAGGACCTGAAAAAATCAGGTGACTCAACGGGATTCGAACACATGACCTCTGCGGTGCCGGTGCAGTGCTCTGACCACTGAGCTATGAAGTCACACAGTGGTGAGCAGGTCAATATTGTTGGCTCATGTTTTCTTGTGAAATGAATGTCATATGAATGTTTTTTATGCAGTGCGGTGTTTGAAATTAAATGAGATATGATCTTCGCACTTAGCTGGACAATTTAAGCAATCGTCTCAGGACCTGAAAAAATCAGGTGACTCAACGGGATTCGAACCCATGACCTTTGCGGTGCCGGTGCAGTAGAGGTCATATCTCATTTAATTAAAATTCTCTTCTGTCCACCCGAATCGGTTCAATCAATGTACAGCCAGTCTCACCTTTAAAATTTTTAAATTTTCACTTGTATTATTTTCCACGTAAATCAATTTATCGTCGTTGGGTGTCGTTAATTTCCTCCATTTTGTTTCATTAAGCTGCTTCGATTCGGACCAGTTTACTCGGCATGTGGCGTTTCCTTGAAACAGCGGAGCATAGAATGCTTGCTCTTGCATGCCATTGGACGACTTTCCCACAAGAGAATACATGAATGTTGAGTTAAAAAAACGGTAGCATCCTATAAAAAAGTAAGTTTGACGATTTTCATTAACGTATCTAGCGGTCGATGGTGTTGCACAACCATCCATGAGTGAAATAATGTTAACTTCTTTACACTAATTATTTGCAGCTTTGTAATTTTTTGACAAAGAATTGGCTTCAAAAACGACCGCCTAATTGTCGATCCCGTGTTTCTATTGAGTTTACAAGCATTCATATAGAATCATAGTCATGTTTATCGTATGCGTTACGTTGTTTATGTTTATTGTACAAACTTTTGCTCATACCTTTGTATTTGATTATTGTCTTAGAGTTATTTTTGTAATGCCAAGTTATAGGTTCATTTTCATCTTCATCTTGAGAATAGATTATCGAATAACGTTTTTGACTATGGGGCTGTTTTTTCATGAACACATTAATTTTTTTCCTGCAATATCTAGCAAAAACTCTGAGTACGTTCGTTTCGTCTTCGTTTTCGTTTTCGTTCATAACTTCTTGTTCGTAGCCACTATTGTTTTTGCATTGTCCTGAAGTAATTGTTCCATGTTCTTTTTCACAATCAGGAATGAAATGCATGCATTGTAAAGTTTTAACATTCATGAGAGACACAGTTTCTTTAGTTCTATTTAACGATACCCATTGTTGTGACATTGCTGAAGAACATGGTTTCCCTGCTAGTGGCTTGCTTTCTCCTTCAGATTCAACGCACATTTCTTGTTCGTTTTCCCCAACTCGCTTCATGAGTGGGAATCGTTTGTTTCTTAGAGCTGTTCAAAGAAAAACATTGATTGTGTTTAATTATACATAAATTTGTCAATATTTGTTCAAATTGTTAAATGACAATTTATGTTTCAACTCTAATTTAACGTTCTTATTTAACCTCATTAGTGACTGTGGAGCGGATTTGAAACTGGGGGCTGGGGCAAGATAGCACGAAAACATGCTATATAAAAGAGATTAATAGGTCGGACAAATAAAAATTACAGATTACCTTATCAAACAAGGAGCATCAAACGAATGTACTCAATCGCTGTCATAGCTAATATTTATATAATTTTAAATCGAGGAAGGAGTAAGTAAGTGCAAAACTTTAAATTTTTCAAGAATATCTGTCTTTATCAAAATAAATCAGTCGCATTTTTAGTTCATAGAAAAAAGGAGGCGTGCTACCCGCCAAACAAATAGTTTGTGTCAATTAGAGAACGGCACGAAATACGAATCATATAACTTAACGATGAAAATCTTCAAAAATAAAACGTCGAGGTTTCTTTGTGGGTAAAATTTTATCCGTTGCTTGATATGCTACAATGGGAGTTGATGCCTTGAAGAAGGCGAACTTTCCAGAAATTAAAATAATGTTGTTAATTAATTGTCAATTTCAATTACGATTTTCAAAATATCAGGAAGTCATGTGACCAAAATGACGAATGATACTGGTTTCATCATCAAAAGTAGACTGACTTTGGCTTTATTGAACGTATATACACCTGTCCTACTTGCATTTTATATTATTCCACTGGATCATGATTGAACTTAAACTTGAAATGATTGTTAATGAATAGTTTTCAAAATTTGTCAAAATCACATTCAATTGTCCTCAATTTATTATTAAACAAAAGTTGAAATATTGACGTCTTTGTTTATAAATCGCTGCATTTAAAACACTTAAATAATTAGCCACCATGTTTGCATGTAGATTAAGTTTATTATTTATTACCCTGTTCATCTTACCAGATTCTGGGATTATATCTTGATCTTTGGTACAGTTGTAAGTGTTGTCGCCGTTAGTTGAAAGAAACGTTCCTCTACCGTGTTCACATTGACATCGTGTGCAATTTTTACTTTTTACGCAGTTGGCGCCATGTATTTCACATTGTCTTTCTTTGCAGTTGCCCTGTTCTGTACATTTTATATTCTTAAACGTATCAAGTTCACCTCGCTCAATTTCGAATGACGTGGCTTCGCTGTTATTGTGACAGCATTGAAGGGCGAGGAAGGACGTCACGAAAATCATTCGTATTACTATCACCGTCTTCATTGTTAGATATCACTTTGAAGTATCAAGTTGATATCTATGAACCTCTACATATACTTGATACATCGTCTTAGACTGAATGAAGACTGATACGTAAGAACACTTCCTTCGCTTTCATTATAGGGCGGGATTTTCTATATCGTGACATCAGATGTCTGCTTTGTGTTTGCCGCACTTTATCCTGTCGAAGTTGTTTTTACATAAAAACAAAGAACTTTGTTTATATCAAATATCAATGGTTCAATAAAGGGCTTGCTTCCGGTGCATATTGTGCTTCTTTTACTTTTGACTCCTGTTCGTCGTTGGCCATGTGATGTGACTTGTGTATTTCACAAAAAACTAGTGCTTTTACTTCGGCTGGTGGCTAGTGTTTAGATATTTAATCAAATATTTTTGGATGTGAGCCATTGAGAGAGCAGCTTTTGACACAACATGACCGGTATTTACGATCAGCTAAAATAGATCACTTGACGAGGTCACATGCTGTTAACATGAAACATCCTTAGTTTTTTATGCATATATCAAACACTGAAACGTAAATCTAGAGCATGAGAAGTTTTCAATTTTTACACAATTTTTCCTTTCACATTTTGATTTTTTTCGTGATTTTCATTTGTACATTTCAATCCCATCTGCGTGCTCTCGTCGAATTCAAAACTATCGACATCGATATCAGTTTGTCTACGTGTCCTTTGTCGTCTATTTATCAATTCAAATAATAGATGAAAACGTTATGCGCATGTTCGTGTTAACCTCTGTCAATTGCCATTTCAATCCTAATGTTATATTTGTGCTAGAAGCATGCGCATAACTAGTCAGACACAGTTCCCCGACCTCCGTGAGCGGAGTTAAACTAAGACTCCTGTGCTATAAGACATTATTTGGTAAGCATTCTCTTCACACGTTAAATTGTGCAAAATCAGAGTCTTTGTAAAAAGCAAGAGAAATGATTAGTTCCAAACTATTCTCGTCTATTGAAGCTGATGACAATCACAGTTGGGGGAAATTTACCACCCTAAGTAAAAAATACAATCTTCCCATAATGAATAGAATCAGATCTAGTAATTCTCTTATCCCAAACTGAGCACGTAAAGCAATTATAGATACTTTAGTCTTAAATTCATTAATTTTATTAAAATATTATATCAATTAATAATGCCACATTCGCTATTCAGAAATATCATGTTAATAATAAGTCGACGAAGCGCTTATTGTGAGGAATGTTTTTAGTGAAGCACCTTAATCATGGTTTTCATTTCTCAATTTAAGAAGCATATCATATAAAACAATATCTGTAAACCTTCCTTCCTCTTACTGTCTTAATAAAATTTTATTTTTAATTCCAGTTATAAATTTTTTATAAACTTTTCAATGTTAAAGACAAATGTTGTATAATTCCGTAGTGTGTACATTTAGATAAATAATTCTTTTTATCTTGTTCATTCAATAGTAATTCATTTCACAAGACGGTAATTGCTGATTCAATGAATGCTCTATCTATCTATCTATCTATCTATCTATCTATCTATCTATCTATCTATCTATCTATCTATCTATCTATCTATCTATCTATCTATCATATCTATATCTATCTATCTATCTATCTATCTATCATCTATCTATCTATCTATCTATCTATCTATCTATCTATCTATCTATCTATCTATCTATTCATCTATCTATCTATCTATCTATCTATCTATCTATCTATCTATTCATCTATCTGTCTATCGTCATCTATCTACTTCTATCTGTCTATCTATCTGTCTATCGTCTATCTCGTCTTCTATCTGTCTATCTATCTATCTATCTATCTCTCGTCTATCTATCTGTCGATCTATCTATCTATCTATCTATCTACTATCTATCTATCTATCTGTCTATCTATCTATCTGTCTGTCTATCTATCTATCTATCTATCTATCTATCATCTATCTATCTATCTATCTATCTATCTATCTATCTATCTATCTATCTATCTATCTATCTATCTATCTATCTATCTATCTATCTATCTATCTATCTATCTATCTATCTATCTATCTATCTATCTATCTATCTATCTATCTATCTATCTATCTATCTATCTATCTATCTATCTATCTATCTATCTATCTTTCTGTCTGTCTGTCTATCTATCTATCTATCTGTCTCTCTGTCTGTCTGTCTGTCTATCTATCTAAAGTGTCATTATGTATTCTTATAAGTGGTGGTCTGGTAACTAAAAGTAAACTTTTTACTTATCCTTTATTAAAGTGACCCTGGATTAGCACTTTAGAGTCAGTGTTTCATTTTGTAATAGTATGACTGCATCATCCGGCCGTAGGTTCATGACTCACATAACGCAATGCATTCCTTTTAAGGATGTTGAATGTTTGTGACTGTTGAAGACAGCATGACGTTTTTTGTCCTGCTGTCAAGCTATTCCCCTTTGAAAATGAATTTTTTGACTATATAAATATGTCGATCTCATTTCGCTACTGATTTTCAGCACTTATTTTAATCACGAAGGCACTGTCCCGTCATTCATTAAGCGTGTTAACTATGTGATAAAGTAGCAATACTTCCATCTCCTTTTCTTATTGGTTTTCACGCCTCTCTCGTTCTATGACTCACCACATCAAATATATGAGCTTATTTTTGGTTCGAAACATAATTTTACATTGAAGGTTTGGAAATTTCGATGTGCGTAACTCTTCTTCCGTTTCTTTTATCTTTTGAATATCGATTATAAATGGGTTTTGTAACGTTACTCACGCGTGGTTTTTGCCGTATAGGGGAGCCATTTGAAGCCTTTCGTGGTAAAGTGTCAGGTTGATTGTTATTGTTATATAAGTCATCAATAGTTTTGTGCTATTTTCATACATATTCTTATAATTGTCTTGATTCACGACTGAAAAAATGCAAGTGATTGAATCTATTTTAACTGAAAACTATAAATTAGGTGTGTCAAATATTAGCGGATTCCTTGTGATTGTTTGCTTAAGAAACTACGGAATGCAAAATAGTTCCTTTAGAACAAGAGGGGACTCCCAGCTGTTCTCAGGGATTCCCCACTGCAAAATTAATCTTCCCCGACTAAAAACATGTGCACGAGTTACAACACACCCCCTTTGCTATACCTCTTTATATTTCAATTGATTTTTATTGACTTATCTTTCAGATGTTAGTGAAGAAATGTCCTAAGTATACACAATGTACGGCAGTGATATGCTTTCGCCTTGCTGTGACTTATTTGACTTTCTTACCAAAAGGTGACGCGTGCATGCTTTGAAGTGTTTTGATAAGTGCAAATAGGGTATTCCCCGATCGCATTATAAATTATTAACTACGCAACGTTTATTATGTTTTTCTCCTAAATACTTCAATGCTAGCGCTTTTTAATGATCGTTATTTCATTATGATAAAATAAGGAGTATTAACTATTTCGTGGAACTTTTCCCTACAATCTTTTGTAAGTTATTTTGAAAATGAACTCAAAGTTGGCATTTAAATAAAATTCACGCTAATTACGTTTCACGCTATTTGAAGAAGCGTGTTTCATAACATGGTTTAAAATAAACCTCTTGACTGTTTTATTGTTACATATTCTTCACGCTAAAGATGTGTTTTCAATGGAATGCGTTATGAAGACGTATGGCAAACGTGCCCATGCATGGTTTACATATCTTGTCTATGATTGGTCGGTTTTACCATTGTTTTTGTCGCATGATGTGAGTATAAAAATGACGAAACTAGGGGAATTTTATTACCTATGCCTAGTTAACTAGCTAAGTCAACGCAGTCGCCTTGAATTTAGTTGATACATAGCGTTTGCCTGGAAACCTCTGGTTCATTTTAGCTTTTGGTGTGTCAATAAGCTTATGGCCGAAGCGAGTTGTTTCAAGATAGTTAAAGACTCGGATTATAAAGTGGAATTTGATCAGAAAAGCGAGATTGTTGAGAGCGATTTAAACGACTTTAATACAATCACTGGTAAACATAACGAAAGTGTAAGCGCCATGTTGGGTAATAATTGTGAATTATCAGACTGGTTTGATGACGATTGTGACTTCTTTACCTGGGAAGGAGACATGAAAGTTGCAGGAAGCGATGAAAATGTTTTTGATGATGCAATAGAGCCATTACGAGACAATCATTTCTGTAGCACAAATGACAGCCTGGACAAGGATCATTTAAATTACAATTACATCAAAAAGTTGTACGATCAGGGACTGATCAGTGAAGACGCTGATCTTCATGAAATTTATGCCAACGGAGAAGATCTAACGGGCAAGAACATTCCTGTTTCAAGCAAGTGTTCGGAATATGCGCCATCAAAAATAGATGACGAACATCTGTCCTCAAGCGACAATGAAAAGGACAATTTTGTAAATAAAACAGAGCATGTTTTACTGTCAAATGCCCAAAAACTTTATAAGGAAACCTTTAACCATTTTTCAGAAGAATTCGACCCCAAAATGTCGTTACGTTTTGGCGGGAAAGGATGCGTGAATCCTGGGGATAAGGTCTCGATGGTCACGACACGCAGTCGACGTAGCTCCCGTGGTGCTTCCGGCGAAACAACCAGAAACATGACAACAAACATCAAGCTGCACAATGGACTTAAAGGCACGCGTCTTTCCAATGCTGGAAGTGTTCAAAAAGTTAAGCAACTTGGAAGGAATCGAGTAAGGTCAAGTACGTCAAGTTCTTCATATCAACTTGACGACACTAGTCCAATTTCAAGTCCTGAAGCCGAAGTACCTTGCGTTTCACCAGTGAACACGGAAGAGTATATCAATGATGAGGATTTGATAGCTCTGGATACTAAGGAACTGAACAGACGAGTGCGACATCTGCAGCCGCGGATTGTCCAGCAGATTAAGCATCGTAGGCGGACTTTGAAGAATCGGGAATATGCCAAGTCTTGTCGACAAAAGAAGATCGACGAAGCCAGCAGTTTACAGCGAAGCAACGGTGATTTGGAAAAGGAGCTCGGTAGTTTACAAATTGAGCTAGAACTCGCCTTGTTTCAACGCGATGAATGGAAAAATAAATTTATGAATTTGTTACGGATGAGGACGGTAAACATCCAGTAATATGTACGAAGCATTTCAAATTATTCTACGGAGAAAAACTAAATGTAGCTGTTAAAAATCTTTTCATAAATATGTTGGTTATATTAGTAAGCGAACGGACGCTCATTTTAAAATATGGAACAGTATGACTGTGTACTATTGCACTTAACCCTCAACTCCATGCGTTGTTTGTTAATTAATTTTTTACCGAACCACCATCTTCCTATATATCTGACATCTGTCAGTTTAGTTTAAACCTGTCACATTAATCCATGTCTAATATACTTCATTACGTACTAGAGCACAACTTACCTGTGTGGAGTTGAGGGATTACTATCTTTATAGTTACCTGTGTATGGGATTTAGTGCAACTAAGCAATAACTGTCTGTATATAGTTGGTTAGCAAGAAATCGCTTTAGAAAGCCCTTTATTGCGGCTTGCTTGTTATGTTAAAATTATTCACGTTATGTTGCATGAGCGAGTAGTATAATTATAATTATTATTGTACACTATAATTAATTATAACTGTAGTATAATTGTAAATTATAATACGTCGTTTCCATTGCGTTTTTATCGTTGTAAATAAGCAGAAAAATTTTGTTGTAAAACATGTTTGATGCTTGCCTAAGAAGGCTATTGTGGAATGTTGAAATATTAAACAATCATTTCTAGCCATGTAGACGAAGCTACTTATTTGAACTTGTCTACCACTCCAACTAAACCACAGTTTTTAACTCGTACAATTTCATTTTTGAACGCAATCAAGTGAACTACTACGTTTTGTCATGACCAATGGGCTTGAAACAAATTATCCTTCTAAGCCTCGAGCAGTAGACCTCAGATTTCATGTTTATGTCAGGCAAAACGATTGTTTAGACGTCTCTTGCCTTGACGCTTTTAAAGGTATAATTTTTTCGATATTGCTTTGTAGGTGTTTATATTTGTGTTTTCTTTTAAACAAAGAACGTCTGTTTTGTAAATTTTGTTGCATCATTAGTTCCAAGGATAAAAGAACGTCTTTCCCAATTTCTTAATGTCGGTTGCAACTGTCGTCCACTATAGTTCGGTCGCCTTAAGCAAAATACCCTGTAAATAATATTAACTATTTTGAGGAACGAGAATTTAACGTTTGGTTCACTTCTAAAAATCCTCTTCATTCTCCCCGTATACGTAAGTTTGTCTGGCTTAATTTGTCAAGAGCACCGGATGTTTTTAAGACCGCTAGACACGTGACTTTGAACACACCAATTTTTAGAGAGAGAAAATGAGAAAGACAGTGGAAAAATGGAAGAATTGATCAGAAGAGAAACTTGGAAGACTGATGTTGGATGCAGACACCCGTCAAAATGAAATGACAATGAAATGAAACAACGAAATCGAGAGTTTTGCAAATAAAACATACCGGTATCAGCCATCAAATACTCAGAAGCGTTGTTTGGCGGCTTCAATAATGTATCAGAAAGAAGAAAGCAATCCTACGTAGCAAGAGAGATCATGGTACTGACTTCGAACAAAAGAGAATGATGCCTTTGGCAAAGACGAATTTTGGGTTGATATGAAAATTTTGTGCGCGAAAAAGAAAATGTGAACTATCAGAAGAATTTTAAGAATGTTACGCTCAACATTGTCACTCTTCATGCCTTAGAACTGTCACTGATGTCTTGGCTATAGTATCGTACTCGTTATTGATCTCCGTGAGGTCACTTTCCCCCAACGGATAAACGTAACCGGTTATAAAATGGCTTTCGTCGTTGCTAAGCAATAAGCAAAAAGCAACATGGCGGTAACAAAAACAAGTTTAAGTTCAACTTAGATGTCTTTTCTTATTTTTTTAAATATTTTTCATCGCTGTTGGGAAAAATATAAAAGAATTAAGGTTTTATATGTTTTGTATTGATTTTATGTGAATTTGATCGAACATTGATGATTTTTGGTACAATATTGTCAACATATAAATATGGTCTCTTGGACCGTAGTACCGGACGTTTTTGTGTTTGTATCTCGAAAGTTGCTGCACATTAAATAGATTGCTTGGCTAAGTTGCTGTTTTGGCTGTGTTTCTTATCGCAGAGAAATGCTACACAGTGCACGGCAAACGTCATTTTGAGTTGTTATTTTTCGTAAGCATAAATGAAACACTGACGCATTTCATACAATATTTCAGAGCACACGTTTTGATGATGGTGATGTCAGATATCTCCCTGGAGCCTGGTGAACATAAGATTACTTTCACTGTGACAATTGCTTGTGCTGTTCAAGCAGGTAGGAGCTTAAAACTCGACTTAGGGGCGGATTACATGGAGATATTTCAGCAGGGTTTGAGCTACCCGGGCTGAAATTTCCGCCTGGACCGAAAAATCTATCATGTAATCATTTCAGCCCGGGCTGAAACCACAGTTTAAAATATTCACGCGTGCGTAACTGCGTACCTATTGCTTATGATGACGATAACAAATTAACGACAACTGGCGATCATGCCTCGGATGATCTTCGTAAATTTCAGCCCTGTCTAAACACCAGGCTGAAATTGCTCCATGCAATCGGCCCCTTAACCAGTTTAAAGATATTAAAAGCTGAGGGCGAATTTTTGAACAAGCATTGCCCCACAGATATGATTAAATTCTGGTACTCTTATACCATGATTGGAAGATATTTTTTGGAAGAGTGCTCCATTAAACACAAATCATACTTGCTTTTGCTTATACGCTTGGTATATTTGTGTGCACCCCCTCTCCTCCACGTAAATCCATCCAAGAGGCCATTTGAAGCCATTTCGAAATCGGAGTAATGATCAATAAATATTTTGAAAGTGTATTTTTCAAAGAACACACTACTTTATAAGTGTATATTTTTTGCAATATTTCAGTCGAAAGTGATGCTCCCGTTTTCGAATCAAAGAAAGGCAGACGTATGGCCGTGTACGAGGCACCCAAACCTCAACAATACTTCCATTTGGAGTACAAGCTGATGCCCGATGCTCTGGAACCGATGAAGACGGACGTTGTGATGTATGGGGTCGCCGCTAAGATTTACACCGATAATGATTCAAAAGTGGTGAGAACATGGAAGGAAGGTGAAAAGATATGGATCGCGTGGACGCAAAAGTAAGAAGTGTGACTACTGACATAGCACTGAAGTAAATGGTTTGAGCCCGGGAGTATCGTTACATGTTTGTAAATGTAGATCGTCCAGGTTGGTATAGTCCTGAGAAGGACTGTTTTTGTTGTTGCTTGACTCTGAAGATGACTACTGCTAAGGTTGTCGAAACGTCAGTCAACAACAACAAAAACAGTCCTTCTCAGGACTATACCAACCTGGACGATCTACATTTACAAACATGTGACATAGCACTGTCCACTTATTTGAGTGCTGAGGTCTATCAGAGCATGCTCCCCCCCCCTCCTCCCGCAAGAAAAGTTTAAATTTCAGCCCTAGTTAAGTCATCCTGCTCAGCCATAGCTGGTTGTTACCTCAATCACGGGCTCAAAATGTGTTCAGTAAAGATGACCGATCAACTTCATTTCAGCGCGGTGAAAGTCGTTTTTTTACTCTTCCCTAATACACGTAACTTGCAGAAAATAACGTGAAAAGCTTTTTTTTGAGACCGCACATTCTCGTGTTTTACGTTCTAAGTTCTCCCCATATGTTATCATGCATCGTATGACTGTCACTAAAGAGGTTTGGGGAAAGACATAAAAATGTAGTCAATTAAAACGAAGGTAAAAAGTGAGTGCGTCAACAAGCAATTTAAACCGTTATTTTGAACCCTGCAATACGATACGCAGCACCATCTAAATTATCGCGGTGGTTTATTTTTTACAACGTGTCACCAATCATTTTACGTCTTCATTTGAAGCGTTTCAGTATGGGTGACGAAGGAATTTCTGCTCAGTGCTTTTGAGCATTCTCTCGATCTTATTATATGGGACTCGAAGGAGAAGGTTTCCACCCGCGCCAGATTTGACCGCCCTAAAGCTTTCAGGTTGCCCGAAGGTCCGGAAAATGAAGAGGTGAATACTCCAAGTCAAAATAACGCAAGCAGCAACGTCAAGGCGCTCGTTCTCAGGCAGTCTATCAGTCACGTGCAACTGCAGTTGAAAGAAAGCCGTCAAAACAAAGGTGGGGACTAGTGGCTACATTATATATGGAGGTTTTGATATGAATGCACACAGTCATCACATGGATTGCATATGCTTTGCGGTCGCAAAGTGCTGCCCAAATTGTTATTTCTAATATTGGTAAAAGTTCTTCTGATCCATTCTGTTCCTTTAATATTTATCTTTATTCATGTTGAAATGTCTCACAATTTTGTTCATTATTAGTAAGTAATTGTTTATTAGTAGTTTTTGTTCATTATTAGTTTATCATTATTAGTAAGTAATTGTTTATTAGTAGTTTTTGTTCATTATTAGTTTATCATTATTAGTAAGTAATTGTTTTTTATCTTTGTCAAGATCGTCTTGCACAAACGGCATCGGCACGAACTTTAAAGGACTTTGAAAATGCGGAAGAACAAAGATCGACCACAGCACCGTCCACGGTACAACAGCAGAATACTGACAAACAGAAAGTCAAGCGAGAGCAAAAGCAATCCCCCTACCTGGATAGATGTTCGTCGAAAACTTCTGCTACCCATTTTGAATGAATCCAGGGGGGGGGGGTAATTGCCTTTGTTTCGTTCAATAGTTGAAAGACGATTAAATGGCGTAGCTATGTTGCTATAAAGTAAATGTTTTGAACCCGAGAGTATCGTTACATGCTCGTTAACGATTTCCGCGCGCATGCTCAATGGAGATAACTTCCTTCTATTTCCTCTTTTTCGAATAACTGGTCATGCAATTTGTTTTATTTCAATGTCAGTTTGGCGCGCGCTTTGTGTCAACTTTTTGCAGATTGTATTTAAAAAATTTACTCTCTACCTCTGAACAGTCGTATATTCTGGAGACCTTCGTTAACCAACTAACGTGGCTTGTTTGTGCGCAAGGCTTAAGAATGAAATTGGATGTATTTTGAGATGTTTTACTTAAGTTGCGGTGCTAGGATCAAAATACATCACGACGCCTCGTTTTATGATTCTGTTGGTTAAAAATTTCTAAAGAATAATTCAAGCTTACGAGAAGAATTTTATATAAAGTATACTGCATTTCAGATACAATATATTCGATATAACTTACTCTAGATTGGCTACTGTTTGAACACAAAGCAACTATCTCTCCTTAAAGTGTAAACATTTTTTCTATATTTTTTGACATTAACTACATTTCATATGTAGAAACTAAATCCAGTTTTAGTTTTTAATCGGCGCATTACACGTAATCACATTTGACACGTGATATCTTATGTCACGTGATTTCTTATTGCACGTGCATTGCGCTGTTCTCAGGACATGTACGACCTTTTTCTATCATATCCATATAGATTACTCTCCAAACACCGGCACCATCCGTTGCAACGAAGACAAGTGAGCTTGCCAAAGTTCAAGTGCGCATGGACGAGAACAAGTGTAGTCAATGGCTGTCCATTGCCAAACTTGCCGGCCTTTCTGAGCCCTTTTCAAATAACGAAAGGATTTTGAGTTCAGATTTTTCTGAGGATAAAAAAAGATCGAGCGGCGAGAAGGAAAAACGAAGGATGAAAATAGATGCATTGGGTAATTTTTTATGAATTATTTTGTGTAATGGCATTTTTATAACGCATGTATAATAATGCTAGCGATTGTAGTAAAGTAGCTAGAACCAGGTTTTTCATTGCCCTTCAGAAATCAGCCAAAGAGGATCGAGGCGAAAATTGAAGAAGGAAGATCAAAAAGGGGCTTTTCTTGCTGCCTATTCGCGGGCTAACGGTATTGCGACGATCAAGATTCGCCTTGCCTTACTTTTTGCAGGCTGCAAAACGGTCACGGAAAGACTAAATGAGAAAGTAAACAGTCTTGAAGATCTCATGGTGTCCGTATCGCTCGACAAACCGTTACTATCCGAGGAGCAGAAGAAGGAACTAAATCCTATGGTGATAAAGCTTTGCTCTGTCAGTAATCTTCCCAATAAACCACTCTCATATAAACAATTGAATGAAAAGTAAGATTTTTTGATTAGCGTTGCCATTGATATCAATATTACGTGCATTGAGCATTTGAAAATTTGAAGCTGGGAAAGGCAATAGGCCGCCATATTCAAAAGGTGATAGAGGTGCTTGCTTTTATGCTTGCTATTATGCCGAGGCAAAATTGTCACGTTTTAACTGCGCATGCTCAACTGTAGAAAATATTTCGAGTGTTTTTTAAGTGTAGGAAACATTTATGTATAGTAACCTAAGATTGATGGTGCGTGTATACGTATTTCGATCTGTTTTGAGAATATGTGAAGCTGCCAACCGTTTTCAAACATCATTAAGTCTTCCAAAGCTATCCATGTGTAAGTCTTGTTAAGTATCACAGAACGCAATGGATGAATAAGGCTACCCCCGGCTCAGCAAATCAAACAAATGGAAGAAAAATGTCAACAACAAAACCCGAAATTAACCAAATTTTTAGAGTAACCCTGTAATACCAGCGACATTTGCTTTTCCTGTGATGAGTTGAACTGTCGAATCTAAATTTTGCAGTTTGTTTAAAGATATTACGATTATATTTTAATGGTCCTCAACTTGTCAGTTGTTTTAACAGTGGTTTTAACGTCCCATCAGTTTCTACCGTGGCAGCCAATGAACATGCTCTAAGAATTTTTCAATGGCCCGTGATTGGTCAGTTATTATATCACGGGTTATAAAATCCACTCAGCTACTGCTGAGGCAGCCAATCAAAATGTCGAAGGGTAATTTGAAAATACTGAAATGACACCAGTTGATTTTCGTGGGGTTAGGTATGGTATTCGTCTAAGTGGGAGGTAATTCTAGCCAAACTTGTTACAACTTAAATCATCGAGTGCCTTCATTTGATTTAAAGGTGCGCACCAGTCTTCGCGCAGTACGAATTTCTAAAGCAACCCTTACATCGAACTTTGGGTTCTCCGCACGGCCGCAATGTCTACTGGGATGACATGAACGTGGTGTTACTGGGTGTCATGGATCAAGGGGAACTTCAAGAGTTCTTAGAGGGTCCGCATCTTCGTGTCGAGGTACACGATAGGGATAGGGACGAGAAAGGGAAAAAATACAACGCGGATTTATTCGGTGATAATCCTGAAGACGAGATGATCAGCAACGTTTGTATTGTGGCAGGTTAGATGTTTTAAACTGGGTACGTAGAGCGTACGATTTTTTAGTTCTATGTAGGGGGTGGCCTGCGTACAGGCAACCCATGAAAACATTAATGTAACTTTTCAACTGTCTGTTCAGTTGCTGGTTAAATATTTAAACACTAGATACGCAAAGCGAAATTTTTGTACAATATAGGAGCTGGCCTGCGCACAGACAACTCATGAAAACATTGATGTATCTTTTCAACTATCTGTTCTATCTATCAATATTTACATTTTCTAATTTCCTATTTGCAGGGCGCCGAACTTTACATAATCCTTTCAAAGGTAAAGATAGAGCTTGGGATCCCTATGGAGTAGCAAAACTGGACCTTTCCCCCCTTCTGTTGGGTCAACGTTGCTTACATGTGTCAATCCCAATCCACAACTGTCACATTCCAGATCCCACAGTGGGACACGATCGACCGGGAGGCTCTGTTGTCGGGCATGCTGGAAGCGTTGACGGACCAGGTAAGTAAGGTTGACTTTGTTTAGCGCTTTGGAGACAGTTATCTATGGGCAAAGTAAAATTTCTTTGCTTCTAAACAATTAAATTACGAGCTCAAGATTTGTATGTCGTTATGAAGGCGAAGTATTGTAATTGTTTTAGCAGAACCCTTGTAGTTTTCTAGTTTTAATGCATTTGTTGACATCGTTATTGAAAAGGAACGACTCTTGCTCAACGCAATTCTTTAAATACTCTATATTTTTACCCGATTACCGTAACATTCGATCACAAATACTCGCTCTTTATATCAAACACAATCTTCCTCAACAGAAGATGAACCGCTGCCTTCGGCGAATTACATCGAGGCGGGCTCAGAGCTAAAGATAAAAGTTGAAGTTGCAACACCGCTGACCACCGTCAACGAAGTGCGCGAGAGAATGGCACATCCTGATAAAGTGGAAAATCGTGAAGAGGCAAGAATTTAGTACAATGTTGATGTAGTCCGTGGCAATAGCTCAAAAAATTAAATATGTCTCTTATAATCCACAGAAAAAGTGCAATATTCTCTTTATAGAGCATGTGAAATGCAATATCCAGACATAGAAATTGCTGCAAAATAGAATGCAACATTTTTTATTTAGCGGTCCTAAGCGATATTTTTTGATTTCCAGCAATTTCATTGGCTGCTTGAGCGGGCGGCTTTTTACGAAAGTTATCACAGCAAGAGTGCATTTTACTATCCAAACGATTTTACTGTCTCAACATCAAGTTGCATCAGGCCATCGGGCATTTTACAACGCGAATTTCTTCACAATAAAAATAAAATAATAACTATGTTATTTACCGTTTAGGTCGTACCGCCCGGAAAAATATTTTCACTCGGTCTCAAAAGCGTCCCTCGGCCTCGGGCCACAACTCGTGAAAATATTTTTTCCGTACGGACCTCCAAACCCGTAAATAACATCTATTTATTTTTTGTTTGCAGTGTCCTTTCGCTCGCTTGATTTGCATATTCGACTACAGCAACGTAGAATTCTTGAAAGAGCTACAAAACGAGATCACAGAGATTAACTCGGCTGCTTTGGAGCTTCATAATTTACCTGAACATATCATCGAGGCTGCTTTATCAACATATAAACTGTCAGAGTAAGTTGATTGCAAATTTGCTAAAATAGGATGTATATTTTTACATTAAGACAGCATGTAACAGGATCAACTACACTACACTACACTGCACTACACTGTACTACACTGTACTACACTTCATTACACATTGCACTGTACTACACTGTACTACACTTCGTTACACATTGCACTACACTGCACTGTACTACACTGTACTACACTTCATTACACATTGCACTACACTGCACTGTACTACACTGTACTACACTGTACTACACTTCATTACACATTGCACTACACTACACTGTACTAGACTGTACTACACTTCATTTCACATTGCACTGCACTGAACTGCACTGTACTACACTGTACTACACTTCTTTACACATTGCACTACACTACACTGTACTACACTGTACTACACTTCTTTACACATTGCACTACACTGCACTACACTACACTACACTGTACTACACTACACTACATTAAACTACATTACACTGCAGTGCGCTACACTCTACTACACTACGCCAGAACCTTTACCACAGTATAGGGAATATTTTCCATAGTGAGCAAAAAGAATGGAAAACATTGAATATTATAACTGGATTTGTTTCAATATGTTTTTCCATAGTGAGCAAAAAGAATCTGAAACATTGAATATTTTAACTGCATTTGTTTCAATATGTTTTTCCATAGTGAGCAAAAAGAATCTAAAACATTGAATATTTTAACTGCATTTGTTTCAATATGGTTTTCCATAGTGAGCAAAAAGAATCTAAAACATTGAATATTTTAACTGCATTTGTTTCAATATGGTTTTCCATAGTGAGCAAAAAGAATCTAAAACATTGAATATTTTAACTGCATTTGTTTCAATATGGTTTTCTATAGTGAGCAAAAAGAATCTGAAACATTGAATATTTTAACTGCATTTGTTTCAATATGGTTTTCCATAGTGAGCAAAAAGAATCTAAAACATTGAATATTATAACTGGATTTGTTTCAATATGTTTTTCCATAGTGAGCAAAAAGAATCTGAAACATTGAATATTTTAACTGCATTTGTTTCAATATGTTTTTCCATAGTGAGCAAAAAGAATCTAAAACATTGAATATTTTAACTGCATTTGTTTCAATATGGTTTTCCATAGTGAGCAAAAGAATCTAAAACATTGAATATTTTAACTGCATTTGTTTCAATATGGTTTTCCATAGTGAGCAAAAAGAATCTAAAACATTGAATATTTTAACTGCATTTGTTTCAATATGGTTTTCTATAGTGAGCAAAAAGAATCTGAAACATTGAATATTTTAACTGCATTTGTTTCAATATGTTTTTCCATAGTGAGCAAAAAGAATCTGAAACATTGAATATTTTAACTGCATTTGTTTCAATATGTTTTTCCATAGTGAGCAAAAGAATCTAAAACATTGAATATTTTAACTGCATTTGTTTCAATATGGTTTTCCATAGTGAGCAAAAGAATCTAAAACATTGAATATTTTAACTGCATTTGTTTCAATATGGTTTTCCATAGTGAGCAAAAGAATCTAAAACATTGAATATTTTAACTGCATTTGTTTCAATATGGTTTTCTATAGTGAGCAAAAAGAATCTGAAACATTGAATATTTTAACTGCATTTGTTTCAATATGTTTTCCATAGTGAGCAAAAGAATCTGAAACATTGAATATTTTACCTGGATTTGTTTCAATATGTTTTTCCATAGTGAGCAAAAAGAATCTGAAACATTGAATATTTTAACTGCATTTGTTTCAATATGTTTTTCCATAGTGAGCAAAAGAATCTAAAACATTGAATATTTTACCTGGATTTGTTTCAATATGTTTTCCATAGTGAGCAAAAGGAATCGAAAACATTGAATATTTTACCTGGATTTGTTTCAATATGTTTTTCCATAGTGAGCAAAGGAATCGAAAACATTGAATATTTTACCTGGATTTGTTTCAATATGGTTTTCCATAGTGAGCAAAAAGAATCTAAAACATTGAATATTTTAACTGGATTTGTTTCAATATGTTTTTCCATAGTGAGCAAAAAGAATCTGAAACATTGAATATTTTAACTGCATTTGTTTCAATATGTTTTTCCATAGTGAGCAAAAGAATCTAAAACATTGAATATTTTAACTGCATTTGTTTCAATATGGTTTTCCATAGTGAGCAAAAGAATCTAAAACATTGAATATTTTAACTGCATTTGTTTCAATATGGTTTTCTATAGTGAGCAAAAGAATCTAAAACATTGAATATTTTAACTGCATTTGTTTCAATATGGTTTTCCATAGTGAGCAAAAAGAATCTAAAACATTGAATATTATAACTGGATTTGTTTCAATATGTTTTTCCATAGTGAGCAAAAAGAATCTGAAACATTGAATATTTTAACTGCATTTGTTTCAATATGTTTTTCCATAGTGAGCAAAAAGAATCTAAAACATTGAATATTTTAACTGCATTTGTTTCAATATGGTTTTCCATAGTGAGCAAAAAGAATCTAAAACATTGAATATTTTAACTGCATTTGTTTCAATATGGTTTTCCATAGTGAGCAAAAGAATCTAAAACATTGAATATTTTAACTGCATTTGTTTCAATATGGTTTTCTATAGTGAGCAAAAGAATCTGAAACATTGAATATTTTAACTGCATTTGTTTCAATATGTTTTCCATAGTGAAAAAGAATCTGAAACATTGAATATTTTAACTGCATTTGTTTCAATATGTTTTCCATAGTGAGCAAAAGAATCTAAAACATTGAATATTTTAACTGCATTTGTTTCAATATGGTTTTCCATAGTGAGCAAAAGAATCTAAAACATTGAATATTTTAACTGCATTTGTTTCAATATGGTTTTCCATAGTGAGCAAAAAGAATCTAAAACATTGAATATTTTAACTGCATTTGTTTCAATATGGTTTTCTATAGTGAGCAAAAAGAATCTGAAACATTGAATATTTTAACTGCATTTGTTTCAATATGTTTTTCCATAGTGAGCAAAAAGAATCTGAAACATTGAATATTTTACCTGGATTTGTTTCAATATGTTTTTCCATAGTGAGCAAAAAGAATCTGAAACATTGAATATTTTAACTGCATTTGTTTCAATATGTTTTTCCATAGTGAGCAAAAAGAATCTAAAACATTAAATATTTTACCTGGATTTGTTTCAATATGTTTTTCCATAGTGAGCAAAAGGAATCGAAAACATTGAATATTTTACCTGGATTTGTTTCAATATGTTTTTCCATAGTGAGCAAAAGGAATCGAAAACATTGAATATTTTACCTGGATTTGTTTCAATATGTTTTTCCATAGTGAGCAAAAAGAATCTGAAACATTGAATATTTTAACTGCATTTGTTTCAATATGTTTTTCCATAGTGAGCAAAAAGAATCTAAAACATTGAATATTTTACCTGGATTTGTTTCAATATGTTTTTCCATAGTGAGCAAAAGGAATCGAAAACATTGAATATTTTACCTGGATTTGTTTCAATATGTTTTTCCATAGTGAGCAAAAGGAATCGAAAACATTGAATATTTTACCTGGATTTGTTTCAATATGTTTTCCATAGTGAGCAAAAGGAATCGAAAACATTGAATATTGTAACCGGATTTCAAATTATTGATGGCGTTCGTCACATGTTTGTCTTGGAGGGCTTACGAACGAAAGGAATCAAACGCTTAGTGGCGATTTTACCTTTTCACAATAATGGTAAGCAAATATTCTTCACCTTTAAGGTCTTTAGTGAGTGTTGCATGATTATCGAACGCTCTAGAAAATTCTGCGATAAATTTAGACGATTAGAATTGTGCCAGGTTTCATATATCTACAAATTTTCGGAATACGTGCCTTTTTACACACACTGCACGATCCTGAAGGTTTATTTGAAATTCTCGACTTACAATTCGGTCATATTTGTGTTGTGATGGTAAAGAATACTTTATCAGTGTTATTGTGGGCACCAGTCGACGTGGGTGTGTGCAGCGTTGTTGGGGAATCCCAAAAGAATGAAACCTATACAGTGCTGCCACTCGTAGGGAAAATCCCCTACAGTAGCGGGATTTAGTGGTTTGTAGGTGGTAGGGGAAACCTACGGGGAAAACTGTAAATTGTAGGGGGATTGTTGGGGGAAAAGAAAATTGTTTAAAAATGACCCTCATTTTTGCCCAAAACACTCTTTTCTTCCTGTGTTCTCATCATTTAGCAAGTGATTGTAACAGAATCTTTCTTTTGGCACATTTTGTGACCATATATGGCAATAGAAGATCAGCAACTTAGATAAACTCAGTGCGTCATTTGCGCCACCTGCATGTCATTACTTCCTACGCCAAATTACTAACTTTGTCGTCTAGATATTCTTCGTTTTCAATGAATCGTTTTTTGTATGCATTTTTTAAAAACAGACTAAAAAATTCAATGGTCTGACTCGTCGTAGGTATATAATAGGGGGATATGTTGCTGTGTAAGGGAAAAGTAGGGGAAAACAAGAAAAATCATCGTAGGGGGAGGTAGGGGGGAAATAAAGTTTTGGTAGGTGCAATGTGCATACACAGAGTGGCAGCACTGATCCTATACAAGTCTTCGGATTTAAACATGGCGAATCAAGGCACTTTTGTTACTCTTTTTAAATCCAGCGCAAATTGCGTCAACCTTTTACTTGGCCAATTGTTTAAAAAGTTTGTGCACATTTCCTTTGGTAATTGTTACCGACCGACCACACTGCCTAGTAAAGGCTTAAGTGAATCCAAATTCGACTGAATCCAAATTCAAACGATTTGTCTTGGGCGCTTATGTTTGCTAGAAAAAAAAGCTATGCAAACATTTTTTCAATGTTTCGAGTGAAAAATCATCGCGGAATACTGCACAGAACGACATTTTCTTCTTTTAGTTTCATTTCGCGTAAAATGTTTTCTATTTGCAAGTAATCTTTTGTGAGTGTATATTCCGAATACTCGGTATTTTATGAAGCTCATAAAATAAAGTGTATGATTGAATCTTGATCTTCTTAACTACAGACGATGAAACGGTGAAGGCTTTATTCAAGTCAGATATGTGCTTCTCGGGGAGGTTGTACGTTTCATTGGACGTCGATCTTTGCCGAGTTCGTCTTCACGACTCTTTGACGAACATCATGCAAAAACCGTTGTTATACGTTCGTGATATTGTACCAAGACCTTGCTTTGAATGTTTGAGTAGACTTGATCAGGTTAGGCTTTCTCTTAGTTTGACTGATTTACTAAATTGCATGACAAATCTAACTGTTTTTTGTTCTGTGTTCATTTATTGTCATTCATTCTATTGATTGGTATAAATATATATATAAGTTTGAAAATTGGTAATCCAGGCGTTTAATACATAAAAAATGAAAGTTTCTCCAGATTGTTTAAAATTATTTTACTGAACTCAGTTCATTTGCTCACCAATCTAAGTGTGTATCTCAGTACTTCTCCTTACCAATTTAAATCTATATCTCGGTCTTTCTCCTTAACAATCTATGTCTCCTTTCTTACCTATTAAAGTCTTCCGCCTGACCTATCTATATCTTCTTCTTTGCGAATCTAAGTCTATAACTCAATACTTGTCTTCACCAATCTAAGTCAATATCTCACCTCTTTTCCTTAAAGTCTATATTTCAATTCTCCTTACCGATACGTCTGTCTATAAGTCCCTACAAGCATTTCTGTCCTTCTCTTTAGCAAAGTTAGTCTTCCTCTATACCAATATAACTTTATATATTTGTCTTTCTCCTTTCTGTTTAATTAGTCTTTTGAAAATTATGTTTTGAAAATTTCCAGATTCTCAAGGCTTCAAAGCTTCGTGATGTTGTTAAAAACGATCTTTTCCCAACCACGGATATGCTTTTATCGGCCAGCCGTGAGTTTGGCGTACCATTGACATTGGAAGATTTTGGAGGTAAGAGATGGGATAATGATGTACACATTGACTGAATTATTTAGCTCTAATAACTTGCCATCTCCTATATGTCAACAGAAGCGGGACAGCATTGCATTGATGAGTTTGAAATCGAAGGGGACAATTTTCATGAAGTAAACGAACAATCTCGAAAGAGACAGTGGACGCCATTGAAACTGAGCAATCCAGAATATTTAGAGTTCTTGAAGAATCGTCGAAACAGTGATCGCAATTTTATCATGGAAAATGTTGTAAGTATATTTTGCTGTTCATTATTGTGCTCCTTCACTGGAAAAACAATGAGTGGAATAAATTTTCCAAAGAAATTTATAATAATTTTCCCAAAAATATCCCGTTGGGGTAAAATTGGTTGGTATTACCCTAACATGCCATTTGAAAAGAAGTCAATCTTCAGCTTAAAGTGCCTATGACCTGAAAATTTTTATGTTTGCAATGACCAGAACTTTTGAAATGACAGTATACTTTCTAAAACAGTTAATGCATATCTCTTTTTCTTCGCGAGATATTGAAGTTTATGTTATTTGCATTTCATCCAACTTGTGACGTCATATTGCAGAATGAGTTCTAAAAATGTTTCAAATACTCTGTCAGTTTTCTGAAAACTTTAGGCTGATACTAATAGGCAGCATTTTATACCATCCAACACGTCACAACAAATGAAAGTATGTCCTTGTGAAGTAAAGTATCGTTAAATATACCTAATACTACTAGTACTCATTATGCACTTGACGTCATAAGTTAGATAAATCGGACATAGCATAAACCTTAATATCTCGAGAATTAAAAGTGATATGCATTGACTGTTTTAGAAAGTACACTGTCATATTAAAATTTTCTTGTTATAGGCACTTTAATAGATGATCTATCAAAGGCAGACTAGTTTTACAGAACTAGGCTCAAGATGATCTTGTTAGAATTTTGTTTTTTTAAACAGCGATGGATTTAGGAGGGAGGGTTGTGGTGGAAGTTTTCACTCCTCCTAGCCTTGGCTGGATGGTGTATGAGTGGTGGGGGTTTTCACTCCTCCTAGCCTTGGCTGGATAGTGTATGAGAGGGGTGTGGTGGAGGTTTTCACTCCTCCTAGCCTTGGCTGGATGGTGTATGAGAGGGGTGGGGGAAGTTTTCACTCCTCCTAGCCTTGGCTGGATGGAGGTGGTGGGTGTTTTCACTCCTCCTGGCCTTGGCTGGATGGTGTATGAGATAGGTGTGGGGGGGTTTGCACTCCTCCCAGCCTTGGCTGGATGATGTATGAAAAGGGTGCCGGGGGGTTTGCACTCCTCTTTACCTTGGCTTGATGGTGTATAAGATGGGGGGAGTTTCACTCCTCCTAGCCATGGCTGTGGTGTTTTGGAGGGGTGCATTGGGGCTTGTACACCCAACCTTGGCTGAATAGTGTATGGGAGGGGTGAAAATTTCCATAGTTCAACGATTAGCGTTTGATGAAGCACACTTTCAAAAATCTCCCAATCATAAAAAGGTAACAGAATGTAAAAAACAAAGTTTGACTTGGTTCTGAAAAGCATCGTGGATGACGATGATTTGAATTGTATTTCAGTTCACTCTTTCCTTATTTTGTTTTTCTATCATTACAGCTCAAAATTCATTCAAACAGCCAAAATAAAAAGCCAGAAACAGTCACTACGTGTGACAGCGCTGCTCACAATTACAGCATTCAATCTTTGAACTCCACAGAACTTTCCAAACAGAAACTCAGAGACCTTCTTAATGAGGTACATGGTTTGCATTTGACCATACAGTTATAGAAGTTTTGTTTGTTTTGTTTCATGAAATATAATTAAAACTTTTAAATAAAATTAAAATTTTAAATTCATAAAATTAAAACCAATGAAATTAAAACTTTTGACTACCTCATGACAAACTTTTAAGTTATAAAAAAAAGAACATACAAACGATATTCACTGTTGGCTAAAATTATGTGCTAATGGACGATTGTTGTTATGAAATCCTTAATTGGATCACGAAACTTAGTCTTGACCTTCAGTTAGCTTCAAGTTTCCTCATCTTTACCACAGTTAGTATTTACTCCATTGCACTGGTTTACATGCTAAGGATATTTTAAATTATACTTAGTCTTGATTACGAAAGCGTCAAGTTTCCTCATCTTGACAAGTGATGCCATCTTCACAAGCACTCTGTTGCACATATTCTCTTCCCAACACATCCATGATATTTTGATGTTTATGATGGAGACTTTACGAAATCGTGCATCATATGATTCTGGCATTGAAAGAATGAACTTATTTTATCAGTTCCTTTCATTTAGGATCCAAAAGGTGCTTACACATATTGTCCAGACTATAACTCCGCAAGCGTAGAGTTGTCCGAAAAAGTCTCTGCGGACATTCAAATAAGAAGGGATGTAGAGAAAAAGAAATGGCTTACATCTGTTGGTTTCCTGACATTCTGTCCAAGAACTGCCTTGGAGTCGAACCGCCATCCCCTTCAACCTGATAAATCACGCATCGCGGAGCTAAGCAAGGTAAACATATTGAGGGACATTTGTGGATAGATTTCTCTGTGTTTTAGTGTTTTCAGAGATTTGATGTGTGGGTTTTCCCTTGGTAAAATCCCTTTTATACAGCACCGTCACTAGAAGGTTCATTGGGAGAGGAGGGGGTATTTATTCATCTATTCAATTGTCTCTCACTGATTTCTTTTGAAAAGAAACTAATTTTCAAAAGAAAGCAGTCAAGCAAAGTTGAATATATAAATAAATACCTCCCCCTCCCCCAAATCAAATTTCTAGTGACGGCCCTCCCCGTATAATCAATTTAGTATTGCTGTTTTTTTCACATGCTCGAAAGCTTTAAACACGACATCAACCTATATGTTATACATCCGTGTGAATCTGTTTACAAACGCTTTAATTTTAATAAACTCGGCGCAGGCGCACTATACTTGCAAATAAACGCCATTTTGATGTAAACAGACAGGAACTCTGACGAATAACTGAGTTAAGTAGATGAAGGAGAAAATGACAAAGATCTCCGGAAATTTTGTGCCTTTGTGAATTCCATCGGTGAAATATGTTTACTATTGCGTTTTCTTTGTCGAGATTTAAAAGCTCCAAGTATACCGAGCAATTTCTCAAAAGCGATTTTTTCCATAGCCTTGGAGAGAGAATGTACTTCATGGAAATATTTTGAAACCGACTGTTGACCGGTAAGAATTCTTCGACATTTTTAATGAAAACTATAAATGAACAAATGTCTTGAAAATTCGCATTTGTTTAACTGTCAATATTTTTGTCACCAAGCACTCAGTTCCCATGGAAACACCGTGACAAAGACATGGACACGATTACCCGTGTTCCCGAGCTAAAGTACATGAGCTCGATCCACCTGTTTGGAGAGACCCGCGAACGGGAAAAGCGTGATGCGTTTGACAAGGATTTCGAAATATGGCAATCGAGGTTGGCCGTGGATGACGTACGCTTCCGAACCCATCGATGTCTTTTGTCGACGGAATTGAGGGAGCGAGGCAAGAAAGCAGCAAATTCGATCTCAAAACTCGAAGACATTTTGAAAGACCGGCCACAAAAATTCTCCCTGAAGGAGAAGAATTTGAAATTGGAGAAAATACCACCTCTGAGCACATTGAATGGTGAAACAGGGAAGCTGAGAGTGGCCGAGGAAGTTAAAGTGGAACATACAGGCGGATTTTTACCGGGGCCACGGACGGAAAGAAGTTGGTTGATGGAAGGGAACAGAGTTCCTACGTTAACTGATAATGATAAAAAAATTATTAAAACAAAAGATGAAGATTTCAGGTACAATTGTTATTTTGATAAAACAGTCATACTGATTACGCTAAGTTTCCAAAACACGGTACCGAAACTTGATTTCAGGCAGTTGCAGGATGGGTCAGAATACATTAAGGATAATATATATTTTCATATTAAAACACTTGAGAACGAATTCTATGATGAGTAATTCAGAAATAAATATTAGAAATTCCTAATCAACAGCGTTTTTAAAAAACTGTTTCAAATTTAAAATGAGCTTCAAAAATATATATGACCTACCTTAGATCCGCCACTGGTTTCTGGTACAAACCATTTTTTAACGATTGGGGTTTTGTTTCGAAAAGTAGAGAAATGCTCTGTTTTTTGAAACAAAGTTTGGGTAACAATATTTTGGAAACGTGTTTTTGCATCTTGTTTCAGTGTATGACCTGCTCTGCGACAAAATTTTTCTCGCAAGATTTTTTATGTAATTCTGATTCCCCCACGTTTTATCTTTGTAGCCATTGTGGGGGGGGGAGTTCTTTATTGTATGAAGTGGGCGATCGAAAGGGGATTTCCAGAAAACATTTCTATTTCATGGTGATTTTGGCAACTTCTTATCCTCTTTCTAGACACCGACCATTGCCTAATGTAATCACATATTGCTCATCATTTATTAAAATTAATAAGTTAATTCTTAACTCAGTTACTTTATTAATCTACATTCGAAGTTAACCAACTTATTCATATGTCCATTTATCCTAGATTGGTGATTAAAGCAAAGTCAATTTAATCACATATTGCTCATCAGTTATAAAAATTTAATCTGCATCACTCTATCTAGATTGGAAGTTAATCAACTCATTCATTATCCGTTTATCCTAGATTGGTGTTTAAACCAAAGTCAAAAATTTATCAACGTCCAATAAAACCACTGCTACCTATAGAACGCGAGAGTTATCTATTTTCTTCAACGACTAAGAAATCCATCGGCTCGAAGCTAGATTAGAGCGACTATTTTACTTATTTTAATACAAATGACGATTTTTGTAAATAGAGGTTTTAATCATATATTTTCAGAATCTGTACAAATTATTTTCCCTCCCCCCCAATGTGTTCGTAGTTACACAAATAAATAATTATCATAATTTTGTCAGATTCGTTTGAAGGATGGTAAATATTAGTATACGTAATTCGTTGGAGCAATTGCAAATATATACATTAAATATTGTTGAATCATTAAATCGTCATCACTTCTGCCTTTGATTATCACAGCACATATATGGGAAAGGCTTCATTTGAATGAGCAGATCAACGTATTCCATAATTTTAAAAAGTCCTAAAATGTAATCGGCTTACGGTGGATTTGTACAGAAGAATTTTATTCGAATCCATTTCTTACGTCCATAACTTCAACTCAAGTTTGCATTTTGCAGTAGAAAGCATGCGTAGAAACGCTGATTTACAGCAAGACTGCACGCATTTCGAAAGAAGTTAACTGTTAAAATTCAATTTGATCAAAACAATTTTACGACCAGCTGAAGTCTGACCTCTAGCAAGTCCAAATTTACTAATACAAAGACTTCATAAGGGCGATTATTTTACTATTGAAAAAAGAAACACCAAGGCAGATACGCCGTCATTTGTATGCCTTTGAAATTATTAGTTTTCTTTAGTAAAGGCTATGGAAACATCACACAATTCAAAGGTAAAGCCGAATCAAAATCATTCAGACATGCTTTATATAAAATCAACTGAAGATGAATTATTCTTCCCGTTCGCGACAACAGCGTTATTGTTTTCTACGCTTGCGGTACTTTTGACCTGCGGTCTCTTTACTGGCGCATATTCGGATCTAATGTTCTCGTTGATAGATTCTCTCGCGCGTACGCATCCCCAGAAGTTATATTTTTTGTTCTTTTTGTGTATGTGTTTCATATCTACGCGGCCAATAGCGTTGAGCTCGTCCATACTCTTGCTAGTTTGTTTATTACCTTTGGGTTTCTTCTGAAACCAGCGTGGCTTAGAAAAAACACCTTTTTTCTGAGGGCTTAGTGTATCAGGTGTGCTCTTCAGCATAGCAGGGTCTACATCCACGGCGCGTTCGTGTGGCTCGCCCATTTCGTCATTTTCATGCTTTGGAGCGACGTTTGCATCACCCACGCGATCCATTGAGATCTCTCGTCCATCAGTGCGAACTTTATCTATCCCGTTGTCGTCAGATTCCTGGTGCGTTCTCACTCTTCGTGACAATAATTTTTCTCCTCCTCATTCGTTCTTCGTCGGAAATAACCGTGGGTCGGGTACGATTCTTCGTTTCTGACTCGTCACTTGTCGACATGTCGTCGGGAAAGCGATCACCAAAGAACGTTTTGCGGTCTTGAGGTGTCGTGACGTAGGATCCGCTGTCTGAACCTCGGTCTGAATTCCGGTCGGAGTAGCGTTCCCACATGCGGTCTTGGTAACCAGCGGACATCCGATCCGAGTAGCGATCTGTGTAGTCAGATGTCGGACTCAATCTTCCCGAACGACTTTGCTGTGGTCGCGTTCTTGTGGCATTGGGACTAAGAATTCCACTATCCTTTGATTGCAATTCCATTTTCAAATTTTCCAATTCGACGCTCATGCGTATTATGTCTTCCTCTTGGTGCTGGCAAACGCGCTCAAGTCTTTTTAGTTTCGTGGTCAGACTTTTCTCGCGCCTTCTCGCCGCGTTTAGTTCATGAGTGAGTTGGTTTTCTTTGTCCATGGCGTGTTCGAGTTCGTCTAAGGCTTCGGTGAGGTCCGCTTCCAAGTCGTCTGTCTCTCGGCTGTTTCCATTGAGAAGTTTCTGGAAATATCAAGTGAACTCATAGTGTCAAAAGTTTCTCTCCAAAGGCAATTTTTGAAACAACTGAAAGCGAAGCTTGAGTTTCCTTCAAATGACGGTAAATAGATGATTACACAAAGCAGGTTACTTTGTCTAGACAAGTTGAAATGCGCACGCATGAAATCAAGGAAATCAAACACTTAAATGCCTATGTAACTCTCAGGGAAATTATCTACTTCGATAGAGTTGACGATTTTAAGAACATTCGCAATGTATTTTATAAGACGAAAATTTAGTCTTCCTTGACTTTTTGGGCGTAAACTATATCGTCAAAAAGCAGTGCGTTCTTCAATGTACATACGTCACGTCCGGTGAACTAGACCCAGTCACAGCACCTCACGGTAAAGCACGAAAAAAGCAAACATTGAGGCCCAAAAAGTCGAGGAAGATCAAATTTTAGTTTTATAAAATATATTGCGAATGGCCAACTCTACCTAGATAGATTATTTCCCTAAGGGAGATAAAGGCACATTAAAATCATTAACCTGTATTGCACTGGCCGTTGGGCTCTGGGGTGAGATACACCCAAATTTTGGTGTTTTAATTATTTGTATTTTTCGTCAACCGAAAAGTCAATGAGATATAGTTGCAACTTTCTAAAGTCTACAATTTTAATTGTTTTACCAAAGCCTTGCTACCCTACAGTTGCAACTCACCTGTGTGTTGAGACCAGTGTGAACTCTAAAGCAGTGCTGTAGAACTAAATTTATCAGAGGGGGGCTCTCTTGACGAAGCTGAAGCCATGAAATTATGAAAAATTACCCATTTCAAAGGAAGAAGAGGGCGCTCCTCCCCCAAGCGCCCCCCCCTCCCCCACCACCACCACTTCTACAGCACTGCTCTTAAGGAACATTCAGTTTTAATATGGCTAGCCTGAGTAACTCGTTTCGTGTAAAACCCACTCATTTCAGGCCCATTTATATACGTCCAAATATTTTTATATCAGAAGCATGGAAAGTTTGAAGTTTGACGTTGGCTCTAGTTGGCTATTGTGGTATGCAATTTGTGCCTAGTCCCAGGCTCACTTACCTCGCGTTCCTTTTGTTCCATGAAAAGCCGCAACTTTAAATCGAAATTCTCTTTCTTTAAATCTTGAATGAGCTGCAAAAACAAACAGAAAGTTCCTTGAACACCAGAAAATAATGTGGACTTTAGAATAGAAAAAATGTTTCTTTCCATCGCAAGACAATGTTTTTTCAGAGAGTTTTCTTGCTACTTACCCATTCCTGGTCTTTCACTGTATGCGGAGCTGGCGAATCTATAAAAATTGTCAGAAATAACTATAAATAAGAATGATAGAATTGCTCGTGATGTAAAAACTATTTTAAATCACTCCCTCATTTATTAAAACTAACAAAGCACTTTGTTTGTGTTTCGAAATTTGTCGCGAAACAGTCCTCGCGTTTCACGTTCTCTGAGAAAATATTCGCGCGATAATCAAAACAATTTACAAGAAGAATGTTCTTTATTGCAATTAGAATATTTCTTCTGGACAATGCTGGAATCAGTGTATTTCTCGTGAGTTTGAACAGTGACTTTGTAATTTGTGAACATTCTCGTGGCATTTTTAAAATTAAATTTCTTTAGTAACCGTGGTTTTGCATGTACTGTTTAAACAACACGAAACACTTTTCAAACGAAATGTAGTTGTATTAATCTAAAATAAGCCGAATTATATTCTTGTTGTGACTGAATACATCTGTCCGTAACATCTGCCATTCTTGAAGCGGAAAAACAACTACCGTCTCAGGTTGAAGATATTACTTATATCCCTTGTCTGCTTTGCTTATAGCTTTATATTTTCAAATGTAAAAGTTTAGCCCTAAACAACACGCACAGTGGAATAAGCTACGTTCATGTGTTCTAATGAGCATCATAAGGGAATAAAAAGACGCCATGTTGCAATTACTTGTGAGACTCGATTTTAGAATTTTTTACTTTAAATAGATCTAAAGATGAAACACATCGTTCAAACCGATTACTCGAATGCTTAAACGTGCGTTAAAAAAATTTGAACAGATGGCAGAAATCGTACAAAATTCATGAGAGGCACCTCTTGAAAAGCCTCTTATTTTAAACATCAGTTTCTCAATAAATATTCAGCTGATATACAAAAGAAAACTGACCTAGAATTATTCGTCAAGTCTTTAAAGCAAAATAGGTACATAAAAGACAATTGTAAACGATGCATAATTACGAAAACAAACAGTAGCCTCGGTTTTTGGCCAAATCCCCGAAGCAACGTTAAAACGTCGACGAACGTCTCGACAACTGATCGCAAGTTTGAACTTTAAAGTGACTCGTCTCTTTTCCCTTCAGGAAATGACAAACAATACACTCTAAAATCCAACTGATTTATTTAAACGAAAGCAATTTGAATGTGATGCTCAAATAATTAAATCGTAAATGCTTCAGTCTCAAGCGTCAAAGCCCGTGAATGTATTTGCTATTTACTTGTGTAGTTGTGTTGAATGTCCAATTCTGTTAAACCGGTAGTGTGTCTGCGCTCCTCCTGATTTGTTCTCTTAGCCGGCCGTCTGAGAAGTTCGTCCGTAGATCTATCTCTATCGAGCATGGCCTTATTCAAAGAAAGTTTGAGATCTTCCACGTCCCTACGATTCGAACTCTTCCTTGGCGTTCTTTCCAAAATATCGTCATCGTATTCATAGTCAATCGACCTTAAGTCTTTCAAACTTTTCGCTTTGTAGCGTTTGTCCATACGAGGATAATACGAGGCACTTTGGTCGTAATACATAATCACCTCTTTGTCCCCCGGTATATTCGATTCACAATTTGTACAAATGATATTCAAAACAGACGACGCAGTGCCTTTTAATATATATATTTTTATCTGCGTAGAATGGAAAATTCGGATGGAATGTTTTCTTGAGTTGGAGGAAACGCAACATCGAACACTTCGCTTAATAGCAACCAGCGGGGTTCTGTGACGCACCGTTGACTATCATAACAACGCTTTTAGCCTTTTTTGTCTTACAGTATTTAAAACAAACTCATTCCGACGAAAGCGGCACAAAGTTTCGACCCGTAGCCTCGAACCAGGCCTTTGCAACATTCCGTACCTACCACTGGTACCTGTCCGATTCAATACTGTATTTTATTACGTGGGTTTTGACTCCTGTTGACGGGTTTTACGCGAGAAGTAAACAAGGCAAGAGCTTGTTGATGCTTATATGCAAAGGTCGACATTTCGTTTCGCCTTTGAATAACTAATGCAATCAAATACATACGTATGAAAACCATACATTCTTCACGATACTACTATATGTTATGGAAGAACACTTACCTTGAAAGTCGCCTTCCTGATGTTGCAATTCTTGCATGCTGCTCCAACGATCCAAACTCATTCTATAAAGGAACCTTCGCTGATAATCCTTGGGAAATTTAAAAGACCCAGCCATTAGTCATAAAAAGAATATACTATGGAAGCTCAGTGATAGCTAAGAGGCACTTCGTGCTCCTCAAGCCTTTGGAAAAGAAATTTTTGTGTTGATTCAACAATGGTCGGTTTAATGTAAAGAGACGTTTTTTACGTTGTAAAGAAATGATCACACGAAATATCGTATGATCGTTTCATATGACACTCGTATCGTTTGTGCAGAAGGGACATGTTTGAACCCATCTACGTTGATGCATTTATTTTCTACGGCAAGGTTAAATATTTGCAGTTAAAACTTGGATGTCGAGTGCGTTGTAAATATTTTATGCTGGGGGAAAAATTAAAGCGTTTGTTAAATTCGACGAATTAAACTTGAAACTTGATAAGGATAATCCTACACCATAAACACTGGATGGTGTCCTATTGCGTTCGTGCTTCGGTTGTTGGTAAGAAAGTTCGTTGTTGAATTTGATAGACATTTTAAAAATTTTTTTGGAATAAACAGCAGCAAAGCAGGTGAAAGGTTTATTTGTCTTCATGGCTGTATACACTTATAAGTATGTAATATTTGTCTACAAGGTCTTTTTAACTTTCAAACTAAGAGCTGCGTTAATTATGGAAGTTAAGAGTTCAAAAAGCCTTTGTTGAACATGTTTTGAATTTTTCTAACCTAATGTGGCCCACCCGCTACATTCTTTAATATTTGAAATTTTTCTTATGTAAAAGATCTGAGTTGTTTTATTCCTGACCTTCATTATTCATCCTACGTTGCCTACCATTATTGTCATGGCAACGCAAAAAACGTTATAGAATTACGTGATACGTGTGTCGACCAGTCGCTGTGTAATCTAATGCCAATTTAAGATATCAGTAGATATTAAGTAATGGAAATGTTAAAAGCGTTTTTAAAATACAACACGCCCCGTACACAAAATACAGCAATGGTGATGATTGAACTGAGAACTATTATGACGTCAACATGACTGTGTTCTACATTTTGACGTCATGATTCTGATGATTAATGATTACGATAATTAATGATTTCTACCATACTCTCTGCTCACACAATGATGTTGACCGTACTATAATTATTACACTTCCAAGTAGCCACGTCAACTCGCAAGTCTTAGCCTTCCGTGTACATTTCAGACATTATCATTTTTCATTTCTTTAGAAATCCACTATTTCACAGTGAATAAACACAAAAAAAATTACGGCCAGAGATTTGCCAGGCGGAAAGCGAATTTTCAATATGAACATAATAGCCCAACATAAGACTTTTAAAAAATCCAACATAATAATAAAATAAAAACCTTTTATCTTTCTTTATTTTATTCTTGTGATTAAAAGTCTTATGTTGGGCTATTATGTTCATATAGAAAATTACATGGGACTAAATATTACGGCTGGCTTTGTAACTGGCTCTCAACCCTTCCCCCTCACTAGCTATGAAGCGGTTAAAAACAAATGAATTTGATAAAATGATGAAGACTGACGGATTTTTCATTCCGGCCATGCAATTATTTTTGTTTTCAATCGAAAGACAATGAATGTAATTGATTTTCTAAAGAAACGATCATTGTAAAAATTCATGTTGACGTCATCACCAAGTGAAAGTTCCTACTCACTATACACACGCAAGGTTTTGAAGATGAAATTTCAATAACACTTTTTATGGCTGGGCGTCATTTAATTGCTGTCGTGTTTTTGCCGATGTCATGTTATTGACCGTCTTCCGTACATAGATGATGTGCGCAACATATACTAAACTCTTCCGGGCATTTGTTTTATAAATTAGCATATATATTTTACGACGCCCGTATATAATGGCTTATCGAAGTCAACGAACGAAACGTAGTCTTTAAAGGCTGCGGTATTTAAAGATAAAAGTTATCGACGTTAATTCTTGAGTTCAAAACCATGTAGTTGGTAAGATGGGGGCCAAAATCTGCATGAAATATAAGATCAGTTTTAAATAACCTGCTTCACTGTTATCACAACTGGCTGTATTTGCCTTCGAGTGTAATTTCATCCCTTCAAAAGGTAAAATTTTTCGAATTGGAAGGATGAAAAAAAGAAAGCATTTCCAGGCGCGTTTACTGTCGATAAATGTATAAATAATAAGAAAGAACAATTTGAGATAGGGGCCTGTATAGAGAAGTGAACAATACGCTAATGAAGGCCTAATATTCTCTCATCGAACACATGTTGTCACGCTTCAAAGTGACGACATTTTGAGAAAGAATACATTGATTGTAATCTCGAGTACTGTGTCTAAAATACATCCAGTAACTCGTGACCTCTTTCGTAAATAAAATCATGATAGAAACGAGAGAGTGAGACCGTTATAAACAATGCTATCACCTGATATGCCGTTATATTGTTTACAGTTCTAAAGTCATAATAATAATCGAGCTTACCCTCAATTTAGTCTATTTGAGCTTCTCCGATTTCGTTTGCAACGTTATTATGTACGAGCAATGCCTGGTTAAGTTTGAGAGAATCGAGTACTATTTAGTGTATCACGATTCGTGACCATTTCTTATTATATACGACACCTCCCCTGTCTTACACAAAGAGCTCTATCGTAATTTCCTCCTTCTGGATTGCTTTACTATTTTGCATGTCGGCCATGAAAACGTCATTTCTAGTGAGTATTTTGCATGATAATGGAATGGATAATTAACCCACTTAGTTTGGGTGAATTATCAGCGAACGAAGAGAGATATGAAGAGCATTCTCATTATTGTAAAAACGAAAGAGTATTCCTTTTTGATTTTCCTGTTCGTAAATTGCTGGATGGTGTTAATGAAAGAGTAAATTATGCTCGATGAAAATAAGCCATGCATATTGTCCATTGTTTACGCAACATGGCTTATATAGGTAAGTAATTTCTGAACTTATATTGCCATTGGGAGTCGGCACCGAAGTATTCGTGACATATTTAAAATATTTTGGAGAGCATTGCCGATATTGTTTAATATGTGGCTCTGTATGTTGCAATTTATGGTAGTTTTTATTGCGAAATAAGGTATTCTTGTCATCACACTTACTCGATGTACTTGTACACTCATGGTGTAGTGGAGAATCGGGGGTTCGATTATTTCAAGTGAATGACCTTCCATGAGCAATAGAACATGCATGTCATCATAATCACAAAGCTTAGGTATTTCTTGCAACAATGGAATTTCATCGTAAAGTCACATGGTTTTGCGGTGTATGGGCGAAACTAAAACGGTAAGGTTGGGGTGAATATTCATATATTCATTTCTGCCCTGCTGATTTTTTTTAAATAATAATCGCTAACAAACTAAATCTTTCAAGCAGAGCTGAATTATGAAAATTCACACCCCCACTTAACGTTCTAGTTCGCCCCCTGTGTGGGTGTTCTAGTAGGGGTGTAGCCTACATGTTTTGATCGGTGGTCCTGATTTGTAAATTGAAGAGCATTATCTTATGTCATTTTTGTAGTGAGCAAACACAGAAAAATTTACATAGCACGACCAAATTGCTCAATATGTGATCGTGCTCAATAAATTGATAGTGCAACTGCTTGATATTATTTATTTGCTGTTCTTCTTTTAACTGCACATGTCAGAGTAAAACGGATGTTTACTTTAAAAATTTTGCATTCCTATAAAGTGCCTGACATTTATATCGCAAAGATTAAAGCAGGAAGCCGCATTGTGGACGTCTTTCTTTTAAAGAACACCCGCACTCCACAAATTGTGGGTGTCAGGGTACGGAGAAACCCATAGCTTCCGAAGCTCTGATAAAAAGCTCATTACATCTCTTTGAAATTTGCACTTTTACTCGGAGAAATTCGTTCTCTTTTTTCGTAATGGACTGGAAAGATCTTTCTCATCCGATCAAAGCACGCTATTTCACCGGGTGTGATGGTTGCCATATAGCAGAACATGTTTTTGATGAAGTCAACTGTTTGGCATACAAATTGAACTTTTATTGATGTTTGCTTTCCATTGCCTGTAACATTATTATTCCCAAATCCCAAAAGGCATCCTGAGCCTGCTCCATAGTTTTGTGCGAAGAATGTTATTCTAATATAAGTAATCGTCGATTTACAACTGGTTTTAGATTGAAGTTACAGTTCAAGGACAATTTACAGTTTTACACTAAGTAAAAAGGAAACTTGTGCAATCGATTTTTTAAAAAAATAGAAATCACATTATGAATGTTGTGGTGAACCGATAGGCGAATGACGACCACAGGTCCAAATTTCAACAAATTTGAATTACTGCTCGAAAGTAGATGTAATTACGAAAAGTCGTTTTCGTGGAATAACTTAGCCTTCAGGACGTCTGGTTACTCGTTTGCGAGTAGCAATAAGTCGTCGTTGGTTTTTTTTTATGTTTGCATCTTGTGTTTTCAGGGCAAACTTACATCTTTAACAAGCTAGTAATAATTTATTTATATGTTGTGGAGAAACTTCCATCCGAATATTTTCTAATTGCAGGCTTGTTTATGTCGAAGTAAAAAAATCAAACATACAAAACCTTTAGCTAATATGAAAATTTTATCGGGTTTTGATATGTTAACGTGAGTGTATGAACTATATGTTTAAATCGTCAGTTACATTACAATTATAGCAGTGTCATCATTGATGTTAAGTTTAACAATGGAAGTGAAGCCTTTTCATTCATTTTTTCTAAGATCAAAAAAAGCTCGCCTTCGTTAATTTCAGCCACTTTATTTTCATTCTCACCGACATGAAAATTCTTCTATAAAATTATTATGAATTTTTATTTGTAACTCGTTCGATTGTACTAACACTCCTTAGAAGTAATTGTCAAATTATTCTCCTCGAGAGAGCTAGGTACGTGTTTACTCATTCAACACGAAGCCGTTGCCTTAAAATGACCAAAATCTTAAAAGGGCGACATCCCGTAGCCCTGGTTATAAATGTATACAAATAATAAGACCATTTTTGTTGATTTCGATTTCAGATCAACATCGCTAGCTTGAACAAAGTCACGTCTTACCATTGAATTTAGATGATTTAATGAATTAAGTTATAGAATATGAAAAAATGCAAAATGTACGATAAAAATGTACGTCATTTGACGGGTGGATGATTCTCATACCTGCCTTTAAGTCCATTCCAAAATGTACACACGGCCTACCTTCGTCTAACGATACGATTGGAGATGTATAGAACATTTAGAATTTATCAATGTACACACGGATTACCTTCGTCTAACGATACGATTGGAGATGTATAGAACATTTGGAATTTATCAGATTTACAGAATTCTTTTATATCTTGTATAATCTGATGCGCTTGAAAACACAAAATTTGTCTCAAATGTACGCATGCATGTTTTTGACTTGAATTATTTACCGCTACTCTGTCTATTTTTGTTTTATGAAAAACTGGCATCTGTAGGCAGTAGACCAATCAGAGAGCGGAATCTCTCTAATTTACCGTTCTGTAGATGCGTGGGCTCTATTTGTAAATGTATATTTACATCACCACCCGTTTTAAAAAAAATTTCTCATCACGCGTTAGTGATAATTGACGTAGGCGATATAAATGAGAAATAACCTTTTTGTTTTTTGTTGCTGCAAATGTCTCAGGCGAAGTGGCTTCGGCAAGGAGGAAAATGAGGAGTAGCCAATACACTGTGGTGAAGGTGGGCTGGTTATTCAAAGGTGGAAGAGCATATTGGGAGTGAGGGAGGACTAGTTGTTGAATGATGGAGTATTAGCCATATTTTTGAAAGATGTGGGCTATTTATTCAAGGTAAAGTAGCAGTTATTAAAACTAGGGTGTTTAATGAAGGATGGAGTATTAGTCATATTGTTCATAGAGGTGGGCTGGTTATTGAAGGGTGGAGTATTAGTCATGTTGTTGTTAGAGGTGGACTGGTTATTAAAGGGTGAAGTATTGGTCATGTTGCTAGAGGTGGGTTGGCTATTGAAGATGGAGTATCAGTTATATTGTTGCATGGTAGAGGTGGGTTGGTTATTGAGGGTTGGAGTATTAGTCATATTGTTGGTAGAGGTGGGCTGGTTATTGAAGGGTAGAGTATTAGTCATATTGTTGGTAGATGTGGATTGGTTATTGAAGAGTGGAGTATTATTCATATTGTTGGTAGAGGTGGGCTGGTTATTGGAGGGTGGAGTAGCCGTCATATTGTTGTTAGATATGGGCTTATATTGAAATGAGGAGCAGTAGTTATACTCTTCACTTGCAACCATTATCTTGAGATTTACCAAACAATGTCGCTCTCCCACGTCGGCTGGTGCCAACAATAACACAGAGAAAATATTTTTTTGTATTTGACCACCAACATGGCTGAATTGCTAGTCAAGAATTGGGGTTAGAGGTGGACTTATTAATGTAGTTTGTTTTACAGGATGTATCAAAAATAGGACCTTTACAAACTGATCTATTGTGATATCTAATCCCTCATGACCATGCTGATTGCACGGGTGCATTGCTGTGTTTGTTTTGACGTTAGAAGATATGTCGAATTCCCACGAGCAGAAGAGCTTTAGAAATAAATGCACGTAGCTGACAATACTTTACGCACCCTAGGGCTTCGCATAGTGACAGGCATGGAATTAATAACGATAGGGCAATTTCTTAAAGTCTCTTTTTCTTTATACACCCTGTGCTTTTTTCAATTCAGATGTATTTTTAAGTGCTTTTGTGCTTTATTATGAATGCATCAAACACAGAAGAATACTACATATAGGAGCATTTTTTCTCTTTATAGCAACGATTCTTTCTTGCAACTGTTGCATGCGTTACACACCTTTGTTACAAGCAAAAAGCTTTTCTACTCCGCGGAATTTAATATAACTTCTAACAGCAAAAATTGCACAACGATGCACTCGTGGGATAAGCATTGAAATTAGTTAGTCATTGAAATTATAACAATTGGCTTCTTTGTAAATTAAGGTCTTCGTTTTTTTTGTCACACCTTTAGTGGTCAGTCATTAAAATTTTAACAATCGTCTAATTTCTAACGATCTCTCTTTTTATATACACAATGTTTTGCATAATCAATTTCCGGGGAAATTTGAATTTATGGATAGTTTGAACGTATTTAATTACACTTATCCACTTTACTTCGAATCAAAAGCTCGCCGTGCTGTTGGAAGAATATCATGAGTTCAAGTGCATTCTTTATAAGTTGTTGTCGAAGCTGTGCGATGTGATTTTACCGAAATTTTGTATAAGGTATGATTTAACTTAAAACTTTCAAACATTTATTTTTTGAGCTTGTCTCTTGATTGGTTTATAGTTTTTCCTCAGTGACAGCAACCTTCAATTGCTTCAAATGAACAGTTTTTGTTGACTGTTGAGAGGTGTGGATTAGTTTGTTAGCAAAATATCTTAAGGTAGAACGAAAATCGAAAAATAATGACTTTATAAACTGTTCGCTGGTCGCCACGTTGGCGGTCTCATGAGTTGTGTCAAGCTTACACTACGAAAGTGTTCGGGGGCTTTTGGCAGTCAGCTGTGGGTGTCTACTCGTGTTGATAATTTCTGTTTAACCAAAGTAGATGCTTTGCAGCATGCCATACTTTTCAGACCGGAGAATCATTTCCCCAGACTTTACCATACAGGGGGGTATTAGGAAACAACATCGACCGATGCGGTCGTTGATGTCTACAATAGCATTGGTAAAGAATTCTATTTATCAGACCTCCTAAATTATTGACCGGATAGTTGATAATATTAAGTGATATGAACTCCGTGGAAATGCAAGTTATCTAACAATAATGTTCATGTGCACAGGAGGAAAGCTGTAAAAACAACGCAAATCGAGGCAATGGAGAACTTTGATAGTGCTTACTTCACTCTTGAAAAGGAATTTTTCTTGTGTGATGTGAAATACATGCTTGTATTCGTGTTTCATATAGTTCTTGAAAAGTACACAAAAAGTGCAAACAAAAGCTTACACGTTTATGTTTATGTCTGGTGAGAATGACGAGCAATGTTGTTCAACGGTGTGAAATTACATATTTTTCTCTACAGGAAGGGATGCATCTAAACGACAACCATTACCCGTGAAAAACATCCAATAACCATTTCTGTCCCATCCATGCCAACTGCACTAGTTCTTCACCACTTGCATTGCTAAAGAGTTAACTCGCTATTTATGCTGTTTGTCATACACCTATAACAGTGAAGGGCCCCACTATTAAATGTGAGATCAGCTGCTGTAACATTGCATGTCACGATTAGAGGCAGCTCGTTACATCCGTTTAGCTCGTATTTAAAGCGCACAAAAGCTAATAAGTTTGCGCGTGCGCAGTATTTACATCGCTAGCGCATGCTCTCAATTTTGCGATCAACGTGTGCAATTTAGATGCTAAGAATTTTAATGAAGGAATTGCGCTTGCGATTTTAAGGTTCTTAAAGGCTGTGCATTGATATTTAAAACTTTCAGCGTTTCTTTATTTGGTTGATGCGTTTTGCAAAGTGTTGTGGAACGTGTACAAAATCAAACAATTTAAATTAGTTTGCGTATTGTATCGATCGTTCCCCGTCAAACTAGTGGATTGTGGCATGGATATCTTCTCCCCCAGTCCACGCTCCACCTCGTACTATTACCACTTGAAAGCGTGGATATTGAGATGAAGGAAGATTTCGTTGGTTTGGAAAGATCATCAGGATGTGAAGGTTTAACAGTATTTCTATAATTTTATATTTCTTGTCATTTATCATCTTAAGTGTTCTGTCATTTTTTATAGAAGATTGAGTGATGGCAGTAAACGATTTTTTAGATGATTGCGAGCCACCTTGATCGACAGAGTCATGTTAATAACAGTTGACTACCTATGTGTTCTTACTATTTTCTGTTTTACAGGGATTTTTAAATCTTTGGGACTATCATAATGAACGTAGTGTGTAATTACAGCTTCGACGATGGCGGTTATGCAAATAACGAGAAAGCCCTCGAAAGAGCTAATGATACTTAACATTTCAACTCAAAGGCGATTGAAAATACGTGACACAAAGTAATGGTACTTTTCCAAAGAAGTGCCATTTTTATCGTTGACGACATTATGACGACGTATGAAATGACGATATTACTCGAAGGCGTTGGTAATGTGACATATGAAGAGATTGGGAGGTAATGGAAGTATAGTAAACGGTTTTGTCGTCTCTATTATGAACTTTATTTCAAAAGTGAGGATGTTTATGAAACTGCACGTGGTGATGTTAGACGGTTGACGGGATATACGAAGAAATCAGCGTCTTGGAAGAAGATGACTTGGAAATTATTCAGGTTCATAGTTGCGTAGTTGACTTCCGGCAATACGTCACGTCTAGTAGTCTCACTAAAAAATGACGCATGCGTGAGTTTAATGTAGATGTGAGTCGATTTTGAAGTCTGATGACCTTTTTGCAACGCAGAAAAAATTTTGCGCGCGTGTGTGCAGTGACGTTTTTTTGACATCAATGTTGAGTGATAAATCATAGTTTCGAAACGTCATTATCAAAAATATCAGTATTCATAAAAAACGTTTAGGCTTTCCTGATCACACCAGTTGCTTTATGATTTAGTTGACATGCATGGTCGTTCATGTATCGTCTTCTTCATGCTGTTTACGTGTTTCTTTCAAACGAGAAGAATCAGTTATCTTTAAGGTGGGGAATGGAGAATTTCGTTACCACTAGTTCATAGAATAAACATGTCACGCAAATTCATTTATAGCACAGCTAATTACCTCAAAATTGTAGTACCATGCTGGAATATTTCTCTTAACAATACATTCATTAATGCAAGTTTCAGTGTGTATAAAAACAAATCACTGTTTCATAAAGCTGTCTTTTCTACAGATGTCAATTACTTCCTAAGTCAAGTACAATGCATGGATTCATAGTTTTTAAAGTGTACAATCATCGCGACCAATTGCAAGAAAATAAATTTTCACACGTGAGAACCTCCGTTCAAAAGTTAGAACTGATGAGAAGAACCAAAAATAGAATCGTACGATCAAATCAACTGAAAATTTGGAAATGAACCCGAGTTCTGAAAGCTCCAGAAAGATGAAAAACGGTACAATTTTGTGTTGTTTTTCATTACTACGGTACCTGAAAAATCTATGAAAAATCTTAAAATTAAATTAAGCTGAACTTTGCACCTTCAAAGTTAGCGCGTCTGATCCATGACAGAGCCTGAGCACTGGAATTCAATAACAGACAAATCTTTCATAAATTAAAAAATTCCAAAATTATCATTACTTCCAAAAATATCAACTAATTTCGTAAAATTTTCTTTGCGGTCGAAGGGTTTTTTCCCGGATTCGCTGGTGTTCCCTTCGCTTTCGTTTCGTCTAAAAAGAGTGTCCAAAATTTGGGGCCAAAGATTTCTTTGAACATTCGTGTGCTTTAAAATGTAACTTTCATCAACGAGTCGTTCTATTGCAAACTAGCAAAATAACATGGCCTCTGGGTTCAAATCCCAGAACACCATATGATGGCAAACGAAGGTGAGGTAGTGATCAGACAAATAGATTAGTACGTAGCTAAATTACGACTGATTTTAAAATCAAGCACGCTGTAGGAGTAAACATTTCGTCCATTTCGCCGAGCACCTAGGTGCTGCATATTTAACTGTATAACGCTGAAAATTCAAGCAATTTCATTGGTCGAGAACCATTATCTACAAGAGGACAGACGCAACGAATGACGTCACAGAAAATTGCATGTTTTTAATTTAAGTTACAAAACCTTAAATTTTTTTTTGAATTTATCTCTGGGCATATGAAGACCTGGACCTAGTCGAGGTATTTGACGCTTTTGACCCAAATGAAAAAATCCTGCTTGGCAAAAACATAAACAGTTTCCCTGCGTAACTTGGGAATTTTTTCGATTTTGTTATTTTCCATTTTATAATAAGACAAATAGATTACATTAACTTGTTGTGTGTTCAGTTATAGATACACGGTACGACGTTGCCCGTGATAAGAACAAAAAAGTGTCCACGAGGCACTTGATTAGATTGCAGGTTGCGTTTGTACATCCCAGAGTTTCCATTGGTCGCAAATGCAATTGATTGCCGTCCATTGTGTTAATTACATGTGTAACAAAATAGACGTGCATAAATTTTAATGGAGTGGCCATAGTGTGTATTTTTCTTATCAGTCCGTGATGTGAGCTTGGATAGATGAGCGTGTTTCACTGATGTTTGACATGACTTTGAGGTACGTAAAGGAGTTCAGCGACAAAAAATTGAGAGACAGATGATATACATTGGACTTAGTCGAAAACTATTGCATCTTTTCAATTTCATATATTCCGAAAACCATTTAATTGGCAGCTACCCAACTGTACAGTCAAAATGAACAACTGATTCCAGCTGGTTTTGGCAACACATCTCACATATTTATTAAATACTATTAATTATTAATTGTTATCAATTATTAATTGTTATCAATTATTCATTGTTATCAATTATTCATTGCCTATTAAATATTAATTACTCTAAATTACTTGTTATTTGTTGATAGTTAATAGTTTTGAATACAAATGTTTTGTTAGTTTAGTAAATGTACGAAAAATAAAAACAGACATATATTTAATAGTTCTTTGTCATTAGGTTTGCCGTATCCAAAAAAATCACGACACCAGTTTATATATGAATAAATTGTTCTCTTTGTGTGAATGTGCTTCGATTGAATATTGCTTTTCGTCGAAATTACAATGCCTTCTAGACAACTATAAAGAGAATTATAGCAACAAACGCTACTACGAAGTTGCGAAGAAAGGGAACGAATGAGCTAGCGTCGTTACCATCACCAATTGTAATTGTCATATTTAGAGAAGGTGGTTGGTAAGCCTTTTGTTATTAAATGAACTTGTTGCTAACACTGATGTCAAAGACGTCGTTGGTCTTTGTTGTGGAAGATTCCTCAAGTAACTTTTAATTCGTCAGATGAGAAATATTGAGCTAGGATTGAAAAGCAGTTTCGATTTGCAAAACCGTTAAATTGTTTCATCTGTCTCAACAATGCATTTAAGATATGATTGAATGAGTAGTGTACAAATGTATTCTCTGTTTAGTAGTAGATAACAATATTTAAGATATGATTAAATGAGTAGTGTACAAATGTATTCTCTGTTTAGTAGTAGATAACAACATTTAAGATATGATTGAATGAGTAGTGTACAAATGTATTCTCTGTTTAGTAGTAGATAACAACATTTAAGATATGATTAAATGAGTAGTGTACAAATGTATTCTCTGTTTAGTAGTGGATAACAACATTTAAGATATGATTAAATGAGTAGTGTACAAATGTATTCTCTGTTTAGTAGTAGATAACAACATTTAAGATATGATTAAATGAGTAGTGTACAAATGTATTCTCTGTTTAGTAGTAGATAACAAATACACCAAATAACAATTGACACAAATTTAGCTCGATTGTTTCTACAGCTTGTATTAATTAGGTGAAGTGAATCGTCCCAGCAAGCCGAAAACTTAATTAAAGGATGAGCTTTCCAATCCTGGTAGCCGGGCAACATACTTATTTTAATTAACCATTCAACTTCTATAGATATCGCTCGGACTATATAGAGAGATGTCAGTAAATTATTTGCAACGAGTGAAGTGCATTAAATATTCACATATATATTCAATATATACAAGTATCAAATTGATCAAAATGCATAATCAATATGCATAATCAATACAATCAATGAACATATTATAATCAATATACATAACTAGCGTTAATGTACACATTCGTTCATTAGCAAATTTTATCGGTAAAAAATGACTTATATTGATGTAATAGCGACATTTTTTACATGAATGAAAATTCTAGCAAAAATGCTCGCATTTAGCAAGAGAATTAGCCCGCGTTTACAAACAGTATTATTTCACTTGAAAATAAATAATTACTAAATTGACTGTCAACATAATGGGAAATGACATGACTGAATTTAAATTCGTTGCTTTAGATGGCGTTGTCATGGGAGCCGTGATGACAACATTTGGCACCGTAATCAAACTATTCGGATACCAAACATCGCGGGCGCACCATTCCTCGAAGTCTAAAGCTGAAAATAAAAGGTTTTTTATAGTTCTTTCAACAACAAAACGACATGTTTGGACTGAAAATTGAAAAGTGAAATTAGCTAATGCAATCTGATTATTTAATTGTAATTAGTTCATTAAAGATTCTGAGATCAAAAACCGACAATTGCGGTATGAAACCTTGAACAACCGTTCTGAATGCAACTGAAACAATTGCTAATAGCTGTTTGTTCACTCATTTGGACTATGCGAGATCGTTCACAAATTTTGGCGTAGCTGGCCCGCAAATTTAGTTAATGCTAATTTTTCTGTGTTCAATTACTGAAAATCGTTAAAAAGATCGCAAATACCATGGTGAAAGTAATAACGTAAAAGTTCTCAAAAGAACTGTTTTAAGCACAGAACACTAACCCAATAGTTCTGAAAGAACTGTTTTGAAACTAAAATGCATCGTGTCTTTTAGTTTCAAAACAGTTCTTTTAGAAATATTGGGATGGTGTTCTGTGTTTAAAGCAGTTCTCTTAAGAACTATTATTTTATTACTTTTGCCGTTCACCATGGTATTTGCGATCTTTAAAAACTATTGATTTTGAGATAAATAAATGATGTTAGTGATCTTACATTTACATAGCAGGAGCTAAACTTGCAGGCTGGTTACGCTACTGAACATCAAATCAGTCCCTCTATATACTATCAAAACCTGGCCTTGTATTGAAAAAATTCTATTTATGAATGAAAATTTACTGTAGAATACTTTGATGAACTAACACAAAGTGCTTAATTGCTTATTGATGACCAACTTTCTGTCAACTTATAGTTGCATTATGGGAAGGAAGAAGGGCTACTATAGTAAAGTATAGTGAAAAACTGTACTTACGATCTTCAAATGAGGGACTAACAGTTATGCGAAACCAGATTGAATATACTGCTTCACAGCCTTCACAATAGAACACAAATTTGATTTTATCTTCTCTAACAGCACTATCTGTGCATGTTCGGATGCCCTACGTGATGTTAATGAATAAAAAAAAGTTTAACAAGGAAGAATTATCAATTTCATAATATCTATTTGTAAAACATACAACATTATACATATAAATATACACTCACTGATTGACAAGTGGGTTCGTTATATTCTGGTTGTGACTTAAGACTAAAAATACATGTTCACATTTAATTGCAAATGGTACGTTTTTATGTTAATTGACAAAACAGCAATGTGTTACCATACAACTGAATTGCCATCAAAAGATATAGCCTGCAAAGTGGAAACACACAAAAAAAGATCAGAATTTGTGTCATGGAGTACCTTCCACAAAATAGCAAATTAACATGGGTTGATCAGTAGTGAATCCGGGGTTAGGCAACAAGGATTAAAGCACTAATTCAAAATTCTGCATATCTTAATAAGAAGGTCATAGCTGGTGTTTACCCTAACAATAATCCATATGAATTTCCAAAAAGAAATCTTACCAATTGATGGGCTGTAGCAATATTATTTGCCCAACCATGGATACATATGAACTGTCATGAATGTATAGGTATTATGATGTGATGTGCATATTACTAACCAGAACTTCAACTGTTTGATGAGCACTGTCATTCAGAGATATACTGAAGCATGGGTTTTTGGCCGTAGGATCGATGTTGTTATATTTAATGACTGTAGACATAAATCCCAGAGGTCTTCCACCGTCCAAAGAGTCAGGACTTCGGTCATAACTTGCTTCATTGATCATCTTGTATTCTTTGCAATTGCCATCATCAAAATCATTCCCTGACAATGCATAAATACAGCATAAATGATTTTGGGTATGAAAGAATAATTCAGTGTCTCACTGCAATTTAATTTTCCATTTCGATGAATGTGCAATGAATTTTTATCAAATATTGTTTTGTTTCATCCTTTTAAAAAACAATATATTTTCATACACAAATGTAATCTATCTAATTACACAAGCATGTCTATTAAATAGCACAACCATAATTAACGTTAGTAAACTAAAGCCAATATTCGCATGAATGTTCGGAATTAGCTCATTTGTTTGTTGCAAATTGAAACACATATAATTTGGATATAACTGTGTAGAAAGACAATTGTCAATGTATATAAAAGAAACACAACTATTGTTTGAGAAAATAGACATGCTTTATGACTAATATCATCACTCATACTGAAGATGGCAACATCATTTGTTGTCTTTTTTCAAAAAACTTGTTGTGTTTGCTAAATTTGGTGATAATTTAAACTTCATATTACGTTCATAAAGTTAAATGACATGGGCGCTCATGACAAAAGAGACAAGGAAACTAAATATATCTAACTTTTGAATTCATCTATCCTAGACCTCTCACGTCAAATGAACACTACACTTAAAGATTTATTTATTTCGCAAGCCGTGTTTTGAGATCGCACCTTTGTTGTTGAAGTTTGCATTGGAAGCAAATAATTATAAACAACTCGAGTTTGGGATTGCTTTCTATATATAACTTACTCGTGGGTTGTCATTTGAAATAACAAGTACAATGTCGAGTATCATGTAAACAATGAAAGTTCGGACTACGTAGAAATCGCTTCTAACTATTCAAAGGTATGTCAAAATCATTATGATTAACTTTAACGTCATTATAAACAAAAGTATACGTTCACCTCACCTTTACAAACGTGAAATTTGACATTCGAAAGAATAAGATAGTACCAAAGAAACATCCAAAATTTTCTCCCCATATTTTACGACAACGCTTGCGAAATATTTTTTTTGGTTGCTATTTTCGACATATGCTATAATTTAATTGCCTTTTAGCAAGGCATGAAATCACGTTCGAGACTCGTAGAAGATAAAGGGGAAGTAGCTTCAATTGCGGGGAGGGGAGCATTTAACTTTGGCAAAGGGATTGCGTTAGACCAACTTTTAAGATAGGCGTACACCTCAAAATAAATATGAAGCATGATAAACTGCAAGACAGTCACCTGTTCTCAACATTTAGTACGTCAGCAAAAACAAAAATGAGAATTTTTAAAATGGAGTAAGAGGAAGTATCAATAGCTGGGAGAGGAGCATTTAAAACGGGAGCTTCCAATTTTGTATGAAGAAAATAAAATTGAAGCATGCTTAGCGGAGCGACCATCATCTGTTAGCAAGTTTTAGTAATCAACAGCAGTAAAATATAAAGGAAATTTAAGTTCTAAAAGAATTGGCGTAAATTAGTTTCCAACAGTGGTTGCCATCCATATTTGGTGAAATTTGAATTGACGTATGCTGTTTCATTACGTCAGGATTTCCAACCAATTAGAGCAAGGGATTTATCGGTCTTCCCACAAGCACTTTGTCTTTGAGACTTTTGATCAGGGAAAAAACGGTCTTTTGAAAAAATATCGAAGAAAAAAATCTTTAAAACGAATTCCTGGTGAGTTTTGTCTTTTCGCAATTTTGTTATTACATTTCTCATCAAAAGCTGCATCCTTTTGTACTGAATATAAGTATTTTATTTTAGTAAAAGAACGTCTAGTATAGTTGCAGTGCTGTGAAGTGTTCATCATGTATCCAAGATTTGGCCCGCTTCGTATGACTCGTTTTTTTGCTCTGTGCATTTGTTTGGTCAATCACAATTCTCTTATTATGGCACAAACTACTTCGTCGACAAGTATGGCACAAGCATCAATGATGGCAAATTCATCAATGATGGCTCAATCATCAATGATGCCACAATCATCAATGATGGCTTCGACAGCAAACATGATGCCTGCTCAGACAGCAATGTCGATTGTTCCTAGTTCTGCAGTGCCGCAAAACCCGGCATCCTCATCAATGGGGAACGCAACAGCTGGCAATCGTGACTCATCATCTGAAAAACTCGTGCCTGCTTTTACTCAACTCTTTCTTCTCACTGTACCTTCAGTTCTTTACATCCTACACTGAAAAAAAACAAGGCAGATAAAGCGACCTTAATTCGATCATTTTGAAAGGATATTTTTGGTAAAAAACAAGCTTTCTAAAATTTTTTATATACTATCAGTTGAAGTTGTACACAATTGTTAAAAACATGTCTGTAAAATTATATCATGACTTACATTTTCAGAATAGTCTTTCACTGTGGGTGTCCTTTTGGGAATATCAAAAAATACTTCCGTTCCTTTCCATAACAAGCCTGTCAATGACAAGCACTCTGTCCAATATAATCGTCGGCAAAGTTTTGAATCAATAAATGATCCTTAAAGAGATGTTATTGAGTTTACGTAATAGACTCACAAAAAATGATATATCGCTTGTTATGAAATAAGACTGATAACTGTTGTTTGTAAGTGTAAGTTCGGTCCCGCTTTAAAGATTATTTTTAATTGAAAAAGGTCATGTTTGGCTTGTGAAACATATATATTTCCCTCAGTAAATTAATCGACACTTCAGACAACATGGTGATAGTTACATTGAATGAAAACCAAGCACTTCTTCCATAGCACATTGTAGTGCGACTAGATCGCTCATATAAGTACAGATCACATGCTGCGATCTTGATGTAGACGAGAAAGCCAATAACAAAAGCGTTGTCGCGATCTGGGTCGTGAAATTAATTTTAGCGACGTTGAACATAATTGAAGTCGAAGTCATAAACAAAATGTAATAATTTTAAAATCAAACCCCACGCTCAAGAAATATTAAAAACTAATCCTATTCTATTCATTTTTGCCGCAATTGGTTCAGTGCAAACAAACGCTTCGCTCTCGTTGTAAAAAAGATAAATTTACCGACAAAGGTAATAGCAAGCTAGCCCACAGGTAAAATATTTGTGTGCTTGAGCATAAAATAGTTACCTAGAAACCAAGGACTTTTTTGAAAACATTCTTGATATTGCGAAAGATTAAACCAGCTGTATAGGTACCCATCTAACATGACAAAAAATACGGAAAACAATTGACTTGAAGTCTCCGAGGGTGTTAAAATATTTTCGATGCACAATAATAATTTTGTACACAAATTCCACGAAATTCGATGTATTTCAAACATATAATAACATTCGAGTTTGCTATCAGGAATAATCGACCACTGCGAACACTGTTGCACGAATATTCTATCGAGAAACATGCATCAGAACTAAATAATCAATACGGTATATTTTTCTAACATAATATTATAGATATTAAATGAACGTCTTACTTGTCTCATACAAATTATTATAATCAAGAACTTATCATACAATTCATTCACAGGCGAGCCGTATACAGAAAAAATACTAGAGTAGCTATAAAACGCAGATGCACGCCAGCTATATAGCTGACGACGAAAATGCATATATACATCTTAAATTAATACATAATAAATACATAACCGCGGACATAGATTTGAATAGTTCTTTTTCCCCTAATTTTTCTAATCCTGCAGAATTACATCAACTACTGTTATTAGATATTTTCGTCTTAGGTATATGAAAGTCGGTCTCTTGGTATAACAATCCTCAAATAAGTGCTTCGATTGATTTTCTTTTCGTCGAGATCATATGGACGTTTAGACAATAGTCAAGAGAATTACAGCAAGAAACGCAACAATGAAGTTGCAAAAGAAGGGCAAGAAGGAGCTAGCATCACTTGAACTTGACGTGATCATCATCGTAGGGCTAGCACTAACACTCATATTTGCCTGAAATGATGACATCGACGACGCTTCTTGTATCATTACAGATGTAGAATTATATATTGTCGGTGAAGAGCCAGTCGGAGTCCCTGTTGACGGTGCTATATGTGATGGAGTTACCGCCGAATATTTCATCGAAGAGTTTGATACAGCTTTGGATGGAGTCACAGTAGAGGACATCGATATTTCTGAAGTTGAGTTGGCATTAACCGCCTGTCTTAGGATACAAAACATGATACAAGTAAGGACGAGCACTTGTTTAACCATCTTGATGTGACTAGATGTTGTTCTTTCTTGACGACTAAGCGAAAAACAACTTGACAGCAGCGTGTTCTCTTTCGTAATGACGAAGGCGTTGCTCGAAATTGACACAGCTGAAGCTTTATAACGTTTCCTATGGATACACCTTATAAATAGTGACCATATATGGTAAGCAGGTGAAATTAAGTTTTTCCTGCCGAATGGCTCTCATTGTATTTATCAATATATGGCCCAACTGAGCTTATCAGAGGATTTTACAGGTGGGAAATTTACCAAGGCAACTAAATGCTAAAACAAAAGCAAGTAAGCCTTGTTAAGAATCACTGACTAAAGTCTTTGTAGCCGCTTCTTTGTCTTCCACGTGGCTCTCACGAGGAGTAACGCTTTGACGGGTCCAGCCAAATATTGCATTATTGCTAAGCAAATATTTCCGTTCTTAACTTGTGGATATGTATGGTCGTGTCGTGTGAAATCATAAATAAACTGAAAGTTTAAAACGTCGTTTGTTTTACGCTTTCTTTTCTTTTTCGTATGCTCATCGTTCTAAAAAGAGAGTATATAAAAAACTGATATAAAAAACAATAATCTCTGCTTCAATTGGGAGAAGTTGAGAGCATCAGTCTTTGGTTCCTTGTATTGTTCTTTGTCTTTGTTTCAATACTTTATATGTCCTGTACGTTCAAATGTTTTGTCAGCAAAGGTGAGAAAGCTAATTGCTATTCAGCCCACACAATTACACTAGACTTGCTAATATATTAATGTGCAAAGAACCAATCATAATATTATAAATACAAATTAGGGCAATTGATATTAGCCTTGCGAATCAAATTAATCGTTTCTAGTCCCTTAAAAGAACGATCGATGGGAAGCCGGCTTTCTGTTTTAATGCAAATATTTAATAAAAAAATTTGTTGTTTTCCTCTTTCATTGTTTTTCCTGTGAATGAACACAGAAATATTTGAATTGTTGTAGTAAAACCGCTAGCTACAGATAATGAAAAGACTAGCCTACTTCACCTTCCCTTCGCGAAAACTGTTAACTGAAAGAAAAGAAGTGCTTAGTTTTGTTAAAGAATTGTTTGTCTTTCACGTGATTCTCACGAGGAGCAATAATTTGGCCCACCAGCCAAGTGTTGAGTCATTGCTTGCAATACATTTCCGTCCTAAATTTTGTTTTGTTCGCATGAAATAATGGGGCTACTGTGACGCGCCGCATGTAAAGGTAGCTTATTCTGTTGTCAGTTTCATGATCAATTCAAATTGAGATGGAGCTATTTTACGGTAAAAACAGCTTTATGGTGAAATACCATTTAAAGTGCTTCGGACTTACGAGTACCAGACTCCTGGAATACATTTCTTTGCTCGGTTTGATTTTAATTTGTTTCGCGTAACGCACGCAAGAAATACACGCGCTTCGCGGAGTTCAAAAATTGTCAATCGCAGTTATGTGAAATAGAGAAGACTATGTAGTTTATGCCGAGTTTGATAAAAAAATCTTATTGACGTTCAACAGAACATTTTTGTGTCAACATTTATTCTATGCAATTGCGAGAACATCGGTTTGGTGACGGTGTTTGAAATAATTACTGTAAATGAACGGAGAGAGAAGTTGACAATTAGACGAATGCTGTATCAACTTTCTCGTTTTTGTATCGCTTTGCCTGACCATGGATGTTGAAAACAGCCTCGAATTTTTGTATTGCCATTCGGGAAGCGTTCGGGGTGTCGCCTTTTCGCCCGTGGTACGTTGCTATTTGCTTTTTCTGTGATTAAATTGAGTAATGTCCTTGTTTGTTCACCCTTCGAATGCCATTACCTTAGTTACGTTCTTTTAGTCGAAATTAACTGGAAAATTCAGTGCATTGAAAGAGGTTTATAGTATTTTTATTATTTAAGGTCATTCATTTCTGCGTTTCAGTGATTTTGAAAGAAAAAATCTTTATAGGGTGCTCTGAAGCAGTGGACGATTTTCCGGCCGGGTCAATCAGCCTAATGTTAAAGCACTTTATTTTTCATTCGTTCTTTCATTTGAATGATCCTTGTGTTCTCTCTTTATTTAGGATCGTCACATATTTTGTTCAGGTGCGTACGATGGCAAGGTGAATCTATACAATGCCAATGATTGCGTTCTCCTCCATAGTTACCAGGTATGTCAAAGTGATACAGTGAAAATCTTGCCTTTACATTGAGATTGTGTTCATTTGATCATCAGATAACCACCTTAAGTCTTGCAAGAAACATCAATGCAGTAAGGTTTACTTCAGATGGACAAAAGGTAATCACTTCCCTTGCCATGATTTGATGAGAATTTAGTCATCCCTGACCTAAGGGGATAAACCCATATATAAACAGATTGCTCAGCAGAGATTTGATAAGACCTCTACTCTTCGAATACTATTTAAGACAAAGTTTTTTTTTAAGAAAAAAATTTAAGTGTTCTGTTTTAAAGTGTTATATTGTTTTGGAAGTTTTTTGAAATTGAATAAGTGTTGAATATTTTGATTTTTGTAATTTTACAATGCTCCACTGAATCTCATTCCCTAAACCTGGTCAATAATATGTTAAAACCAGAGAATTAAAGTGAATCTTTGTTACTTTTGTAAAGGATAACTGATCGAGGATGAATCGGCAATACATTACCATAAATATATTTCCAATTTATTTTTTTGTTGTTGTTGCAACCAGGTCCCTAAATATTTTTTGAAAATTCTAAATTCCCTAGAATTTTGAATTTGAAATTAGATGCTCTGATGTATTTTGCCCTTGATCTGTCATGTTTTTTTCATGTTTTTGTTAGATTTAGAGGTTTCATCAAACAAAAACAAAATAATAAATCAGTTTAACCCATAATGATGAAGAATATATTTTAGCATAACACATGCTCTTCAACAAGGCAGAATAATCATAATTACAATGGTCACATGATTGATAATCTATTTGAGAGTTCTACAATATGTGATGTCATTTCCTTTTAACAGTTTTATTGGTGAAATAATATAAACACACCTTGTGCCGAGGACCCTTTTATTGAGATGTAATTTGGGTTTATATGAGCATGGTTTGCTTGCACTGAAGGTTGCTTATGGTTTTAGATTCTTGCAACTACAACTGTGAGAAGGCTTGCTTTGCTGGATGCTGAAACAGGGGAACAAGTATTCTCTTATGATAATTGTAAGCATAGCAATAATGGTAGCTTTGGGTACGTAACAATAATAGCATAGGGTATCCTTGGAGATTGGATGTAAATTTCATGTGTGAAGAAAAAGTTGGACGACAAGATTTTGTTTATGAAGAGATGTACACCATAGTTAAATTTTGCTTATGAAGAGGGAGGTGTCTACCATAGTTAAATGTTGTTGATAAAGAGAGAGATGTACACCATAGTTAAATGTTGTTTATGAAGAGAGAGATGTATACCATAGTTAAATGTTGTTGATGAAGAAGGAGATGTATACCATAGTTAAATGTTGTTGATGAAGAGAGAGATGTATACCATAGTTAAATGTTGTTTATGAAGAGAGAGATGTATACCATAGTTAAATGTTGTTGATGAAGAGAGAGATGTACACCATAGTTAAATGTTGTTTATGAAGAGAGAGGTGTATACCATAGTTAAATGTTGTTTATGAAGAAAGAGATGTACACCATAGTTAAATGTTGTTTATGAAGAGGGAGATGTATACCATAGTTAAATGTTTTTTATGAAGAGGAAGATGTATGCAATAGTTAAATTTTATTTATGAAGATAGAGATGTCTACCATAGTTAAATGTTGTTGATGAAGAGAGAGATGTATACCATAGTTAAATGTTGTTGATGAAGAGAGAGATGTCTACCATAGTTAAATGTTGTTGATGAAGAGAGATGTACACCATAGTTAAATGTTGTTTATGAAGAGGAGATGTATACCATAGTTAAATGTTGTTTATGAAGAGGGAGATGTATACCATAGTTAAATGTTGTTTATAAAGAGAGAGATGTCTACCATAGTTAAATGTTGTTGATGAAGAAAGAGATGTACACCATAGTTAAATGTTGTTTATGAAGAGAGAGATGTACACCATAGTTAAATGTTGTTTATGAAGAGAGATGTATACCATAGTTAAATGTTTTTTATGAAGAGGAAGATGTATACCATAGTTAAATTTTGTTTATGAAAAGAGAGAGATGTATACCATAGTTAAATGTTGTTTATAAAGAGAGACATGTCTACCATAGTTAAATGTTGTTTATGAAGAGAGAGATGTATACCATAGTTAAATGTTCTTTATGAAGAGAGAGAGGTATACCATAGTTAATTGTTGTTTATAAAGTGAGAGGTGTATACCATAGTTAAATGTTGCTTATGAAGAGAGATATGTACACCATAGTTAAAGGTTGTTTATAAAGAGAGAGATGTATACCATAGTTAAATGTTGTTTATGAAGAGACATGTCTACCATAGTTAAATGTTGCTTGTATAGAGGAGATATAGAAATATGCTAACAAAGCAAGAAAGATCAGGAAAGATCATGAATGGAAAGGAAAGCTATATGTATTACATGGAATAGTTGCATAAAGAACGCTGTTTCCTTAGGTACATTTAGTGGCAGGGATAGGACAGCGCTTGCAGTCAATCAACATGGCGGTCCCAACTTGGCTGTGTGTACATGTATTGATGGAAAAGGTCTAGCGTTGTTTGATCTAAGAATGCCTTTGCCTCTTGATTTTGTAAATCAGGTGACTATTTTACGTAATTTTACTTGGGCTCTTTTCTTGCGGTTGTGCAATTTATGATTGTAATATTAGTGATGTAAATTATGTAATATTTTTACATCAGAATGACGTCAAGAGTTTGGTATAAACATGTTCATGTTTGTGGCTTTATGTTGATAATATTGGTGGTGTGATATTTATACACGAGTGACGTCAAACTTGTGTTAAAAATATCTTTATATTTGTATCTTTGTGATGTTCTTTTAGGTGATGTAATATTTTTACACGAAAGTCGCGTTAATGTTGTGTTAAAAACATGTATATAGCTTTATGTTGATGCTATCGTTGATGTAAATTTTCACAAAACAATGACGTCAACATCGTTTCAAAAGCATGTACATATTTTTGACTACGAGAATGATTAAAAGAATGTGACATTGTTCACAAGAGAATGTCATTAACATTGTTAAAACGTCTGCGCTTTTTTTAGCTTTATGACGAAAATATTCGTGATGTAACATTTTTACACGAGAGCTGGCCTTGGTGTAAAGGACAAACGTCGATATTATCCGTTGCCGAAAATGGAATTGCGAAGGTGAATTCTTCATTAAAGTTCATCAATACCTAAATGTGCTGACTTTTCTAATCAACCCAGATTTGCTTGTCAAGGTGACGTCACTGGACGGTCGAGAGCTGCACACTATAGATGCACTGGATTCGTCGCTACATAGTGTTGTTCCAACTCCTGAAAAGTATGGATCAATGGTTGACGATGGTTATGGAAGTGAGTTTGTATCACGCTGTGCTGGTGTCTAGGTTAAAGTAGCTACATATATCCCTCCGTCCCTAACTGTATTAAAAGTAATGAACTACAGTAGTAGGTGAAAGAAAGTCGTCACCCCTTTGCCCCTTCCCTATTTTCTGCTAAATGAACGGCGTTCAGTGCTGCGCAAACGTTGTTCAAACAAAGTTTTACATTCAACAGTCAGCGCACAAACCTCTTTAAAGGACACATGCAACATAAAATTCGGATTGTTATTTTTGTACTTTACATAAAGGTATAGCTCCAACTAATAGTTCACCAAAGTTTGAGACTCAAAGGATAAATATTTTTGAAGATATGGAGGTTTAAAGTTGATGCTTTACTGATAACGTATTAAAAATGCCCGACGAGCTAACGACGGCTACCGATTGGAAAAAGGTCGTTGTGACGTAATAGTTGACATGAGCTAAACGCGGTTAATTGCGCGCTTCGTTCAAAATATATTGGTTACTTCTTTGCCTGCATTAACAACACGACAATTTAGCATTGAAAATTTGGTTTATTGTGCCGCATTTAATTATAAAAACGGTTCTTCTAAGAACCATCAAACGCAGCAAAAGGTTTCTTTATTCGTTTCCTGAAAACAAGCGCATGCGAGATATTTGGATTGAAAAAATCCGACGCAAAAATTTGAAGCCAACAAAGAGCTCAAAATTGTGCTCGCAACATTTCGAGAGTTCGTGCTTCGTGCAAAATTTTGAAGCGATCCAATCAGGAGGATGGACAGCAGGACGGCTTCGCGTTAAGAAGGATGCTGTACCCACGATTTTTGAATACACTGTGGAACCCACAAGTGTAGCATCTAAAAGGAAGCAGCCAACAAATGTTAGAACTGCATTTGAGAAGAGACGAAGGCAAGAGGTGATTATTATAGTTATAGTTAGCAATATTTGTTTACATTTATCAAAAACTAAGCTATATAGCATTACCAAATTGAGGACAATTTTATAATTTTAGATTATTGACGACGTTCTTGCAGAACATGACGACTTTCTTGTAGGCAACGACCACGATGTGTCGACATCGGCTTGAAATGTTTGTGCGTTTTACCTCAAAGGAAGTTTGTCTAAGATAAAGATGTCAAAATATATGTAGACAGCGAAACACAAACATATACAGTGGTAACTAATTCAGACTAATGTCGTTTGATCTTTTCTTTGTTATTTTAACTCATAGAAAATTCCTTAACGTACCTTAGAAGCGCAATGTGAAATGCCAAGCAGCCATAACAATCCGTCCGCAAAAACACGTAAGGTCAAGAACCACTCAAACCAAAGTGCCAAATATGATAAGTAGAGGTATAGACTTTCCATTTCGGCCGTTTTGATTTTTGTGAAAAATCCAGCAATACGATAATTTTATCTAAAGGTTGAGTTAATTTCAACAAAAAATCATAGCACACAGACGACGTCATGTGAAATTGAACATTTTGAGGATAGCGCTGTATGGCCTGATACAGAAAGCACGTCGACGATGAGCAATAGCTACAATGGATCAGACTCTCACTCGTTTTCTTCACTCTCAGGCATAGGTCCAATGTCATGTGTGTACACGACCATAGCTGTTTTTACGACAGCTTCGTTTGTACACACTGTGGCAAACTCTTCCTCTTGTGTGATACAAATATGATCGCCATGTATCAGAGGATCAGTATTGTTTACCTCTTGGCAACATATACTTTCCCGTCCTGTACTCATGACCACACAAAAGCCACACTCGCACCTAAAAGATAAAAACATTGTTTTTACTTTGGGAAAAACAATGAAGCATCAATAAAATGCAACTAACCATTCAACATTTCCAATTCTGTGAATGTATTTATCTTCGCTTTCCGATGACGGAGAATTGTCATTACTATGACCACCTTGCGCGTTGGTCAAAGGCACAAACATGTAAGGTTGTACCTCATTGTTATTGATGACAATATCATAATCGGCATCTTCTTCAGAAGAATCCATTAATTTTTGATGAATAAAAAACAGTAATAGCAAACTACCGAAAGCCGTGCAAGTCGTGGAACGATATAAGAACGATGCTTGTTTATGTCAACTAATACGTCACTCTTTCCCAGTTCCCAGACTTCAACAATCTCACGGCGTTTTAGCAATGGTCATCGAATATCGTGTTTTTACCGATTATAACCCTAAATATCTTTTTAAATATTTCGCGGACGACTTTGAAACTTGGTACGTCTTATTTTCACGCTATAGGCATTACAATAAAATAAAGTTGTCTTCTAGCTTGCATGTGTCCTTTAAACGTTCTTATTTTTTCAACTCGCCCTATGTTTCGGGCTAAAATATGTTTTCTGTGCTTGTGCATGTTTCTGAAGAACGGGATGAACGGGTTACTGGAGAAATATGGAGAACTTGGGAGCAGCTCACAGTCGAAGGTTTCATCTGTTTGAGAGTTCTGTAAACTTCTCTCAAGCTTTTCAACTGGACGTTCGCATTAGTTTGTGTTAACGCACGAACGACTCTCTCTTTGTTTATAAAATACCACAAACAATTTTAAAAGACATTATATTGCTGATTTATTTGCATATTCTCCTAACATTTCATTAACGTGCACTACTTCCGTGTTTCAATAAGATTGAACATATAGCTGTTGACCAATCAGCATGTGTGTTTTTATGTAAATACTTAGCAAAAACGATTCGTTTTTCTCAGGTGTCGTGATGTTCGGCGGCAAACAACTCTCAAGCTACGTTCCCGATGTTGGAATTCAAGAAACGATGACCGAACATGGAAATTCGCCTTTGTGGAAAATAAAGTAATCACTTAAAAAACCGCTTTCCCCTTTGCCTGTGTGGCACCTTGACGTTTCGTTGAGCATGCGCAGTCTGGAGATTTTAAGTACTTCTTTGTCATGTTACGTTTTAGTACTTCCAAAAAAACATCCTTTGGATTTACTCAAGCTAAATAGCTTAGCTTCAATCTTAATCCAACCCATTCAAGAATTTGAGTTTATCAATTGCATCTTTATCCTTTATTTTAGGTACTCATCGAATGGGCATTCTCTTTTTACTGCTTGCGATAGAGGAATAGTTAGAAGGTATCTTATTCATGGGTTTTGTGGGGACAGTGTGGGTACATGAGGTTCCACCCTACTCGTATGAAGATTTTCTCTTTTACTGCTTGTGTTAAAGGAATGGTTACAAGGTATCTTATTCGTGGGTTTTCTGGGGAGAGTACATGAGTTTCCACCTTACTTGAATGAACATTCTTATTTTACTGTTTGTGTTAAAGGAACAGTTACAAGGTATATAGATATTTTAGGTTATTGACGGGTTTCTGGGGAAGTCAGTAGGATTAAGGTTAGGGTTCGAGTTAGGGTACTTGTTTGATAAGTATCTTTGTCCTCTTTTTACCGCGTGTGGTCAAGGAATAGCTATATAACGTATACCAACATTTTAGCTCATGCAGGGATTTTCACGAGGGGAGGGGTGCACAGACCAGGTAATAGTTCGTTTGATTTTACCTCCTGATCTGAGTGTTAGTTTCCTTATTGAACAAACTGTTAATCTCTTCGACTTTTGGCGCAGCGTATGTATTTGGTCCAATCAATATGCAGGAGTCATTATTATTGATATTGTGTCATCATTATTGATATTGTGTCATCATTGATGATATTGTGTCATCATTAATGATATTGTGTGATAATTATTTATGATATTTTTTGTAACTCTTCTCAGATATCGTCGTTATACTGACAGACACGTCTTTGAAGATGAACTCTTTCGGCATAAAGATGACATCGAAGATATGGATATATCTCCTTTTGACGAATGTATCCTTTTCATATGTGTACACGATGAAATTCGATGTCCGACTGATGGATGTAATCAAGCAGAAAGTTAGATGTGGTTAGTTTGGCTTGATAAATGTTATCGAGAGAAAGCTTACCAATGTGAAATCAGAAATCGTTCGGTTTGATGATTTCGTACAAATAGGTTTAATTGACTTATTCAAAAGCCAAAACAAGACAAAAATAGTCAGGCAAGTGAAACTTCACTCAGATTCAAATACAATTGAAATAATGTCTTGTAAATCATATCAAGAAGCATGAGTTCACGTCCGACCGAACCAACCCGACTGCCATCCGAGATGTTTTTGAAAATTGTTTAATACGTAATTTTACGCATGAAATTACTGATATAAATTTCGTGTCCTAAGCATTTCAACATGTTTCGTTAAAGCTCATGACACCTTTAAATGAAAAGTTAATGAATGAAATATTTACATTCACGTTAATTTATAAGGGTGTATTATAATTAATGTGTGAACAGACAAAAAAATTGTTTACACAGTGAGTTTTTTGAACAAAACTTTCGGCCATTCCAACAGCATTTAAAATTCTATAATATTATCTTCCTTACATCGCGATTTACCCCTATAGTTATTGTAACAGCCTCAAAAGATCGTTCCGTTGGAGTTTATCGGCTGGGTGGTCCCAGTCATGGTTACACTGAATACAAGGAAGTCAGATAGACCAAAGACATGAGATAGGCGAACCTGTGCTTACCACTGAAATTTGTATCCTCGTTTTTCTGGATAAACTCTCCTATAGACATGACGTTTGTATTATTATGCATGGTTTCCGTTGCGAATATGCCTTGCGTGTTTCGTTTTCAATGCCTTTTTTTATGGAGGCCTACTTGTAAATTGTTCTGCAGCTTCCCATGTGCATATTGTACGCGTGAAATAGCCAGGCGCCAAGCTACAGTATTTGCCTATTTATACTTCTGTGGAAAGCAGTTTAAAGATCGTAGGATTTTGGATTTGCTTATTAAGGTTTTGAAAAAGCTTATTTTTTGTCGAAGGTTCTTGGATGTTTACCTGTCGTTTGCAACATAAGTACGCGTGGATGGAAGAGAACGAAAAGCAGATTAACGATGGAACGAAACAAACCGCAATATTTTTGCTGAGGATATGTGATTGCGCATGCTTACCCGTCTGCGTTCGCAACCTATAAGTGACGTTATAATTTGCTCCCAACGTCGTTGTCGCAATTATGTTTTTTCATTGTTTAACGAATAGATTACATTTGGCCTTTGCGAGATCAGTTATCGATATACATAATGCCTCACCTTGGCGTGTGGCCTCTGTTCTGTTTACCACATTTGACGTCATGCTGTGCATCTATAAATGAGCAGTCACTCAGAACAAATAGTGGCTAAATGGAATCTGTTTGTTTATGAAATGAGAACCTAAAACTAACTAAATTTTTAGCGGGAAAAGAGAACGTTATTTATTTTTTATTCCAACGTTAGCAAAGAGGCTTTTTTGTTGTTTTCGCCAACGCGTCTACTGTTGTAGCTAGATCTTTTTCAAGGTTTTCATCGGTGTAATTTAGGGATTGCATTCAATCGTTCAAAAATTTTTGCTATTTGTTTTCGTTTATCGACTTACAGCACATCATGTGACGCTCATTCCGTGCATCTGTAGTCTCGTAGTTGACTCTGGACCAATGAAATTGCGTGATTTCTCGATGTTTGGGAGCAAATATAATTCCCCAAGGCACATAACCATAAATTTGTAGTTATAAATGTCTTGATCTTTGTGTACCAATTGGTGAAATATATACGACAAGATTGACTTCTTCATTTAACACCAGACTAAAGATAATAAACTGTCTTATCATGCTGTGAACTGAGCAGAGAGTATTATAACTGTTAAGGATCGCGGAGCTTTTCCTATACGAAATCACGAACTCCAATGAAGAGGGCGGGAGAATCTTTTTCTTCCACTCTTTATAGTTGTGGCTCCACGAGAGCAAACGCCTTTTACTTTTCAACGCTCAAAATAATGTGGGATCTGTTCGTGTGCGAAAGAGAAAAAAGTTTTCTGACCGTTTCTCTCCATATTCATCCCATAAACGTTGAAGTGCGCTTTGCACTTTTGCCGTTTTTTTGTGAATTTTCCGTATTTTTTGCATGTTTAGCGCGCGTGATGTATTTTCTCTGTCTTTCATCAATTTCTATTTGCTTTGCCAAGTTATTCACGCAATTTCAAAGCGTTTATTATAAATATCCGCAAGTTTTCTTCAAGACAACAGAGTAGGACTAACGCTACGCGAGACAATATTCACCTTCTAAGACGGTCAGCTCTTCGCGAAGGTTTTCGTTTCACTTAGATTTCGTTCAAGAATAAAAATTGGGAAGACATGGAAGGTACACAAAGGCGTCTTTCTTTAAAAAGCGTGAACGTTTCTGTGGAAATGGGGTGAGAACATTTTCAGTCAATTTTTGTTGGTGATTTTTTTGGTCACAATATATTTCAGTTAAATATTGCTTTGAATAGCGTATTTGTTTTGTTGAATGACAGTTGAGGATTGCTGAAAAGAAATGTTTGATACAATGAAGTAAATTTCGGTTTTTGTCTAAGCACGTTGTTTGCTAAAATGTATCGTGTCGTTTAATTTTATGGCTATCTTCATTTTCGTTTTCAACAATTTATTTTAAACTTCTCAATTGTCATTCACCAGCATGACAAGTACGCTGTTCGGAGCAATATTACAGCTTGTAAACACAACCAAGTGTTTGTTTTACAATGCTTCGATTACGTGTAGTTAAATGTGGTCGTATTCTATATGAGGGAAAGATGTTATTACAGATCGTGCTCCGTACGTTTGGAAGATCTACACAAGGTGTATGGAAAAAGAGTTTGATGTTAGAAAAGATTCTTTAGAATAAGACTCACACTAAAAAAGCAAAATCTGTTAGTGATTCTTGGTACTTAGACGGTGTCTGACACAGCTGGCACTGAAATTTCTGAAAGCACGAGTTTTTTTACCAATGGTAGAACTGATGTTAAGAGTCCTTAAAAACAGCCCTTCCTCGCAAAAATTGGTCATTGCAAAAACAATTTAATTACCCGGAGTCAAAATATGGGCTGTGTCGCACAATCTATTGAAATTTTAAACAATTCCATGCGATGTGCAAGCTTTGCCCGTATAACCGCATGATTTTAAAATTTTGGTTGAACTCCCCCAAACCTCCATTGGCTTTACGCCTCTGTTCACCGATTTTTGTTACCTAATTTGCATATCGTGCGTCACCGATGTTTTTCTCAAATAGTGCGTACATTTGTTTGTGTGTTTGTTTGCTTGATATTTTTGTTTGATTTTCTATGGTTTTTTTTTCACCTTGACACACCTTTCTTTGAAACACGTCTGTATATTGACTTTTATTCGTGCTGAGATGCTGCTCGTTCGCGCATCTGTTAATATCAACTGCATCACATTCATGTCATTGTTCTAAAAGCGTGTTGATGAAAAACAGCGAGAGCATTTAACCGCGCATCAATCGTCACTGTTGTCAAACGTATTGTTGATTTTATGACTAGAGTTGAAGCTGCTGAATCATTGCTGCATAAAAACAGAAGTTCATATACAATCAGCTTTTGTTGATCTTATTGTATGGGCTACAGGACAGCGATGGTTATTTGAAAATATAAATGAGAAAGAGGTTTAACAAATAGTTATTAATGCATTGTGTGGCTATCAAGTATTTAATCTTTTTTCAGAATTATTTCATCATTTATTAGAACTATTTGATGATCCTTCAGAACAATTTGATCTTTGTTTAGAACAATTTGATCGTTAGAACAATTTGATCGTAGAACAATTTCATGATACTTTTGAACAACGTATTTCATTACCATATAAAACTACTAGATCATCTTTCAGCACAATTTGATATTTTCTCAGAACTATTTGATCATGCTATAGAACCGTTTTATTTTTCTTTAGAACTGTTAGATTACACTTCATAACTATTTGATCAAATTCCTAAAAGTGTTTAACCGTACTGCTACGGGACTAATGAATAATTCAGTAAATTATTTCTTATTTGATGAAAGGTAAAGGTCAACGCCAATTAGTCACCGGCTTTCTCAATTTTAAGTGCATCAATATTGATATCGAAATAATTGAAGATGTGATGATTGAAAGCATCAATAAAGAGCGCATATTTTTGATAAGAGAAAAACTGTGGCAGTGCTGCTCGGTGTGCTTAAAGAATATTCGGAGGGGGGGAGGTGTAGTATTGTTTAACGAGCTGTTAGGAGAAATTTCATCTATTTAACGTTTTTGGCTGTAAAAATTGATAACATTGATGTCAATTTCAGTTGCCTTAACATATAACATTACATTGGAGATGAGTTTTGCTGTTATATCGCGCAATGAGCTTGTTTTTTTAATGTTGTAATTATTTTAAGTAGAAAGTATAAGGTTAAATTAAATGTGCATTTTATGAGAGTTTGTGCCATTCATAGAAACGACAAGGCATTCAAGGAAATGTACTCAGAGATGGTATCCTGGATTCGCAAAGCAAGCCCCAAAGCTGAGGTCATTGGCTCAGAGTCTAATGAAAAAGGTATTTTGGAAATATTAAAGACGAAAAAGAAATGTTCGCGGAAAAAACAATGTTTTTATTGTAGGAACTATACTTTTTAATGTTTACGCTGCATGTTTTCCCCTCTTCGTGGATTTCGTCTCCTTACTACGAAATATCACTAGAACTATAACATTTATCATTTGCTCCGACTGATCAAAAGGTGCGAGGTCAAACTTTATACGAAACTGTCAAACTTGTGATTTGGAAGCGCTAAGAGATGTTCTTTGTCGATGGCCCACAGAAGTGGAAGTTTGGTTAAAATCTTAATAATCACAACAACATGCGCGTGCCAGCCGGGGGTAGTGTTTCAAGTAAATAGGTGAACACTGAACATTTGAAGTTCAAAATGTATCTACCTTATTGATAAATATTTAATATTACACCCATGCAGAATAACACATGTATGTATGCTTCACTCAGCGAAAAACTTTACTGAGACTTCATCTTAAAGCCTCTCTTCCCATGAGCCATTCTATATCCATTTAATTATAAGAGAATTATCGCCTTCACTCCATCAAATCTCTGGACTCTGTATACCATAGAGCACGCGTGGTCACGCTCCACCAAATTACTGCTTCGCTCCCTGTTCTCGATAGCCGATTTATCTTTAGTAATAGAGTTTAGGGCCATTTCACATGAAGTGGGAAGGAAACCTTACCAATAATAACCACCATTTTTGTAAACAAGCACATGCTTTCTGGAATTTCATTGATATGCTCGTTTTGATTCTAGGTGCATTTGAGATATCGTGCGATGGACGAGTGATATTTTCCAAGCTTGCAAGACATGGTTTTCCTTCTATGAATGAGGTAAAATTGTATTGACGTCAGAAGTCGTTTGTTTTGATTTGACCGTGTTTCGTTCATCGACGGAATGGCTTTGAAGTTCGTCTTTGAATGGCAGTATTCATTTGGCTGTTATATTACCATTGGTTGTTCTTTGTAAGAAGAAACAGTCAATAATTGATGAATCTATTGTGAATGAGTTAAGTTCCTTTCTTGGGACGTAACTCATAGGGAGTATATCTATGATTTGATAAAAAAAGGAGTTAATTGCCTCTACTCTGGATTTGACTTCAGTTGCTACTCTGTCACCCTGCCATGCCCTTTTTTGTTAAATTTTGTTACTCACATATCATAATTTGGAGATAGTTTGTAAGTGTGCTACATTAGCAAAAGTCACAATTGCTTTTGATTAGTTGCTTGGTATATTAATATTTCACAAATAAATTGACGCACCCCCGCACCACTTTAAGCCAAGGATAAGTGGAATGTTAACCGCCCCCCCTTTTCCAGTAAACCCCATTCCCTATTATGGCACACTTTTTGACTAAAACAGTCATTACTTGTTAGCCGTATGTAATTGAATTGGTGCCCAAACACATGGTTGGTTTAAACACCCAAGTACATGGTCCATGATCTCTTTTGTCCCCCACAATATGATTAAAAATTGCTTCTCGTGAAACAGGTCGCCGACGTCGTTCGTATGATCAGTGAGAACAAGCACTGGGAAGAGATCACCAATGTGAACCGCGCCAAATGTCGATGTATTCACGAAGATTGCATGTGTGGCCTGAGTGTAATGGTTAACAAGACAGCTTGTCCCTGTGAATGTGAAGGAATGTGTCCAGGGTTGTGAGAACGTTGCTCAGGTCGTGCATTTTAACCATATTTCCATTAGATTTAATTAATTTAATAATTTAAATAGCAATTCATCACATATTAGCATTATACATTGTATTTGACGATGAAGTCCGTCGTGTGATTTTGACGGATGGAAAAACGAGCGAATATAACTTATTACTGAAGAAATGATTTTTGTGATAATATATCAAAACGAATGAAAACAAACTTGACTTTCTCTTTATGATTTATCCTCTCTACAAATTATCATTTTGAATGAAATGAAAAAGAAAAAGAAGTTGAAGGTATTCAAAAGACTGCGGTAAGTTCTTAATGAGTTGCAAATACATATTTAGTTTTAGTGTGTTGTTCCGTCGCCTGTCAGATAGTCAGATTCAACAATGGCGAGAAAGAAAGCCAAACTTTGCTTATTAATTATGTTTTGAATAACTCAAGACTCACTTAAAAGACATAGTAAAAGTTGACCAATGAAACTATTTGTAAAAAAAAACGAAGAAAAAGATGGCTCAAAAAATGTATTTCGTAATGGCTCAAAAATGGCTCAAAAAATGTATTTCGTCAAGTATTTCGGTATCACTGAAAATTTATCCGCCAAAAAGTTTTCTACCCGTGCCACATTTGCAAGGAACATGTCCCCCCTTTCATAAATCTCTTCCCTCTTATTTGAAACAAGAAATGCAAAACTTTAAAAGTACAAAATATATGTTTCCTATTTTAAATATCTGAGTAAATATTTACCAAAGCGGATTAGTTCTTAACTGCGTTTTGCCTATGACGGAGCTCATAAGTCATAAAATAGCTTGTTTGTTTAGTAATTGATTCCCAAGGAGGCGTAAACGCAATTAAACTGAGATTTGTTGTCTGCACTGCGAATTTGCCGTCTGCAGTAGCTGCAATATACGTAGCTAAATTACGTAGCTAAATTACGTAGCTAAATTACGTAGCTATGTGTTATTGTATTCAATAGTGTTTACGGTTCCTTGGGGATCGATTATTGCTGAATCATGCAAATTATAAAATGTCGACTGATTTCAAAATATAACCACTTCTGCTACACCGGCCTCGGCCTAATAACATTGTTTGAATGTAGTTCATTGTACAGTTACGTTCTCCAGACTTCTGCGTGAAGTTGGAGATGAAAACACCAAATGGCTGCGAATCATTAAAACGGGGGAATTATATCGTTTTTTTGCCGACTGGCGTATTCAATCCCGAAACAAAGTCCAAAGGCAAACGCCGCCAAAATAGAATACAAATTTCAAGTCGAACCGATTGATTGTCACAGATTATATAAGTTGTGGAGGCGATAATGAAATGGCAGAAGCATGCTGGTCAACGCGTGAATTTGAACTGAGAGAAAAGAAGAAAATATTGAGAGTATGCAACAGGTTTGTGACATTTGATTTACTGTATTTCGTAGACTATAGGAAGCGAATGGCGATGAACATCGAGAAGATTTAGTTTCGATGTTCTACTTCTTTCGTGAAACCACGTAATTTTTCATGAAGAACTAAATAAATAATACGTTATCAAACTTTTCACGTTTCCCATGGGAAACCATTACATAATTTGCAAGAAATCATCTCTCAATAATTTTGTGAGTAGCCTTGGAGCAACACTAAAAGCGCCTGTTTCATGTTTCTGAATTTAGGCTATGTAGATAGTTTAGAAAATTTTAAACATATTGTCAATAGATTTTATAATTCGAAAATTTGATCTTCGTGCATTTTTTAGAGCTCAAAGTCTATGATTATTTGCCTGACCGTGACATTAAAAAAACTAAAGCGAGAGCCCAGATCTGACGTCATATCGCGAATACGTTTTAAGAAAACACCGTATTTTACACATAATTTTCTCAACAGCATAGCTATATCGTTGCATTACACACGTGTATGGCATCTTGTGTCGTGGATGTTCAAAAACATCCAATTTTAAACAAAATACAGCAGATGAATTCACGTTGTGACGACAAAAATAACATTAGTTACCAGCTTTTTTATACTGGCGGTCAAACAATGAAAATGGTCAATTTTTCAATTTATCATATCTAAATGGCAGAAATGCAAAAATATGATATAGCGGGCACTTTAACACTAAACAGCTCAAGGTTTTATATATAAGTACAAATACAACGTATTTTTAGTTCAATGTAGTGTCCATTAGAGACTCTGATGAGCGAGCGATGCATTGCAGTCTTCGTGAAACGTTTGAAAGATACAATATAGTAATTATCTCAAAAAATGGCGTTCATTCAAAATGGCAACCAATTTATCGTTAAATTTGTGAGATCTTTTGAGGTGTGCTGTCTCTACTCTCTTTTGTTTTTGTTCCAAGCTCACTGAAGCACGATGTAAGGCAGTAAGCACGATTACATTACTTGCAATTTGAGCGAAAGAGTACGGACAACAAAGAAAGTCAATTACTGTGGCTTTTAATTAAACAATGAGGAAATAGCACATATAAGCTCCAGTGAAAACTGTTGAAGGAAGAGGTAATAGTATTTAGGGCCATTTTGACTGAACTAAATACAACTGAACTTTATACAACTGAACTAAATAAAGTTATGTTTAGTTCTTTGGGTAAATTACGCAAAAGATGGAGTTTCGTAAAGGCTTTCCCTTGGTCAAAAGCATTGAGTCAAAATATTGAATGAAAGTTATAAAAAAAGATTTCAAACCTTCGAAATATTTACAAACGAATAAACGTTACATCTCTTATAAAACATTTCACATTTTATTATCTTCATGCTATTGATTCACCTTGTATCTAACAAGTCAGAAATTAAATTAGTCTGCACAAATCTGTGTGTTTCTGACGTATGTTTACTTACAATACTTATATCAAGTTTCTGCAATCATTTGCAACACTTTAATTTATTTTTTCGGCAGTAAAAATCTGTTTTCTATCCATTTTTGGACTGTTACTCTACCGTCTCTCGCATTAGTAGAACTTACAACACACTTTCTTTGCTTTGTGTAAATTATAAAATTTACAACGTTTGCAAATTACACTTTTCTATTGCACCCTGTCCCAAATGTGGTACAACAACCAATTACGACGCCCGGTGAAAGCCAACAAAAACAACACGGGCCTTATAGGGTTAATGTAATGTAATTAACAAATAGATAACATTTAACCGTTGACTGTTCAGTTATACAGCGGATATGACGTCATTTGTGATAAGTGGCCACGAGCCGCCGAGGTGAATACACGTGTTTCTATTTCAAAAACAATAAATTTTCTGTGATGTCAGTTTTGTGCTTTTGCATTCTTTTAGATCATAGCTCTCGACCAATGAAATTGCTTAAATTCTTCAAGTAATTACGTAAGACGACAATATTTGTGCTAAACATGTCCCTCGACTGACTTCGCGAATTTCCAGTTCTGCTAGAGTTAGCTGAACCACATGCAGAGGTGCATTAAGAAAGTTTAGAGTGAGAGATGCCATCCACTACAGATGCAGCTTGGAAAAAATGCATTCTGTTTAACCCTCTATAGCCCGCTGCAAAAGAAAAGGCATACTTGTTAGTCGTTAGATGGAGCGTAAGCTATCTTAGCAAAAGTTGCTTGCACATTTAGTTCCATTTATTATCCAAAGATGGGAAACAATGCACTAAATGGCATGTGCATTTCTGACAAACAAGAAAGGTCCGTTGCCAGGCCAACACCAATAGTCGAAGAGCAAAAAGCTTGTATTGTGTCTTTTGTCATAAAGGCGAGCTGGTTGCTTCAGAAATGTTGCAAGGCAAAGTTATTAATTAATTAAGAGCAGGCAGTTTGACACCATCGTAATGGAGTTGGAAATGGAGATCAATTTGTGTAGTGTGACTTATAGTAGCGGGAAAGCCTATTTATGAGCTCTCTAGTTTTTGAAAAAGTGAACAAGACACGGAATCACGTGGCAAGCGTGTTGAAAATCACAAGAAAACTTAATCTCATTCAAATTGTTTTTTGATTCCACCATAAGGTTGGATTCCACCAAGAGGTCTGGATTTCAATAAGAGCTTGGACGCTTTTTCAATATTTCTTTTTTCCATCAGACAAAGGCATTCTTCAGCATGCTATCATTTGGCAAGTGCATGATTGCTTGCTTTAACTAGACACCATTGTCATAGCTGTGTGTTCATTTTCTTGTGAACGAAGTACATCTTATATATACAAACTGCTTTGATGTTCCACTATCAACAACATGTTCGATTTCCAAGAAGTAAACTAAGAAGGCATTGAAAGATTTTTGTATCTAAATAATTTCATGTCATTTCCTGTTCTGTTCCACACATTGTAGCAACAAGGAAAAGTCCTTATTATATAGAGATTTAAGGAAACTTTTCTTTGTTTGAGGAGTAAAAAAATTGCCATACAACGTACAATTGCTGAAATATGTTTACAAAAATTTATTAGATGTGGTAAATTATGCAGTTACTTGAACATTTAACAAATTATACAAATTGAATTACATATATAACGCCAAATTTTTGTTTATTTTAAAGCGTATAGAATTACAACTTTGCATGTTGCCCATGCAGTGTTCAGATATTATAACAGGAAAAATGTATAGAGAGTGTGACTTTGAATAATCTCATATCAATTTCATACTCGTTGCTTTTAGAGTGGTCTTGCATTTCTCTTACTTTTATAGTAGAGACAATACTGCTCTCTCTAGTATTTGGAGTTTGTATGCAGTGGCGGATAACTCAGTGGGCTAGGTTGTCTGAAGCCTAAACGCCCGCGCTTTCGAGAGGCCCGTTGTGTCTAGACATAGTTAGTTCTTAGTTTTTGCCATTCTGGACTAGTTAAATGTTCTAAGTTTAGACCATTTGTGTTGTTTTAAACCGTACGATCTACTGTTCAAATGCACGATGCTCAGAACTCGTGAAGTACTCGGTTTTCCAAGTTTGAATTTTAAACTTACTTCTTATTGTTCGTACTATGAGTTACAAAACAAGCCGGGAATTCAAAGGCAAAGTAGCGTAAGGAACGCAAACATCATAAAAAACTGAACAACTTTGTCTTAGCCTACAGGCACCATAGTTAGTAATCCGAGCCTGTTTGTAGGTCAAATAATCAAGCTCGACGTTTATTCATACTGAAAACAACGTTAGGGTTTAATTTGAGTGTCATCAGTAACTTAAGAAATTCTCACAATTACATGTATTCTATATAAAATGCAGGCCAAAGTTACACCAATATTGACTATATGAATTGCCCAACGGCAACGAAAATAAACAGCGCGTCCATTCAACGCTGTACAGCCAGCAATGGTCCATCTCTGTGATCTTTTGTGCTTGTCAAGGATGTGTGCAATTCTTCTAGTTTCTCCTCGAGCTTTCGATGTTCGAATTCGATGTTTGCAACAGACTCGTAGAAAACATATGTTCCGCGTGATAATAAACACATACATAGGCCGCCTACGATAAAAGCAAGCCCACCGTACTGCAACATGTTCCATGATGAACGACTGGATTCCTGATATTTCTTGAATAGGACACCCGTAGTGAACACGCAACCTGTATTGATATTTGAATAAGTTATATTTTTTTCATAATGTGATCTCTTGTAGTAGCTAGCTTTCAACAACATTTACAATTGTGAATCCTCGAGATTACTACAGGGAGTATAAAACGAAATGAACTGTTTGGAAAATGACTCTAAAGTCATCAGCGCGCGAGAGTTGCAAAAACTTTTGGTCAAAATAGTGGTTAGACTTCCAGTGTCTCATCTGCCAGTAAAGTTGTGGAAAGAAAGAAATATTTTTAGAATAAAATTTATGATACCGTGAAACACTTTTGAAATAGCTTGCGCACATAAATGAAAAAGATAAAAAGCAATTGCAATACATATTGATAAAATATTGCAGATGTCGTTCAAGTTAACAAACTTTTAGAAATTTTGACTTATGTATGCGCAAACGCTTATCTTTTCGAATTGGTGGCTATTTTGAATTTTTGGTTTTTAAATGCTATCTTTTTAAATTCCCATCAATTGTCTAAATGCCAACATGAATAATTGATGAATGTTTAAAAAAATGTCATTTAAAGTGATTATGACACGAAAATTTATAACAAATTTCTTTGATTGCATTGGATAGTACATATAAAATGAATTTATAACCCCTTTTTAGTAAAATTGACTCAATGTACTTTTTTTAAGAGATATCTATTTTTTATGTAAATGACATAGTTATGACATCACAAAGTATGATGACATTTTAAACATCATTTTTCCCCATCGTTAGAACGTGCAATAAACAAACACAACAGTTAAATGAATACACGTGTTGTTGAATATTTGTAAAGATGCAAATATTGAATATTTAAATGTTAACTGCAGACGAAAACTATACTTTTTCCTAATCGTATATATGCAATGTGATGTCATAACGATGTCATTTGCAAATATTGAAGAGACGCTGCATAGTTCCAAAAAGAAATAAAATAACACAATTCTATTAAAGCAGTTGTTAAGTCATTTAAAATTGCCTTTATAATGCAATCATAAAACACTATTGTAAAATTTGGTGTTATAAACACTTTAAAAAGGAAAAACGTAAAATATTCTGCGATTTGGATGCCTAACGTTCACGCTTTATCCTTCTTCAGTTTTTTACACACCCTGTATATTGAACAACACAATGAATTGATATAAGCCATATATTTGGTCCCACAATCCCAAGTAAACGCCTGATTGACTTTTTCTTTACTGTAAAGTACTATCGCAAATCACGGAAAGCTCAAAAATTATTGATATGAGAGCAAAGAAGCCGGAGCTCTCTAATGCACGAAATTATAGATCTAACCTGCACCACGCATGACCCGTGACGCCCATTTTCTGATGTTCATTTTCTCAGCGAGCTCATAAATAGCTTTTTCCGCTCTTTTTAACCGTCCTCTACACAAATCGATCTTCGTTTTGGCTTCCCTGAAGACGTTGTCAAACTTCCTGCCCGTTAAGTAATCGACGCCTTCACTCTCCACTATGACTTCAATCAACCTGCTTGCTTCCTCGACTAACCTCACAATTGAAGCCTGGTGTTCTTTGGTAGCCTCAAAACAATCCATTATGTATTGACGTTCGCTTGGATACGGATCGCTGTCGTTATTCAGAAATGCACTGGCTATTTTCATCATCAGACAGAGTTGCGCGTTATCCCCCATCTCTGGATATAAATATACATGAACAAATAATTGTATGCAACTTTTTCAACATAATAAATATAGTATAGGTATAACACTCCATTTCAAGTTACCAACTCACTTTTACCCATTTTTGTATACTTTTCATCATAATTGATCCATGGAACTCGCAAGATATGTTATTTCTTTATGTATTGCATGTTCATTTTATAATAATGACTTGGCTCAGAAGGGCTCCCTATACTAAGTTCACCGATAGTTTATATTTACTGTCTGATTCGCATTCTTTTAGTATCGTAGCTATACATTGTTAACAATCAGGTTTCTTTTGACATTCCTAATGGTGAGAAATAAGAAATAGAAGCATTACGCACCTGTTAGTTTATACAGTGCTCTCAAAATCTGTTCCAGTTTTTTTGCGTCCAAGTTCGCACTTTGGCCAGTGTCCTCCAGCATTTTCAGAGTCGTATCTATTACTTTTATAAACTTTGACGACCAACTGGTTTGGCTTGATCTTTGTCTTTCATTTTGGTAGCGTTGAACTTCGGGTTTCAAATTCAACCGGTCACCTATAGACTTAGCTACTTTCCCGGCGGCTTCAGTTATAAGGTCACGGTTGATAGTCGCTTCCATATTTGCGTTTTCATCGCCAACTTCAAGCAGTTGTCGCTCGTCTTGGTTTAATATTTGTCTGACTGCCATGAAAATGAAATGAAAGATACTCAATCAAAGTTTCTTATCTCGTTATCTTGGTATTGCTGGGGTCGATGTGTTATGATATTAAAGCGTTTCTGTCCGTGGATTTTATATCGCGTGATTCGACACAATCGGAAACACGAAAATAGTAAGTCAATTGACCTTATATGGACAATGTTATTAGTGATCTATTTATTTTTTCTCTTTAGCTTTTGCATAACTGACAGCATGACAAGGCCATGTTGTCACATGCAAGTTTAAAATGAATTATCTTGGAGCAGTCCTGGGAAATTCCCTTTGCTATAGACCTTTGCAGTGACGTCACGCACGCCTTAGCAACTGTTGTTTGGGGGGAGCAACTGCAGGACAAGCGCATGTGCACGCTTTATATGTTATTATGGCTAGTAACATAAAGTCAGCACTTTCTAGGTCAAAAAAGGTTTTTTTGCCTCGATATGTAGGAAATATTCAGTGTAAGGATAGTAAAGCGCGTTACAAAATGAAATTGAGACGTTGCAATGGAGACGATCCGTACGAAATACCAAAAAATCAATGGCTCGACGATATCGATCTGTGGCCAGCTGTCAGCTACATTGATATTTGCATGTATTTATTATTTTCGGTCAGTCCGTACACGAACGAGCAGTTGAAAAACTATAAGAGTCTTGATAGTTATCAAAATTTTGTGAATGGACGGGTACGTGAAATGTTGGTGAAAAAATATGGCGATCATTGCTTGCTTATTGCTAAGGTAAATGCTTCTCAGTTGTCACTAAAAACATTGCACATTGGCTGCACTCGTGCTTTAATGATACTGAACGCCTTGTTTCTTTTTTCACTACACCAGGTTAATCACTCTCAAAGAATGTCGGAGAAGCCACTTACTCCTTGTGTTGTTTGCGAAAAGAACGGCAAAGTATTAACAGCGCACTGCGATTGTATGGCAGGAATAGGTGAAAGCTGCTCTCACGTCGCTTCACTTCTGTGGGCTGTTGAAGCTGGTGCACGAAAACGAGATTCTTTAACTGTGACTGATAAGAAGGCATACTGGGTCCTTCAAGTGCTGTCAAGGTTGTGCCATACGCTAAAGTACAGCATATCAATTTTAGTAAATTTAATAAGAAATGCGAAGGAAAAGTGCAAAGAAATCCAATTTCTGCCCCATCGTTAGAATTGGATGAATATTTTAAAACTATTAGTTCTGCCTCATCAAAACCAGCAATACTTTCTTTAATACATCCATATTCTGATTGTTATGTGCCTAAAGCCTTGCACTCTGACTTGCCACCAGTCATAAGTGATCTTTATGATCCCACACTATTAGACAAATCACTACAAACTTTGCTGGAATTATCAGAGTCGAAACTGGACTGCTTTAATGTTACAGTTGAGCTGCAAAAAACTGTAGAAGAAAAAACTAGAGATCAAGCAAATTCTCGTCTTTGGTTTCGAATTCTTGCTGGAAGAGTGACTGCTTCAAAGTTCAAAGCAGCTTGTTGCACCAACAGAGATTCACCTTTGAAGAGTCTGATCACAAGCATTTGCTATCCAGAGCTGAAGAAATTTTAAACTGCAGCAACAAGATGGGGTTGCCAGCATGAAGAGGTGGAAAGATACGAATATTGGAAATGGCTAAACACAAACCATGAAAATGCTTCAGTAACAAACAGTGGATCCTGGATTCATTTGACCTATGGATTTCTTGGTGCTTCTCCAGATGGACTTGTCTCTTGCCAATGTTGTGGCACTGGGATTTGTTATTCATTGTGTCTATGTTTCATGGGGAAAAGGTCAACATAATAAATACATCACCTGTTGATTTTGTTTTGATAGTGTCCATTTTGCCATAAAGATGTGAGACAATTGAAACTTCAACAGATGAAAGGTTGTTTTGCATTGAAGTAAAAAGTGATAGCACAAAACAACTTAAAAGAACTCATGCATATTACTATCAAGTAAGTACATTTGTAAATTATTCTAATTTCAATTAAAAACCTTAATGTATAGCAATTCACTTTCTTAAGTTATTGTTCAGTTGTCATGCACTGGTTTGAGCTAATGTGATCTTGTTGTGTGGACAGAAGAAGACTTGTTTTCATAAATTCGTTTAACAAGCTTAATGCATAAAAATTCACTTTTTTAGGTTATGGCTCAGTTGTCATGCACAGGTTTGAGCTACTGGGATTTTGTTGTGTGGACAGAGAGACTTGTTTGTTGAACGAATCTTGCAGAATAACGAATTTATAGAAAGTAACAGAGGCAGCACAGAAATTTGTGTTGAGGGGACTCCTTCCAGAGTTAACTGGAAAATGGTACTTAAGACCCCAAAAAATTGAATAAATGAAATATAATGAAATCAAATGTCTTATAAATATTATTTGTACAATTTTAAGTGTATGCATGCAAAATCTTTCAAAAAATATTATTAGTCATAATGTACGACAGAATCACAAATGTTAATTAGTGCACAGCTAACAGTAACTATTTTGTCGATCGTAGTGGGCTCATTCTTTTTAGAAATGATAAAATCATACGGCTGAGTTGAACTCAGAAGTGCATATTTCTTTCTAATGTTTCCAATCACTCTTTCCACGTGAATCCTCACATTAGCAATTCGTCTGGTTTGTTCAACTTCAATGCCACTGAGCTGTTTTCAGTGTGCGAATTAACAGTGTGCAATGTGCAATTTGCACATCGTTTTTGCTAAAATGGAAAAAATTGCACATCGCTTTTTCAAACGATATGCAAAAAAAATTCTTTATTGATTATTACCACATAAATTGAAAAACGTTTTCAAGCTTAATCTTTACTGATCTTTACTTTATAAACGAGTGCGCTGCACGACATTAGAATCCATGTTTACACAATGTCATCAAATTTTAAAGATGTTGTCACTTTGAGACTGGTAAGTCTGTCAACAGTCCACATACATGGTCCTTATATGCTTATGACAATAGGTGTGTAATACATTATTTATGTCAATTTTTGCATTTGCGTTGTTTTGTACTGCGTTACGTACTGTTTTTGACATCATAGCTATTTTGAGTATTTTCGATAAAATCAGGAAACAGTTTCATTTTGATTCTTAAAAGAAGACAAAAAAGAACTTAAATAAGCCAAATTTAAAAAATAAACTAAAGGGAATTTCGATTTTAAATAACGTGAGAAAAAGAAGCCAAATTTGGCTCAAAATATTAAGCCAATCTGGCAACCTTGATCAGCCATACTTTTTATTTTTACATATTGCTTGGAATATGACATAAAAATGTTGTTTTTTTGCGTAAGTAAACATCAAAATTGTTACTGTTAATAATCAGAAAGCAAAAGTATACTCGGTGTTTCTCTTTTCACTTTTGTCTTTCTTGCCATCTTCGTCGAAAGGTTGTAGCTACCGGCAAAGTTAATACAGTAAAAAATGGATGGAACATTAAATGCTGACTCGCTTGAGTACTAGGATGATGGCCAAGAGGTGAATTTATTGCGCTGTAAAGTTTGCACAAAAAAGAGGATAGAATTACATGCGCAAAAAATTTCTCTCATACATTTGTAACTGGATCAGCGGTTGTAAAGAAAAACACTATCGTAAATATATAATTAATTTAGCAATTAGCGCTGTATAATGATTAGCCTAATATCGATTTGATTATGCCTCCAAAGAAACATTTTTGTCATAAAAAATTGCACATCGTTTTTTTCAACTAATTCGCACACTGGCTGTTTTTACCCTTAGTAAAAGCTGGCATCTTGATAGTTGCACTGTACAAACCAACTGACTCGTGGATATCAAAGCCTCTATCAGCTAAGATTACATCTGCAGGTAAGAGCTTATCAAGGAGACCACTGTTCTCAGTCAAATGTTTGTCACTGACTCTTCTTCACTAGCCACTGGAAACAAAGCTTACTGTACACTGGGGGAGTGACAGCATTTAAGTACTTAATCATGTTGTGGTGCTTGTAGGATGAGTAAGTTTGTGCCCTCGCAAGAGGATTTAATGCACTATCCAAAAAATCTCAAAGCAGTCAATGATGGCAACAAATTTAGGGCAGTGTTTTCTAAAATCCATGGGCAAGGTCTTTCTTAAGGCTTCCCTGTCAGGCCATAAAATACGAAGGCTTAATCGGTTATAAAGAACATCAATTACTTGTAAGAAAATTCTTGATACAGTTCCCTTGTTGATGTTTCCAAATCGATAAGCTAAATCTACACCAGTTAAATTAAGTCGCAGTTTCATATCTGTTAAAAGCAACTGCCTAAATGGTGACAAAGAGCATTTGGGAGAATGCATAAGATAAGGGCGTACCACTTCCAGTGTTGCTGACAAGATCTTCCAATTTGGCAGACCAGTGTAAAAAAGGACTTTTTCTTCATCATTTAAGAAGGATTTCTCGTCAAGCGTCATGTAACTTATCTTTTTTTTTAACTCGAGATTTTCTTGGGTCAAGCGATTGATCTCGCTCTTCATTGCAGTTATTTTATCCAAACTCAGTTCAGTTTGTGAATATTTGTTGTTCGATTCTGATTCTGACAATGAAGCAGATGTGGCTGATGTGACTCCGTATTCTTCGTCTACAAGATGGTTGTCAAGGTCGATTGGGTCACTGTTGACAGTACTGTTTCAACGGATTCACTTCTTTTTCGTTTTTCATTTCATTCCGAAATACGAGCATAGCGATTGACATCAACTTTTTCGACATATGTATGTCTGTAGTGAGGTACAACGCTCTATTTCTATCGTTTCTCATTAATTTCATTAATTTTGACACTAGCCGCGGGCTCCTGTAGTGAGGTACATAACGTGCGTATATTATTCATCTAGATTTATATATTAGGAATAGAGAGAATACTCACGACTTTTGTAAATAACTTCTTCGCTAGTGAATAAAATAATCACAAAAATTTAATAGCGTTCTAGTACATTGAAATCACGTTCGGAGCTCATACGAAAGACTTATATAACACTAAATTGGTGACCCCGAAAGATATTCTTGACTGACGAAATGGCTACAACTGATGAACTCAACACTTCTTCCACGACAGATTCTTCATCTGTCACACCAACCGCTTCTATGATCAGCATCAAACTTCCACCATACTGGCCTAACGACCCAGAACTGTGGTTTTCTTATATTTACGCTCAATTTACGACGCGCAATATCACCTCGCAAAAAACCAAATACGCATACGTTGTTGGTTCCCTTCAACCCGAAATTGCTCAGGAGGTTCGCAATATCATCCTTCATCCCCCTGTTCTTGATCCATATGACACCCTGCGACGCGAGTTAATCCACCGTACCTCATATCTGAGCAACAGAGACTTCACCAACTGCTCACATGCGAAGAACTAGGAGATCGGAAACCTTCCCAACTCCCTCGCAAGATGGAACAACTACTTGGTACTCAGACCTTACCCCCATCCATCATGAAACAATTATTTATACAACGTCTCCCCACCACTGTTCAGGCTATTCTGACACCTACACAGGAGACACTTGTCCTCAAGAACCTTGCCAAGTCGGCCAATAAAATTAGAGAAGTCAACAACATTCAACAATCCACATCCACCGAAAAAGAAATGTTCGCGGCAAAAACAATGTTTTTATTTTAGGAACTATACTTTGTAATGTTTACGCTGCATGTTTTCCCCTCTTCGTGGATTTCGTCTCCTTACTAAGAAATATCACTAGAACTATAACATTTATCATTTGCTACGACTGATCAAAAGGTGCGAGGTCCAACTTTATACGAAACTGTCGATGGCCCACAAAAGAGGAAGTTTGGTTAAAATCTTAATAATTAAAACAGCGTGTCAGCTGGGGGGAGTCTTTCGAGTAAATAGGTGAACACTGAACATTTGAAGTTGAAAATGTATCTACCTTATTGATAAATATGTAATATTACACCCATGCACAATAACACATGTATGTATGCTTCACTCAACGAAAGACTTTACTGAGACTTCACTTTAAAGCTTCTTGTCCCATGGGACATTCTATACCATTTAATTATAAGAGAATTATCGCCTTCACTCCATCAATTCTCGGGACTCTGTATGCCATAGAGCATGCGTGGTCACGTTCCAACAAATCACTGCTTCGCTCCCTGTTCTCGATAGCCGATTTACCTTTAGCAATAGAGTTTAGGGCCATTTCGCATAAAGTGAGAAGGAAACCTTACCAATAATAACAACTATTTTCGTAAATGAGCACATGCTTTCTGGAATTTCATTGATATGCTCGATTTGATTCTAGGTGCATTTGAGATATCGTGCGATGGACGAGGGATATTTTCCAAGCTTGCAAGACATGGTTTTCCTTCTATGAATGAGGTAAAATTGTAATGACGTCAGAAATAGTTTGTTTTGATTTGACCGAATTTCGTTCATCGAGGGAATGGCTTTGAAGTTCGTCTTTGAATTGCAGTATTCATTTGGCTGTTATGATTTTATCATTGGTTGTTTTTTGTAAGAAGAAACAGTCAATAATTTATGAATCTATTGTGAATGAGTTAAGTTCCTTTCTTGGGACGTAACTCATAGGGAGTATATCTATTATTTGATAAAAAAGGAGTTAATTGCCTCTATTCTGGATTTGACTTCAGTTGCTAATCTGTCACCCTGCCATGCCCTTTTTGTTAAATTTTGTTACTCACATACCATAATTTTGAGATAGTTTGTAAGTGTGCTCCATTAGCAAAAGTCACAATTGCTTTTGATTAGTTGCTTGGTATATTAATAATTCACCAATAAATTGACGCACCCCCCGCACCACTTTAAGCCAAGGATAAGTGGAATGTTAACCGCCCCCCTTTCCAGTAAACCCCATTCCCTATTATGACGCACTTTTTGGCTAAAACAGTCATTACTTGTTGGCTGTATGTAATTGAATTGGTGCCCAAACACATGGTCGGATTAAACACCCAAGTACATGGTCCATGATCTCTTTTGTCCCTCACAATATGATTAAAAATTGGTTCTCATGAAACAAGTCGCCGACGTCGTTCGTATGATCAGTGAGAACAAGCACTGGGAAGAGATCACCAATGTGAACCGCGCCAAATGTCGATGTATTCACGAAGATTGCATGTGTGGCCTGAGTGTCATGGTTAACAAGACAGCTTGTCCCTGTGAATGTGAAGGAATGTGCCCAGGGTTGTGAGAACGTTGGTCAGGTCGTGAATTTTCACAATATTTCCATTGGATTTAATTAATTTAATAATTTAATAGCAATTCATCACATATTAGCATTATACGTTGTATTTGACGATGAAGTCCGTCGTGTGATTTTGACGGATGGAAAAACGAGCGAATGTAACTTATTATTGAAGAAATGATTTTTGTCGAAATATATCAAAACGAATGAAA